CTACTGGTGGATCAAGATACATGCACGAAAAAACGCAAGACGCCATGACCTATGTTAGACATTACGGTCGTACCGACCTTTTTATTACTTTTACATGTAACCCACGCTGGGGTGACATAAATGAGCACTTACTTTCAGGACAAAAATCTCATGATCGATACGATATTATTTCGCGTGTCTTTCTATTAAAGGTAAATGAGGTCATGGATTTGTTGATAAAAGGAAAAATATTCGGTGAAGTGAGATGCTACATGTATTCGATGGAATGGCGGAAGCGAAGTCTTCCGCTTATTCATATACTTTTATGGCTTCAACATCGCATCAATCCGGATCAAATTGACATTATTTGTGCTGAAATATCTAACCCCGATCGTGATCCTGAACTTTACGAAATTGTTAAAAGTTATATAATACATGGCCCCTGTGGAAGTTTAAACCGAAATTATCTATGCATGAAAGATAATTCGTGCAGCAAACGTTATTCTAAGGCTCTCATTAAGGAAACTCAAACCGGTGATGATGGTTATCCGCAGTACAGGAGATGTTCTCTGGTTGACAGTGGATTCTCTGTCAATATCAAGGGTGTTGAACTAGATAATCGTTGAGTAGTTCCAGTGCTATTAAGAACATGTAACGCTCACGTGAACGTAGAATATTGCCATTCAGTTAAGTCAATCAAATACGTTTGCGATAAAGGGTCAGGCTACGTTTACTTTAGAGAACGGGAAGGATGAAGTTACAACCTATGCAAGTGATCGATATATAAGTTCAGCTGAAGCAGTTTGCCGAATCCTTGAATTCCTAATACATGAGCGTTTTCCTCCTGTAGTGTACCTTGCTGTCCATTTAGAAAATGGACTGAGAATTTATTTTAATGAGCAGAACTTGTGCGACAAATTGAGTAGTCCTCCTACAACTACACTCCTATCCTTTTTCGATCTGTGTAATGTGGATGACTTTGCAAAAACATTGCTATACTCGGAAGTCCCTGTGTATTACATTTGGAACAAGCGATCGTTTCAGAGAAGGAAGAGAGGAGTGAATGTTGAAGGATGGTCAGGGGTCAAAAAAGACCACGTTCTAGGTAGGGTTTATACGGTTCATCCAAACAATACAGAATGCTACCACCTTCGAATGCTTCTACATGAGATCAGAGGCCCAATTTCATTTGAAGCGTTGAAAACTGTAGATGGTCACTTACATCCCACTATCCAATCCGCGTGCAAGGCTCTAGGTCTACTCGAAGATGATCGGCATTTGGATTCAGCTCTTGAAGAGGCAGCACTTTGACAAACACCGCATATGATTCGAGAGCTTTTTGTTATCATTTTATTGTTCTGCAAGGTTTCCGACCCTCTATGTCCTCGGGAAAAATACAAAGAAAAGCTTTCTGAAGACTTAAAAAACATTGGAAAGGCAAAGTGACGTGGATGTGGAGCACTCATCGGACCTGATATTTAACAAATGCCTGTCGGTATTAGAGGATGCCGTATTATCATTAGGCGGCCGTCCTCTTAGAGAGTATGGATTACCTCAGCCAATGACATCAATTTATTTTAAATAGAGAGTACGTGAAGGAGACCAGTTATGATACAGTGGCCTTAGAAGACGTAGTAAGAAAAAATGAATCATCCTTGAATGACGAGCAACAGTGAGTTTGCATCACCGGTTTGCATCACCGGTTTGAGTTTCCTTAATGAGAGCCTTAGAATAACGTTTGCTGCACGAATTATCTTTCATGCATAGATAATTTCGGTTTAAACTTCCACAGGGGCCATGTATCATATAACTTTTAACAATTTCGTAAAGTTCAGGATCACGATCGGGGTTAGGTATTTCAGCACAAATAATATTGTCAATTTGATCCGGATTGATGCGAAGTTGAAGCCATAAAAGTATATGAATATGCGGAAGACCTCGCTTCCGCCATTCCATCGAATACATGTAGCATCTCACTTCACCGAATATTTTTCCTTTCATCAACAAATCCATGACCTTATTCACCTTTAATAGAAAGACACGCGAAATAATATCGTTTCGATCATGAGATTTTTGTCCTGAAAGTAAGTGCTCATTTATGTCACCCCGTTGGGGTGACATGTAAAAGTAATAAAAAGGTCGGTACGACCGTAATGTCTAACATAGGTCATGGCGTCTTGCGTTTTTTCGTGCATGTATCTTGATACACCAGTAGAAGATGATGGAAGTACTACCATTTGTCCCAGCTGATTTGCTTCAGTATCTTGCCGTTCAATTCCATCTTTTAAATGAATATAATTATCTGCGCGCAATTTGGCTCGATTGTTTTTTATGTAGTTTAGTCTTTCAGTTTCTACTTTTACGTATTCATCTACCAAATATTGACTAAAAAGAGCGCGATATTCAACCGAAAAGTTATTTTCTCCTTCTCTGATCATTATTCTGTATGAATAAAAACTTACAGCAGAGACTGTTTTTTTCAAGGGCAACTTAGTTGTGGGATCGCATTGTGGTATGTTGATTGAATAGCCATCATCCACCCAGCAAAACATCAACGGGTACTGCAGCGCGTCATAAGCTCGATGTATCTCACTGATACGCTAAAGTGAGTTATTTCGGCTTCCGAGGATGATGTCTCTTTGGTCAAAAAGCTGATCTACCAATACAACAGCCACTTCATTTGCCGTAGGTGCATTAAATCTGCCTCTGTGTTCTCTTTGTGGTTTTTTATCTGCATGTATTACGACCTTGAATGACTCTGAAGGCGATATTTCATCAATGGCTGTTTTTAGATTTTTTATGTATGGTGTTCACCTCATGTAACATAAGCTGCAATTGTTTGATTAAATTTGGTATCAAATCAGGAATTTTAGAACATCGAATATTAGCTTCTCTATCATCTTCACCGACGAAATAAATTTGCAGAAACTGTGCATTCTGTCCAAGATCCGGTAATATACTTCCAATTAAATGATAGACTTGTCCTTGAACTTTAAAAGTTGGTGAAAAGCCGCCTACTTTTATTTGTTTTTCACCAAAGGAAGTCATTTGAAAACAAGCATTATATTTTCGGATATTATCCATGAAGTGTACATGATTTGGGTGTAAATCATTAACCAGACTGTAAAGTGGTTCAGACGACAAAAGTGATCGTGAAAAACGTCAAAAACTGGACAAGCTGGCTGCGATTCGCATTTTCTTTGACAAATTTGTAGATAATTGCAAATCTGGATATAATTTATCGGAATTTGTCATCATCGACGAAATGCTCCCAGGGTTCTTAGGCAACTGTTCTTGGATTCAGTACATTCCTAGCAAACCCGCCAAATACGGGATTAAAATATTTGCAATGTGCGATGCGAAAATGTACTACACTTCAAATCTGGAAGTATATGTGGGCCGACAGCCCGATGGGCCATTCTCAATAGATAATTCAAGCAAAGAAGTTGTGAAAAGATTATGTGAACCAATAAGAGGTTCTGCACGCAACGTAACATTAGATAATTGGTTTACCAGTATTCCTCTCATCGCTACTTTGAAAAAAGATTTCTCATTGACGGTTGTTGGAACAATAAGGAAAAACAAACGAGAATTACCTCCTGAGTTACTCCAGCCATCTCGTCCAATAAATTCTAGCATGTTTGCTTTCAGTGACACATGTACATTAGTGTCATATATCCCAAAAAAAAAAGAAAATGGTGCTATTAGCATCAAGTTTGCACGACGACGATGAGATAGATCCCGCAACTGGCGAGTTCTTCAAACCTGCGCTTTTAACATATTACAATAAATATAAATGTGGAGTAGATGTGGTAGATCAGCTTTGCTCGACGTATAACACCTCAAGAAAAACGCGAAGATGGCCAATGGTAATTTTTCATACAATTCTAAATATTCTTTAGTGATTTATATAGCCAACAATCCAGAGAAACAAAAAATGGTACGAAGAAAATTTTTGAAGAAGTTGGCATTTTCACTGATAGAAGATCATCTGAAGTTCAGAGCAACTGTACAGAATTTAAGTAGAGATATGAAATACCGTATTAGAAAAATATGCAACATGCCCGACGAAATTCAGGAAGAAGTAAAATGCAGTTTTTGCGATCGGAAAAAATATCGTAAAACCACTACTTCTTGTTTCAAATGTAGTAAATTTATATGTAGAGAATATACAACTTGTGTATGTGTAGAGTGTCTCGTAAATGTAGTATGATAATTTGAAAAATATTCAAAGCAAACAAAAATGTTATTTATAGTAACACAATTTTTCGCAAAATTGAATTAATTTTAAGTATTTTCTGTCTTTTTTCCACATTTATATTGATTGAAATAAACTAGTTTTAAATAAACCACAGCCTTTTATCAAACTGCATTATTAAAGTTTAATGGAATTACCAAATAATCACAGCGGTCATTTTGATCGCCAACGATCACTTATGAATCAAATCTTCTAGCGACCACTGAAGGGTTAACAATGTATGGATGTGAGAAACTGATAATGGGATGTTTTTTTATTTTACCTTTTTATTCATTCAGTCTTGTTACTGATGTATTGTACATGAAAAATTAGTTGTCTTCATTCATTTCATTATCATGATGCATTTTTGATATGTGCCTTTTTCTTTTTAATTTTGTTCTGCCATTATTTAAGAATATATTGAAAAAGAAGCACTTCCTCATTGCCATTTTTCAAACTGTACATAATGGCTTTTGCAAATTTTCAATCTGTCATTTCTTCCCCAAGAAACGATAATCAGTTAACTTTTTATTTGGACAAAGACAATCAACCGGTATAAGACAGACTTTCTGACAACAATTTCACTGATATATCAAGTATCATCCTAATCATTTAATTATAAACTTTAAAATGTCATTTAAATAAACTCTAAACTAGGCAACTTTTCCCTAATTTATCAACCTTTGTAATATGGTTTTCAAGTTTTCCCCTTCTTATCATGAACACAATGTAAATTGTAATAATCAAAAGAGGAATTAGAAGTTAATTGTGTAATAAAATTCACTTTGTGATATAAAATGTATGTAATTTCAACTTACATTTTAGGTAAGGGGTTCCATTAATGATATCTAATAAAATGGTTTCTACATTTCCCTATTTCCCACCTTCAGTCTCATTTTCTTTCTCGTTGTATACTCGCAACAAATCCAAAGCATCTTGTGCCTGGCGCTTATCAGCCAAATATCTTCCTGAAACCTCTTTGAGCTGGTCGAGAAATATTCTATCTGGAAATGTTATATCAACCAACGATTCTGGGTCCATATCACTGAGCAATTCAAGATCAGCACCTCCAAGTAAAGACACATGACACATATTATGCTTCAGCTTACCAACAAGGTTAACAAGGTCTCTCTCCCCTTTGTTGTCCACATCATCTATATTGAGACGTAAGGGTGGAGATTTCGGAAACCAATTCTGGCCCTCAGTCAACACCATTAGACAGGTGTTGGGATCCAGAGTACCAAAGTACTCTTCGTCATCTATCTCAGTACCATCATCCTCAAGAACAAGAGTAATATTGTCCTTGTCTGAAAGATTCAGTTTTTCCAATACTTTTGAAGACAAATCTTGCAAAGACGAAGCCACTACGCCTTTTTTTATTTCTCTAGAAGCTGTTGTTATCTTGAAAGGTTTTCCAGTTTGACCATCATCCTCTTCCATAATTTTTATCTTTCAATTTCATCTGATATATGTTCAATTAATCTTTATCGCAAGAACTTCGCGTCAGAGAATTTCACTACTCAAAACAATCACAATTCATAAATCTTAAAACTTCACGCCACAAAGTTTACGCCCTCAAAAGCCGTAAACTTGAATTTTTGCAACTTGCAGCCTACATTCAATGAATGAATGCACTCTTTCTGATTTCTGCGGCGCATGCCAACCGAACTACAAGGTCACTTCAAGAAAATCAATAAACTTCCACACTGCAAGGTTGCCACTCGAACTGCCAAATCTTTAAAATGTAATTTTGAATAATGGAGAGTTCAAATCATAAATGTGAATGTTCACAGATCGGTTGACACATCAGAACCTTATTTTTTATTCTTCAGTTTTCGAAATAATGTAAGTGTCGTTTTGCTGAAATGTTTCAGTAAAGGGACTTGTAAAATTAAAATCATTTGTTGCAGAATAATGGAACTAGGAGATGAAATCATGCTGGAAGTCAATAATGTCATCTTACACATCATTGATTTTGGATTTCCACGAAGAACTTTTAGGAGGCCCGACTATTTCGAAGAGATGGATGATATGGTCTTCTACAGAAGATTCGGACTGACCAAGCTGAGAACACTATCAGTGCGTTCCACTAAGCACTCACAACGACCACGCTCACGACTACGGTTTTTGCCGTTCCACTTGATTCTGGGCGTCACAATCATTAACTCAAGTGGAATGGATTTTGGAGCGCTTTGAGCGTTCATTTAAATAATACACATGGAGCGTTTAAAAAATCAAAACAAAAAGTTGATGGGGTTATGTTACAATTTGTAAGTGGTATCAATAAGTTCTATTAATTGTTAGTTAACATGATTTAGTAAACAAAAATTATGTATATACTTTAATTTTAGAGGAGTATTTAACTAATTTATGTTCATATAAAATAAAAATGCCTTTTACGGCGGCAGTTGGAAATTTGTTGGTGCGTCGAAATAATGATCCACAAAGTACTAGTTCGTCCAGCTCAGATGAAGAATGGAATACAATTTTCCACAAATATAATCATGGAAAATGAAAGCTTAGACCACGTATTAATGATTACGATAATGTAATTACTCGGTATTCAGATGAAGAATTTAAAAGTCATTTCAGGTAAATTATTTTTTATCACTTAATACACTATAGATTTTGAAAATTTTACTCATGAAATTCTTTATTGATCTCTTCACACTGTCAAGATGTACACTAAATTATTTACATGAGCTGATACAAGAAGATTTAGTCCGACGTGTTCCCGGATGTCCTACAATTCCTTCCCATCATCAATTGATGATAGCTCTTAGGAAAATGGCCACAACAGATTCTTATAGGTTAATTTTTTTTTGAATTAACCATTTTAGTATTATATACCATAATTCACAAGTATAAAATTAAACCCTTTTTTTATTTAACGCACGTTCAGCATCTGCAGGAGAAAGTTTGAGATCCACAACAGTATCTCGTTCGGCACAATAGAACGATATTGTTGTTGTCGCCATGTTTGCTGCTTTTAGTTTTAAAAATTGCGCTCAGTTTCACAAAACACTCACATCAACCCACCTCTTGAGATGGGTCGTCGTGAGCTAGGCGTGAGCATAAGTAATGACGTCATTAATGACGTTTTCGCCGCGACCACAACGATCACGGTCGCCATGTGGAACGCTTGAATGAGTATTGCGTTGTACACGCTTAGTGGAACGCACGGTATATGTGCTGGAGATCATAGAAGATGCTTTAGAATTCGAAAACGATTTGTAAAGAAAACATTCAATTGGTTTTACTTTTTTTTCAATACAATCACATAAGCTATAACTGACCACATGTAAAATAAAAAAATTATGAGTGGTTTTATAGTATTATTATTGTTCAGCAGAGCTTGCCATCGGCCGAGATGCAGCTAGTCCTGAGTTGAACATTTATCTCTCTATATCTGGTCAGTTAGATCTTATTTTGCAATACAGGGAGCTATGATTGAATTGCAAAATTAATTTTTCATTGAGGTAAAGTTTGGAACCCTTACTTTTTCATTCATTTCACTTGCAATAGATATGAAAATTCACTGGTAAGTATGTTTTTTTTATCTGATTCTGATACTTTTCCGCAACAAAATAAAAGTTAACCATCAAACCCCCAATTTTTATTAAATTCACCTAACATTCGGTTGTCGTAATTTGAGAATTGGCGCGTAAACGTTACAAGTTATTTTGGCGCTTGAATAAGCTACGTTTATTGTCCTGTGGTGCATACCGCATACATTTAAGCTTTGCTTGAATTTTAGAGGGCCTACGCAAACTTCGCTTTACAGAGAAAACGGCGAATACGGGCATAAGTCAGGCACCAGGTGAAATTAGTATAAAGTGATCATTTTCACTCGTGACAGGAGGTTTTCATTCGCAGGTATGGTCGCAGGTATGGTCGTTATAATTATCACATATGTTCCAAATGAACCAATAAATGAAACGTGAATTCACCATTGAATGCATATATAGTAGACATCTCTGATTGAAGTTACTCTCCTCTGATTACATTATTGTTAACATGATTACAGTCTGTAAAAACAAATCAGAAGCCAAAGGACATTATTTGTAGACTTGCTAAAAGCCTTTAGTCTTTCAACATATAATATGTAGAAATGACAACGTCGAATACCTTCTCATGATATATTTTTGTAGTCGACTACAACTGATTTCGATTGGAAACCCTCTGGAGATTACCATTATATGAATATGAGGTTGAGGAAGAAATTTTAAGTTATCATTCTTTCCCGTCACGAATTGTTTGAACTGCCTGGAAACTATAAATAATATGTATATTGCTAACAAAATTTCACTGAATATCAAATTCACATTTCAGGTACATAAAATACAACTTCTGAAATAATATATTCCAATAATATCTTTAATTTCTACTCTCATTGAAGTTCAAAACAATTACCAGTTTCATTATTTCCACCTTCGCCAGTGTTGTATTCTTCCTCAAGTATCTTCTGGATGTTTGTTAATGGAAAATGAAAATTAATGAGACAAATAAATGAAGACAAAATTCGTTTCAAATTTGATCACTAAATATTCCAAATTTATTGAAAACAAGAAACACGAAATAAATACATTCTTGAATGAAGAGAATGACAAAGAAGTGCTGCTTCTAGACGCTTTTAAACTGTCAGTTCATTATAGTGTTCTATATTGATCATACAATCATAGTAACCATAATCTGTCAGGTTATGTTAAACACAAAAAATTGAATTTGTCTTGATTTAAAAAGTAATTAAAAAATGGCATTGCTTCAAAATTTTTCAAAAATGTGCAGGATTTGCATGGAGTTCAACAATTTAGAGCCCATTGAAAACTCAGAATTTAAAATTATAAATTTATTGAGTACTCTTCTAGAAACAGAGGTAAAGTGAAACTCCAATAGGTAGGTATATCATATAATTAAATTGAAATGCATTTCAGTTTACTGGGAATGACATACTACCCAAAAATATATGTAGTTCCTGTAAAATTCATTTAGAAAACTTGATGAAATTTGTTGAAAAATTGAAGGCAAGTAACACCAGACTGAGGGCAGCTGTTTTGAGTCAATCAAATAAGCATTCTGGAGCCTGTGATGAATTAGCCAATTCTCGGCTTGGCGAAACCTGCAAATCAGAAACATTTAAAGTTAGCGAAACTGATAAAATGTCTTCCGAGCTCGAAACGGTAAATTCAAACAATGAAAATGATAAAGCCTCTTCACTTCCTGAAATTGTACCCTCCGACAATAAAAACCAAAGTTTGATGAAATGTAAAAAAAATAGAAAAAAATGGGGATCTAGCTCAAATATTCGTGAATTCAAGCTCAAATATAAACCTGCTTTCAAATCTAAAATTTGTAGTGAATCAGTGATTCATCTCAAATCACATAATACAGGTTCGTATAATTGCCCTCAATGCTCAAAAACATTCATATTTGCTGGGAATTTGAGAAGACATGCTCTTATGCATGAGGAAATGAAACTGTGTAATAGAGGATTTTTAAAAAAATGTTTGGATGAACATGAAAATTTCCATAATGGCAAAACCTCTTACGTATGTGTACATTGTGATCAAAGTTTCAGTAGACTTGCTCATCATACAGCACATATTCATCACGTTCATAATATGACTACTACCAAAAATATTCCAAAGTTGAAAAGGAATTACACAGAAAGGCGTGTCCGCCTCAATATTTCATGTGAAACATGTGGAAAACATTTCAGAAGTAGATCAGGATATGCTAACCATCAACTTATACATAAAGGATTAAAAAGATTTCTCTGTTATATGTGTGGAAAGAGATTCATCACCAATGCCACATTGTCGATTCACATGCAAACTCACAGTGATGAAAAACCATTTGAATGTGAACAGTGTGGAAAATGCTTTAGGCAGAAGTATTCTTTGCACCGCCATATTAAACATGTCAAACATGTAAACAATTTACTCAAGTGTCCTTATTGTAAGAGTAACTGTGACAAACACTTATTGCAGGTTAAAACCAAACAGCATCTTGAATGTCCCCACTGTAAGAAAATAATCCAAGAGCCCAGTTTGCCAAATACCCATAATTCAAGGAAGAAACCGCAAAAAATTGCAAAAAACCATAGATGCAATATTTGTTCCAAGTCCTTCACGTCTTTGTCTCATCTCACTGTTCATTTACGAACACATAGTGGTGAAAAACTCTATGCTTGCCCAGAATGTGGAAAATTACTCTCTCAGCCTCAAACTCTGAAAGTGCATATGAGGCAACATTCTGGAGAAGCACCATTTGTATGTTCAGTTTGTAATAAAGGATATCGTGACTCCAGCAATCTGAAAAGACATTTCAATAGGCATCATAAAGAAAATGAGATGAAAAGTAATGAAGCAGAAAAAAAGAATGTTTGTAGTTCATAAAGTAGTAGAAAACTGTTGAAAAGAAACTCCAAAAATAACTGTGTATATGAACTAAATACCATTGTTTTATTCCACTCCATTCTATTATCACTATAATTGTTTTAACCGTCAGCCAACTACTCTTTGAGCAACCGTCTGAGGTCCAAATAGTTGCTATAGTAAGAAAAGGCCAGGGTAGTATCTTTGGAAGTGTGATTCAAGCTTGTACTATAGAGAAAGTTTAACGGATGTGCCGCTCAGAAAAAGACAGATAGTCCTACCAGCCAAATATTTCCCATCTTAATGACTGAACCGTACTGATGAGGACAACTAGATCGAAACACGGGTCTATAAATTGTTTTTTTGAGATTTCTACGGATCCTTAAGGCGAGTTCATATTAGAACGATTGCGGTAATATTTTTGTGGTTCCGCAAATTTGCCTCAATTGTCAAAATACTCTGTTCATGTTGAAGCAGGCAATATCTAGGGATTTCATTGTTGAATTTTAAATTTTATTACATGAACCTGAATGATGACATACGACTCATACGAATTACGACTTTTAAGACTAGACCCCCATCATATCAGAATATAGGACTAACAATTTTCTTGAGTTTTGTTTAATAGAAGCGTGTTTTCAAACCGCTTATCTCAACGTTACTGCCTGCAGGGGCGAGGGGTTCTTTTGCAAAATGAGTTTTCTTTAATGAGGGGCCAACCAAATTCAATAATTTATTGAATAATGAGAGAGTGGGCCTGAAATAGATGAAATATTTCTCTGGATCTGTAATTCTCATTTATTTCAGCCACAAGATTGTAAAATTCTCCATATTTTCTTCTATTTTTGAAAATATTTTCCACTATAAAGACGGGGTTTTCTCAATGAAGCTTTTTACGGTAAAGTTGATATAATTTGAACAACCTGACACATTCGTCCATTTCGGATTCAATTTCGATGTATGGACTTAAAAAACGAGAGTCAAAGCAATATAACCTCATTGTATGTTGACGTATAATATTTTGCGGAAATCGCAAAAAAGTTCAATTTTTTCAACTTTTTTACGATAAACACGACGCCATTTTAAATCGCACTTTTTATGCGATGTTCGTTCCAATATGAACTAGCCTTTACAGCGGAATTTAAAATACGCGTGTTTCAAGGTTAGATTTTTGAATTGATTATAAATTAGGGTAGTGTTTTTGGAGTGCTTATTATTTTTGTTTGAAACTGAAATCAGAATATACTCGTATTCAAAAAACACTTTATTGTGAAATTTTCACTAAACATTTTTACAAAAACGCAACACGTAATTCACTATACAATAGCTTCTTCAAGCGTGTCCATAACGAATTCAAGAAACACGTCTCTATACTATTGTATTGAAACTCTATGAGATTTCCCTAAACAGTTCTCTAGTATAGTATTTGAATGGGTATGGTGAAAATATACACATCACTGTCATCTTTTCCTTTCGAAACAGCTGTTAGCATTGAATGTTAGTTTTTTTAAAAACAGGAAAATCTTTAACACGCTCTCAGAACAGTGCCAGTGCGAATGTAGTGATTCACATTGAATTTGAATCGCTGGAGATTAAATCCATTTGGAAAAACGTTGTCAGAAAGTTTATTCCACGTAAACGCAGTTCTCCAGATGAAAGAGTTCTTAAACAGTAAAGTTCGAGGTGTACTGAGTTGAACCTCAAAACGATGAGCAGCCACAGTCCGTCGCGTATTTCTGATATGTACCACTCTTGGTGAAATCAAATGTGCCAAGTCACTTGAACACTTCCAGTGAAAGTATTTATAGAAGAGAGAGAAATCTCCAACCTTTCTTCGATGTTCCAGGCTCTGAAGGTTGCACGTGATGTTCGCGTCTCCAATCAGATGGATATGGCTCTCTTCTGGATGGAATCCAGCAACTTCGGGGTATGTTTGAGGGCAGAGCTCCATACTTGAGAACAATATTCCAAAGAAGGTCTGGTCTGAGCTTTATAAAGCATCAAAAGTTGCTGAGGTGTGTTCAGTTTTCTGGTTCTGAACAGTGTTCCAAGCTTTTGAGAAGCAGCTTTGCAATTCCAGCGACAAGATTGTACCAAAAGACCTATTGGTGTCCATTTCAACCCCCAACAAACTTATCGAAGCAGAAAGCTGAATTGTCTGACCTGACATTATTCTATCCTGTTCGGAGGCATTTATCTTCTCGGGGAAAACAGATGCCTGGGTTTTTGTGGCAATGAGTTTTATTTGGCAACGTTTTTCTTATCTCATACTTTACGGTCCTAGAAATTGAGTATGAATCGTTAAAAAAAATCATAATGAGAATAGTTATAATGACAAGTTCATATTGGAATTCCATTCAACAGTTAAAATTTCTGGTAAAATTTGAGAATTTACTATTTTCATTTGATTTATTCGAATGATTTTTTATTTCAACAGAATGAAAACCAAATAACAAAGAATATTACATTACACTTTTATTGAAAATTCCGTTTGTACGTCATAAACTTATAGGCGTTAATCAGTCAAGTACCTATTATATTATGGTATCCTGTATCCAAAAAGTAATACGCCGATAGCATATAGAACATATCTCTTCGTGCCCTTTCTCCTACATAAATGTCTCCATTACAAATCTCTCCAGTTCGTACAAGATGAGTAAACCCGAATGTCTAATCTCCTTCACAAAAAATGAGTTTCGTTCGATATTTTTCTAAATGTATACAATAAATAATAATAATATCCATACGAAACGGCTGCTTTCTGCAGACCCTAATTTTTTCATGTATTCTTTAAAAAATTGGCTCTGTGACAAATGTCAAATAAATTGACACAATGACAATTCATATCCTAAGTTTTGTGTTCCATATAAAATTAATCAACAAAAACTAGAAAATTGAGGTAATTTATTTTTCATTTGTTTTTGAGTTATAATAATTAACTCTCGACCTCCTAATTTTAGGCGAAATCGATCATCGTACCACATCAATAAGTAACAATAAAGTTTCTAAACAAAAATAACTGAAGACGGTGTTGAACCGCGCCCTGTTCCTTTTGCAAGTGTCTTAATAAATTATTCAACATAGGCCTATCCGATACTGCGTTGATGGACATGGTTGTCTCGAATCTCCAACAGCAACGTCTTATGACGGAGCAGCTTAGAAGGGAAGCTGCGATAAAGAGGATGCCAGTTTCACTTGCTGTGAAAGACATCATCAAGTACATCTCTGAACATGAACAGGATGACTGTTTACTTGTTGGATTTTCAAGTCAACGGGTGAATCCATTCAGAGAAAAGACGCCTTGCACATTATTGTAATTATCTGTTCTTTCTAATTAACGTTATATGAATTGCTATTTTAGACATGGATATTAATTTATAAAATCATTTTATTCTATATTATTTTCTTCATGGTTATCAATAAATGTAATAGTGGAGTTTTATGTATATCGAATTATGAAAAGTCTGTGAAGCCTATCATAGAAAACATCCTCTTTCATAATTCAAGGAATATTGCTTTTGAAATTGGGCAGGCACCCAATGTTATAATCAAGTTGTAATTTTGCTTGAGTGTATATTCCATCGAAAAAACCAAGTGTTTGTTATAATTGGGGTTTGAAGTCTCATTAGGTATTTCATGAAAATAACTGATTGGGAGTTTTCACAAACTTGCTTCATTGTTACTTTTCAAAAAAAAAATCATCAGAAATGATACAAATTTCCTTTGAACATTACTGTATACAATATACTTCTTTTCGAATATTTTGCTGGTGAATTTGTGAAACATCTCCGCGATATTCCGATCCTTGAAATATCATATATTTTATGCAATGTAAATCTAGTTTTTTAGAGCTTCAATAAACTATGATCAAAACTTATGTATTTTAATACACCATTTTCATTGTCTTTATCAGTTAGTTATATGTATCACATCGAGCTTCCATTACAAGTTTCAGATAGAGGATTGAAGTTATCAAACATTTTTGGAATATCAATGAACTGTATTGTTTTTAATTATTCTCCAACCCCTAAAACGTGGAATATGAAAGTTATTTTTGAATGATATTAAATATATTGCCTTCCACATTATGAATCTATCAAAAAAGCAATTTCAAAATATATAGGATTGTATAATAGTATACCGAGTGGTTCAGAAGTGATGGGTATATTTTTACGAGAGATTAGTTTTTATATAAAGATGGAGAAATAGAAAGCCAAAACCTTCCATCCTTGTATGAGGTAATGAAATGAATTCTTTTCTATTTTCTTTCAACAAAATATATTCTGAGTTTGAAATATGTAGAAGGTGGTTAACTCAAAACCAAAAATGAATTGTTTAAAATGAGTAATGTTTGACTTATGTAACAGTAATAACAGAATTTCAAATACTTTCACAAAATATTTTTCATTAAGATACAGGAATATTTTTGAGAAAGGATCCTAACCTATCCTAAAAATTATATCTCTTTCAATTTAAACTACAGAAATATGGCCCTTTAGTATTCACCAATAAATGACATTTATTATCATTTTTTAGATTCAATAAATGAAAATGAAGTGAATTAAAAAATGATAATGGTAATCTGTACATTACTGTCAAATGATCATAATTAGGTTTTGAAAATCGGGAAAAAAATGGGAGTTACAAAGCTTGATAATTTTGTATATAATGCCTGCTGATAATTAACAAAAATATATTATAATAAGCTTTCTACCGACAAACATTTTACATTTCTCTCAGATATTTATAACTATATGAAAACTGCTTTCACGGTATAAGGGTAGAAACAAAAAGAGGATTCGAATTCTATTAATTTATCAATATATTCATACAATTTCAATAAATAATATTTCAGACTGAAAAAATATAACATCAATAAAATCTCAAATCAACCAAACAAAAATATAACAATATAATAACCACTTCCTTATAGTAATTGTCTTCCCCAAAATGAATTTATTTACAATTCAGTTACTGAAATATAATTCAACTATTTATTTTTTTAGCGTGTGGTGTTTGTAGAAAAAATTGTTTTCAAACGACACAAAATTAATTGGATACGTTTTGGAAGCCAAACACTCTTAATTGCACTCTGAATAGAAGACATCAGAAAAATATACTTTAATATTTGAATCCATCGTTTTAAGATACTCCACTTCGTCGCAAAATACAACTTGTAGAAAAAACAAAAAATGTTTCAAAACCTGACAAATTTTGATAACGATAATATTCTACTAAGTTTACAATTCTTTCCGGAGTGTGCAAGGATGGGGTACAAATCTATGGGAAAAACCAAAATTCGAGTTTTTCGAAAAGGGGTACTTCTCAAACGACTGATTCATTTCTACTAAATGTACTTTTGAATTTTTTCAAGACGTACTGTAATATACAAGTAGTTTTTTCTCTCCTTAGCAATATTTTATATTTAGATTTGGTAAACATGTAGCAGTTTAGAACGACCATGTTATATTATTAAAAAACAAATGAAAATGCCAATAGAACTACAGTGCTTAGCTAGTTTTAGACAGTGACTCTTTTCACGCTTTGATGTATATGCAACATTTTGTTCAATAGCTCATGCAAGGATAGGTACAAAACCTACGCTTTTTATATCTTGCAAATATAACAGCTACACTGTTGATTAATTTCGTTTCATAACCCCTTGTTCTCATTTATGTCAAACTCCCTGGTGTTTTATATTTTGAAATTTCAGTTTCGGAGTCACTTTGTTTTGTGCCAGTACCCAAAATAAACAGAATTCTTGTACAGATAAACCAACTATTTTGGTACGCTGAAGAAATTTGATCACAAACTTACAATTTCATCAAAGACATACTTTGAATTTATATCACATTTTATAGAAAATTTCACACAAACAGCGACAAATAAAATGCGTATTTCGCCTTGCATTACCATAACAACCCAGGTACTTATCTGAAATTTTATCTTGTCAGCAACGATTATTAATAAGCTCCATAAGGATGCGGAAACAATTTCATCTCCAATAATCTTCTCAAACATGATATGAAATGATTGTAGTGTTATCCTTGTGTGTAATTTTTTTTTCATATTGATCTCTGAACTCCATTTGTCCTACATCATATAAATGATCTTTTGGACAATAAAGCTACTACCACTACTGCCTGGGACTTCGAACTACTAACTTCGTCCTCGCAGTCGACATTTACACCACTAAGTGTTCACCAGCTGCCAGAACGATACTACCACGGATAATATCTTTGCTAATGTTTCTTACTGTCTTTTGGATGTATAACCTTCCACAATATGAAAAATAAACAAAACTAAATCATTAGAGAATCTGGTTAAGTGTAATAAAGAATTATTTTCCTCGCCAACCATCTAGAGGAAGCTAAGTATAGAAATTTCAATTTTTTCATTATTTATTCAACTTGTGAGCGTAATTTATGAATATGAAAAGTTACACGTTAACTTTTCAGGGTGAATTTATGAGTTTAACCTTCGTCTGAATATCATGTAGTGTAAACATACCATTAGATTAGATTAAGAATGTAAGGCGGATTTTCACCAAACAGACAAAATCACAAAAAACAGCAACTGTGTCGATTTCAACAAAACAAAAACGTGAGTTGTCTGAATAACAAACATTTTGAAGACTTTGTGTCGCAGGCAAGTGTTTTTGTTAACAACGTAATGTCCCGTCGGTAGGCGGAAAGATCAAGAGGTTTCGGTGTTTAGTCTGTGTTTTAGTAAACACAGTTCGCTATATGGAAACGGTCGGCGATGACAACAAAACATCTATTCCGATATGACATATCTGTAATTTGTATTGTTTGAAAATTTTTTGGTCCCAGTACATCCAGTATATTAAACAAGTTCTCAAATTCGTGATTGGGCATTCTTAGAAAATTACAAAACTATGATCTCAGTTCCATTCATTCCTATGTCATCATTTATCAAATCTGCCATAATTTTATCCGTTCCATAATCTATTCGTCTTCTTACCAATGATCTCATCTAGTATCATTGTTTTCGATTATAAAAAAATTGTAGCCCATTATAAAAACATAGTCTAGAGAAGGTATGATGAAAACTGTTCATGTAGTGGAAAATATAGTTCACAACAAAACACGCGACTCAGATTAATTTTTTGAAAATGAAACTAGTCGCAAGCGAGTCTCTTTGGTCGAAATCCGTCTTAAAACTATCACTTAACTCACTGTATAATGTAATTTTATTGAAATAAATCCTGCACTATATCACGAAGGCAGAGCTCTTCGAGAAAAAATAGTTGCTGGCATAAGAGACCGAACAACAAGGGAAGCACTACTTCAAATTGATGAACTAACTTTAGAAAAAACTAGACATTTCTGCAGGATCAGTGAACAGAGCAAACAACAGAGTCTTATGTTTCAAGAGCACCAAAGTAAATATTGTTTAGAAGAAAGTTGGGAAACGAAATAGGGATAAGTACGAAAAGAGAAACAATAAATCAATTAAGTATGAAAAGAACAAACATACCTTTAAGTATCGGAGATGCCAGAAGATTCATGGCCTCCGTGAATGCCCTGCTTGTGGAAAGAAATGTGAGAAATGTGAACCATTTTGCTGTTGCCTGCAAGGTCAACCCCAGATTGTTAGAAAGCCAAAAGTTGGTTTGAATATCGAAGAAATTTGTTCTAATTTAAAAGGGAAAAAACTCTGCACTGTATTTGATTTAGCTGAAGGATACCACCATTTAGAGTTGAGCATAAAAATTTTTTGGATTCGATGAAGTCCGATTTTGTCTTGTCCTGACTGCCAAAGGTTCTACCAATGAGAAAGTTATTGAAGTGATTGTAAAGATGGTAGCTGGTTGACGAGAAGTCTGGGAAGTATGCTGATGACGCAAAACTTCGATGATCAATTCGTTTATTATTCGGACAGTGATTTGTGAATCGTGCGAATGGGCGTTGTCGTGGCACGATCAGACCCTTGACACCAGCCGCTGACCACCATACAGTAACCATTGCCTTTTTTGCCTTTAGGAAGTGCCTGGGTGGCTCATCGGTGTCTAACCACTGTCCTGAACGTCTCCTGTTCATTACACCTGACGATCCGATCTAAAAAAGGATCTTTTGGTTGCGCAAAAGCAAAGGACAGACCTCGAAACCTGACAATTACTGTCGATCGTTTCAATCTTGGGGCACCCACTTTTCGAGCTTCCTGACCTTTCCATCACGTTTTGAACCATCAAAGACCGCATGGGAACTAACGCCCAGTTCTTCCGCTATCCCACGCACTGTTTGTGATAGGTCTGTATCCAACAAGGTCCTCAAATCCTCGTCCTAAATTACTGTAGGTCGACCACTTTGGGGCTCATCTGCGAGGCTAAAATCTCAAAAACCAACCTCGAACAGTGGGCTCATTACCAATATCATTGCCAAATGATACTGGTAATGAACGCTACGAGGCATGTAAAGTTGTCCAAAGGTATTTTGTTTCTGTAGTACCATGCCCCTGCACACAAAAAAGTCTCAAAACTCGTTGATTCTCTTGCATCAAAGAGCCCATAGAAATTGTGGAGGCCTCATTTGCAGAGTAGGATAATACTTTTTTCAAGATATAATAATAGTAATAATATATTTATTTTTCAAATAGGCATCCTAATATACAAAAACATTTTAAAATTGGAAAGACAAAGTCACAGTCCAACTTCATAACACTAAAATATGTATGCTCGGAATTATCCAAGCATTCAATAAACAGGAAAAATAACACTGTAAATTACAAATACTAGATATATATGTTACTATAACATCAACATTAATTTGGATGTTGTATCTTCAAATGACTAGTAAGTCCTTTTTTGAATGTCATAATAGACTCACTTTGTTTTATCTCAAGCGGGAGGTTATTGTAGCCCAATAGTCCTTTATGGAATAAGCAGTTCATGGATCGTGTAAAGTTCAAACGTGGTACATATAAATTGGAATTCCCCCTAGTGGGGTAATTATGAATTTGGTGATGGAAAACAATAAATTGGTCAAAATATGGGGGTGCATAGAACAGACGGTCTTTCACAGAAAGCCAATCCAGAACTTCCAACATTGTTGTAGTTGGCGTATATCTATTACATCTTAAAATTAGGCGCATGCCTCTATTCTGTAGTTTTTGCAATGTAGTCAAACAATTTGCATCAAGTAATCGCGCAGTAATCGAAATGTGGTTGAATGATTGATTTGAAAACTGTAATGGAAATCTGAAACAGTAAGCAACTGTTTACATGGCTAAAGAAAAATAGTTTTTTAGCAATTTTATCGCGGATATAATTGAAATGTTTTTTTATATTCAGTGTTTGATACAAGATGAACCCTAAATATTTAAATTCCTCGACAATTTCAATTTTTTATTGTAAATATTTATACTTTATAGATGTTTTGTCAATTGAATTATGTTTATGTTTTGTTGTAATTATCATTGCTTTCCTTTTATTGACATTGAGCTTGAGTTTATTAATGTTGAGGAATTCAGATATTCTGATCATAATATATAGAGGTATAACAGGTTCGCTGTAATAAATGTATCCAATGTATCCATATGTTGAATAATAAAATACTGTGAATTTTAAATTTTGTTTGTTTCTATAGTTGTCTAAGAATTTTTGAATATATCTTCGTATTTTAGAAAAAAGTGTTGCAGTTCTGGCTTGTGGAAAAAGTGTTTTTGCTGTATTTAGCCAGAGGTTCCACTTCAATATTCATTTTTCAAAATAGGCAAAATATAAACTTCAAAATTGAAGTTACAATTACCTCAATTTTACAACTAGATCAGATTCATTGAACAGAAGTGAGAGAAGTTACTTGATTAAAATTTGAATCAGCAGAGTAAAGCGTGAATGTTTTGAGATCTTTTGATGTCCCGATTGCACAAATTTTCAAAGAATCTGAACTGGCTTTTTCATCGACGCTAGAAAAAACCGTAAAAGATTCGTTTGTTACAGAGTTTTCAGACGGATTTGAATATATAGTCATCGTGTTGAATTCTACAGGGGACAAATCTTCGTTGTGTATAACGTCACTTGAAACTTCTGTTCTGCTTTCTGTAGACTCTTTGGCGTGTAACGCGACGTGTGCTCGCAAGGAATGCGCCCATAGAAAGCTCTTGTTGCAAGTCGAGCAGAAGTGAGATTTGATTCCAACATGGGTTTTTTTGTGGACTTGTAAGCTGCTGCTTCTGTTGAATGATTTGCCACAAGTATTGCATTTGAATGGTTTTAAAGTCGTATGAATTATAGAATGTCGTTTCAATCGAGTCGAGGACGGAAATGCCTTGTCGCATTCACTGAAAAATTTATAACAAAAATTAACAAATGTGTGTCGGAAGCAAAATATATTTTTGAATATCAAATCTTTCGGGAAAGAACGATTTTGGCTTCCTATTTCTCCACCTTTATGCAAAAAATATTGAAAACTTTTGAAGAAAACACGAAAGCAATTAATTTTTACAATGAAGTGTAGATCATGCAGAGAAGTTACAAACTGGAAGAAAAATCTTTCCTGAAACAACTATTTCCATATGAACATTGAATTATACAAAAAACATTATTTCCCATTCAGTTTATACTCCAAACATTCGTGATGGAATCGAATCAGATATCATATCGCCACTGAGGTTGACAGTGTTCAATGTAAGTAAAACTTCCATAGAGAATGTTTGGAGTACAAACTGAATAGGAAAGAGTTTTTTTGTATATATAATTCAATGTTCATATAAAAGTAGTTGTTTAGAAAGAATTTTTTCCTTCGTGTAATTCAATGTTTATTTGGAAGTAGCTATTTTGAGAGGGCTTTTTCTTCTAGTTTATGTCTGAGAGTTACTTCTCCAAACCATGATCCACACATCATTATTAACAGTTTATTTCGAAATTAATTGTTTTTTCTTTTCGAAGTTTCCCATATTTTTTTGTATAAAGATGGAGAAGTAGAAAGTCAAACCCTTTTTTTCCAAAAATTATTCTCTCCTAAAAATTTACCCCTTTCAATTCAAACAAGAATCTTTTGGTTTTGTATGAATGAAAAAAAAATCATCCAACTTCTTGTTGATCTGTGTGCACAGTAAACTGAAATGATGATAATTATTTGTGATTTACCTCCAAAAGAAAATATTGTTTTGAGTGGATACTCAAAAATAATCTAACTTTTATTAAAATCATTTGAAAACTATAACGTTTTTTAGTTTCTTCAGGTTTGTAAGTTAAACTATTTCTGTATTTATCCCAAGAAACAAATCTGTTATGATGATTGTTATGATATTCAATAGAAATGGAAAAAACAATGAAATACTTATTTTATTGTTTCTGGTAACTGATTGAAAAATAATGATACCTTGGTTTGATAATTATCTGTTCAAGTGATCTAAATTAAAACAGTTTATTTGTCTGGTATTATAATTATGGCCATATTTTACTTTTTTTCATGTTGAAATTTTATGGTTAGAAAACACTTCATGTTTATATCCTCATATCATGAAGAGTTTGAATATTTGAATGATTTTTTTATTTAATTTTTTTTAAATTGGTTAAAGCTTTCGCTGCCGAGATTTTCAGTGTTACTATCTTCATTCGGATTTGAAGGCCGTCGTAGTTTGGAACTGCGTCCTAACGTTTCGCCATCACGATAGATGGCTTCTTCAGAAGTTTAGTCATCTTGATGATTCACCAATAACTGGTCATTTCTTGTTCATAGGTTGTATTTATGTTCTCAGGTAGTCCGCATCTCTTATTGATGCGTTGTTATTGGCCGAAGTGTTATTACCTGTTGATGATGTAACATTGCATTGCGCTGTTGCCACTTCAGCATCTTTTAGTATGGAATTCCAAATGCGGTTGAGCGTTACTGCCTCCTCTTTTCTGTTGTAGTTTTCCGTAAGTTTGTGGATTTCTAAGGCTTTCCGTACAAGCAAGTAGTTTCACATCTTCGAACAGTATCGTGTAATCTCTTTCACTAAGCGCGAGATGAGTGGGAAAGTAGGGATTCAAATAACAGAGTGATGATTGAAAATACTTCTGAATACTACTTACTCGCACTTGAATAGGTGTGAACCACAATAAACCCTTGCGGGTTGCGGTAGAGGGTTATGGGATTGAAAACACAAAAATAGGGGGAAAGTCTCAGTATGGTGTGTCCATACTTTTCAGCAATACTCTCAAGGGCATACACTTTTTCAAATGTTTTTGTCTGTAAAACTTCAAATAGTTGGTTTTTGGCATAGTTATCTTAAAAATACAAATTGTTATCCATTAAAAAACTTTGTATTTAATCTTTTCTCGAATTTTTATTCGGTACTTTGATGAGCTGTCGGGAATGATAGGAAGCGTTGTCAAGAACTATTACACTATTCGCATCCAAATTTGGGATCAATATGTTTTCAAACCATTCCTCAAAAATATTAGCTTCCATGTTCTTATGATAGTCAACATTGCAGTCCTCAAGTTTTTTTCCGCATAATTTCAAAGAATTCGGAACCCCCGCAATGCACAATGATTAGTCGCGATCCTTTGTTTGCAGGCATGTTAGGCGTACACATTCTCGAACTATCAGTCCACCCCTTTCGTAACTGTGTCGTGAGTATTTGTTACGCAATTCCACTATTCTTCTGCTTTCCGTAACTGCTTGACGTTTGTTTATTATTTTAAATCTAAATCCTAGGTTCTTTATCTAATTCTGAAGAGTTTTGTCACAGCAGCTCACGTTATGGCCGGAAGTATTCAATTTCTTCCTTATGATTTTAATTTTAGGACTCTCATTGCTTTTGTAACAGACGTATATTGTTTTTTTTAATGATTTTATCAGATGAACATCTAAAGGTTTTGGTAATCCCGCATCAAATCGCGTCTTGATATGTAGATTTTATATACATTGGAACATACTCTCTCTGTTTCAATATTCAAATGCATCCGAATCTTATTCACTGGTATCTCTTTTTCGCATTGTTCACCAGCGCTATTGGAATCACTACACAGGAAAAAGTCTGCGTTGTTATCACACTTGTTATTACTATTAGTACTTGTCCAAGGACGCCACATTTTGAACAAATAACAAAAATTTTAAGTAATTATAACTTCACCAATATCGAATTTCAACACTCAAATCGCGATCAGTTCCTGAACTGAACATTGACAACACGACTTTTCTGACCATCCTCACATTCTATTGGTCACCGTAACATGACTTCAAATTTAATTTTATGACTCTTCAGTCAATCCTAAAAGTCGGTTAGTAAAAATTATCCAATACGAACCGCCAATTCTTCAGTCCACGTGGACTAATTCGTAGCGGCATTATTCCTTTGTATTGGTGTTTTTTTGGCCTTTGAGTTCGCCGAAGATTTAAGAATTACTATATCGGTTACTTCGACTATACCGATACTAACGTTTCCGCAGGTGCATGGAATACGATTTACCCCCGCAGCTGATAGTGGATCTCATTTGTCTTTCGCAGATCTAAGGCTTTGTTGTATCTTCCCGGGTGGGCTTGAACACTGTTTTTATTTTATGCTTCCCTAAGATTTTTCCGATTCTATCTGTAACCCTACGGATGTACGGTAGAAATGTATGGCATCCGTTTGAGTTTCCTCCCTATTGACTTGTGGAAGTCTTCAGTTTCATGGCCTTGTTGATCTCGGTAACACTGTATCCATTCGATCTTAAAGCAACTTGAAGATGCTCCAATTCTTCTTGTAGGTTTTCCGGTTCACATATTCTACAGACACGTTCCGTCAGAGTGTTGATAATTCCCCGTTTTTGATGGTGGTTCGAAAGCGCATGCAGATATCTGTCTGTATGTACACTTTTCGGTACATTTTATGTGTCAGTCGTGTACTTTTTTTCAATGTGACCTAATGCAGCTGTTTACTTTGTTGTGACTTTCAACCTTATTGTAAATATATAAAAATTCAAATATATATTATTCAATTATATATACAGGTTCTTTGAAATGTGTCCATCCTCTAAATGAAATTTGATTGAATATTCATAATAGAAGGTTGCCTATTTAAAAATATATTGTTGGACATAAAATCATTCATAAAAAACTTGGCTGAAAGTTGATTTTTTTTCATTAGTTTTTTCATTGCTGCAGCATTTACAGAAATATAAAATTAGGCAAATGCAAATGTAGAAGTACATTGGATAAAGGTAGCAATAAGTAAAAGAAATGTAAAGTACTGTTGTGAAGGGTTCATTTCTAATCATCATTATTATATTATATAAATCCATTTTACTTTTTTCGAGAAGTATTAATTCAAGTCAATGAAATAACTGTTTCACTTTTCTTTCAGAAATCCAAAAATCCATTAAATTAATCAGAGTCATCAACATGAAGTTATTGTCCTATTGAAATTGAAAGCAAATATAAAAATGTTCTAGAAAATTCAGAAAGGGATAGATCAATTTGTAGAATGCCTGACGTTAGATCAAGAGGTATGCGGAAATATGATCCATCAAATGTACTTAAATATATAAGTAAGGCAACAGTCGTGGAGTATTATTTACTTGATTTTGTTCTTACATTTCAAATGTTTCTATTTTCGATCTACTATTTTTTGTATTTTTTTATTTGTTAAAAAATGTTAAAACAGCAAAAAATTGGACATCATGTTATAAGAAATTTAATAAAAAAATGGAGTCCTGATTTTTTTCAGATTGGACCATGACTTATAAAACATCCTGTATACATATCTGTGCCGATTTAAAACACATTGTTTTATACTTACTTGCATTTAAAAGGCTTTTCACCAGTGTGTGACCTCATATGTTGTACAAGATGCCATTGCATTGACATCGTTTTTCCACAAACGTTACACATGTACGGCTTTTCTTTGGTATGTGTTCTCATGTGGTAAGTTAAATCGGGAGCTTGTCTGAAACCCTTACTACATATTGAGCATATGAAAGGTTTGGAACCTGTTGAATAAATCAAAAATTACAACAGGGAACACAAATTATTCCAAAATAAATATTAGCAAAAGTTAATGAAAGAAATATTTACAACTCAACAAAAGCTATTGGTTGTATTGTACCAGTTATTTGAACTTTTGAAGTGACTGTTCTCTACAGAAATCTGTAAATGCACTGCTTTTCTGATAAATACTGAGTGGCTAAGAGGTTATTACAGATGTGATTCATGATGAAAAAGTCAATTACTTTATTTTTAATTATTTATTCAACAGGTTAACCCCATTCACAATTCATTATATGATCTAAAATTGTATACATTTAATAATTTACGATACATTCATTTAAAGCAACTAAGGCAATATATGAACAAACCATCAGTATGCAGATATATTGTTACATTAGACAATAATTGACCACACTGTACAGTTGAACTCAAATTTATTTCTCTACTACACTGCCAATACAACACAAAGACTATAACTAAACTTCAGACTAATACTCAAATGTCACTTCATTAGCTCACTTTGTACTGCACTTTGATAGATCAGCCTCATCTGCCTGTTGGTAGTGCTTATACTACGAGTATATTCCGACTCACAATGTGAATTAGACAAAATTTGTCCATTTGGAGAGACAAAAACCTTTTTTCAGGTTGTTATCAATAAAATTGCTAAAATAAAGCGCTGAAACTTTTTGTGTTGTTTTCACAGAAATTCAGCAGATATTAACCCTTGAATCCGGTGGATTTATCAACTGAACATTCTAAAATTGTTTCAATCATAAATAAAATTTGGCTACAAGGACCATCTTAACTTGATTTGAAGACCACTAGCCAAAGAACAAATTTATTCCAAGAATAAAATTTATATAAAGACAACATATCTTTCATAACCAAAAATTTCACATAATTTTTCCTTCAGGCAAAAACAGGGTTGCACCAAAAATACTCATACTTCATTATCATGAAAACTTGGAACATACAGAAAAGGAAACTCTAATTAACGATATGAGAATACAATTTTGTATAATCAATATAAGGCAATCTGTGAAATCTATTTTCAGACAATGCTAGTGTTGTAGAAAAAATAGAAATGTCTAACAGATGCAGTAAATGGCAAGAGAAAAAAAATGATATAAAAGTTAGCAATGTTGTAGTGTCAGTCCAGTTTCAAAACTATTGGATACTGTTATAATAGTCTTTATTCGAAATAGGAAGTCCAGCAAAAGAAAAACAGATACTAAAATTTATCCTTCTCCAATTCATCATTAAATTTGTTCAAAATCAGTTGCAGACCTGATTCACACGAATGATTTTGCAAAAACCTAACTAATTGTTGATAAAAATGTATTTTTTTTTTCAACTTGTTCAAGTATTAGATTGTAGACAGATAATTCCAAATTTGTTTCTAGTGGAGTTGAAGTGTTCACTGGTCGTATTTCACTTGCTTTGATTGTATTAACTATTTTGAGAACAATAGTATTAATCTTCAAGGTTTCAGATACACTACCTGTTTGTAGAGGCATATTAATGAGATTCAGAATGACATATTTATTATTTCGTTTGTGAACATAAAAACAGATTTTCTCATTACATATAATATTTTTGCCATTAACTATATCAAATCCGATGTTGTTAGGAAATTGGTTATAATTAGTATTATCTATTTTTTTTAGACGTTTCCACATGAGTTTGGAGTAATTGTCTTAAATAAAATACATTGTGAAAATTCTATAATCATTATCATGGATAATGAAATAAGATAATGATAGTGAAATAATATTGTTTCTATTTATATTTTAATATGTTAACAGTTTTATTTCTTGTTGTTTGTTTCTTGAAAGATTCCCATTTCTGTAATACTCACTGTTCTCTTACCAATCGCCTAGACATGAAATTTTTTTCTGAAAAAGCAAGTATGTCAACTATAGTGGTATTTATTCTTCTAGAGTGCTATAAGTTCAATGGGATATAAAATAGGATTCACAATTGAAAATTGAATTACGGTTGGAAAATAAAATATTTATCCCTGCAGAATTGATTCCTTGAGTATGCATGTTACTTCTTACAAATGATAAAAGTTTGAATCTGTGTTCTGTGTTGATAAATAACTTGTGATTCACTTCCTTAGTCATTGCTTCTACTAATAGTGGCTATTCATACAACAATAATGATATCTACAGTGACTAATACATTAAATAATTATAACAACAATAACAATTCCTTTCATGAATTTTTATACATGTATTTGTATCGTCATGAAATATTGCAGTGAACTCAAGTTATGAAATAAAAAAAAAAATCCTAAAATTTAATTACTTCTGTGGTCTATAGAATAGAATGAACTTCATTCGTTACTTGATAGATAGAATTGGAACCTCTGTCGTAAAATTAATATTTTAAAAACACTTTTCCCACACTGAGCTGTGAGGATTGCAATTAAAAAATACATTGGTCAAACTAAGCAGACTATATTCATTTTCAAAGACCAGAGAAGTATAGTGTCGTTCAATATGTCTTAGAGAATGGCCACAGAATAAGTGAGGAATGCTTGGAATTATTGAGATCGGTGCACGACGACAGGTTTCTAGATGCCTTTGAAAATTTAAAAATTAGAAAATGTGGAACAAGATCTATGAACAAGGGTCCCATTCCTAACCCCAGATGTATATAAAAACATTGAAGTAGCCATAAAAATGTAGTTCTGGCCATCTTCTGATCATGATAACATGGTTAGTATTTTGTTTTGGTGTGGGAAAAGTATTTTTGACAGATTTATTCATTAGCTTGCTCAGACCAACTGACCCTAGACATTTTATTTTTCCAATTGTAAATAAGGTGAAATGTTTTTGGTAGTCCCGTTTTTTGGAACTTTTCACTTATTTCAAAACATTGTGTTTAAGGATTGATGAGATTTAATAAATTATCGAAAGATTTTTGCATTCTTGTGTTCTACGTATTTATTATGGCTTCAATGTAATCAGTTGCATTAAATTCATGATTAATATGGCAAAGTTATTTAACACATATGACATCAAAATTTTGATGAATTGTAGGTAGAAGTTGAAAAACAGATATTGGAAAAAATACTGAGAAAGTCGGACATTATATGGATTTTCAACTGAAGACTTTCGAAGTTTTCGTTATTGCATGTTTTCATTATAGTCAAGGAAAGTTTTATTTTCCAGGAAAATTTTACTCGTAACTCAAAATGTGCAAACATTTTATCAGTAAATTATTGTTTGCTGTTTGGCAAGAAAAGAGTTAAGTGATGTCAATAAGGTAACGGTATTTTTGACTTACACCATTTGTAGCATCAGGAAAAGAAGTTTTTCATATAGAAATATGTGTTTTCACATATGATCTAATCTTTTGTCCAAACAAAAAAGAATTATTAAATGATTTTTCCTGAAATAAACTCATATATTCTCACCACTGTGAATTCTCATATGTGCTTTGAGTGTTCCTGACTGTTTGTACTTTTTTCCACACTCTTTGCATTTGTAAGGTTGTTCTCCAGAGTGACTACGAGTGTGATGCATCAAAGAACCATAAACCTTGAATGCCTTTTTGCACTCTGTGCAAACATATGGTCTGACATCATCATGATGTTTTAAATGATTTTTGAGACAACTTGCAGTCATAAAGGATTTTTGACATACATTGCATTCATATTCCTGCAAAAAAGGAAGGTGAATATAGTAAGATACAGCTGACACCTTATTGAAATGTGTAACAGATGTATCTAGTAATGTAAAAGAACTATGGCCCATGACAGTGAAAGGCATAGCCCTTTACTGATAAACATCTGTAAATGAGGTCATTTTTACCTGTGTTAGCCTTCTAATATTATTTCAACATACCTTAGGGTCTTTTCTACAAAATTTCAAAACAGCGTTTTGTTTTCATAAAAAAATGTTTTTGTCACTAGAGTTGTTTTTAAAAATTCTCTTCATTAGTTACGTATATTACGGTACTGTAACTTACCACTGTGCTATCATCTTTTTCTTTGATATAATATTTCATGTTGGGCTGTTCTTTACCAACTTTCTCAGGACTAGAATTGTCAGCCACTTCTAATTTGTTCATAGCTTTCAAATCCAAATTGAAAGATCTCATCTTGGGAGAGATCAGTTCAAGATTATCTACTTGTAAATTATCTTTTATGAGTTGGTCAACAGTGTCTTCTCCAAGTGGTATACAGTTCCTCAAATCATCACAATCATCCTCGCCTGGGTCTTCGGTGCCATCATTTTTCATTATTTCATCATTTATGAATACTAATTCTGAAGACAATAAGTCAGATTCAGGCAAAAATTCACTTTGAGGTGATTGTACCTTTGGTGATTCATCAGAGTAACTTTCTTGATTCCGTTTTTCCACATTCGTTTTATTTTTTGTTGACATTGGTACTTCAGCTTCTTTCAGATCATTCATTTGATTCATATATGAATCTAATAACATTTGTGACCGATTGCATTGTTGTTGAAATTTATAAGCGCTGTGTGCACTGTTGATACATTTAGTACATATCATAGTTGGAAATACATCATTTGATTCAACCTATAATGATAATGATACATTGAGCAAATTGTTTCTTTCTCAGATATTGAATAAAAAAAATTTATTTTTCTCACAGGTATTAACCTTTATTGTTGATAAGTTTGCAAGTATTTCGAAAATTGTCAGCATTTTATCATCGTTGTTGTCCTCAAATAACTCACTGTATAATGAGAACATATTATCACATTCATACAAACACACCCGACAAATTTTATTCAAATTCAAGTCTCTTATGCTTTCCATTATTGAAACCAATAAATAACAAATGATAATAAAAACAAATCAAATATCAATTAACTTGACACTTGACATATATGAAAACATTTCAGAATATGTTCCGAAATTAATTAGTTCCTAACCAACGTCATTAATTATCAACAGGATAGGAAAGCCAATAAAACTTCATTCGAATAATGGATCCACATGATAGGGGCCGCTAACGAGATGAGAAAAGCTTTGGCAAACTTGAAACAAAATAGAATTATCGGAGATTTAGACAAGCAGAACGTGAACTGGTTCTTCAATATTCCATTTGATCCACATATTAAAGGAGTCTGCGAGAGGTTGGTACGTTCTGTGAAAACAGTATTGCCCATTATCTTAGAGAAGAAGCAACCTTCAGAAGAATTACACCGAAACTAATTAACAGAGGCTGAGAGCATTGTGAACTATCATCCATTAACAGCTTAAAGGCAATATCACCAATGCATTTTCTGATAATAGAGACGGTAAATACTGAGAACATACCGGGCGATTTTAATGAATATGATTCTTTTGGACGGAAACAAACAGTTTTAGTCATCTCCTGATGATGCTAATTTGATTAACGTCAAGAGACATCATTTTTGTCTTGGGAGCGGAAAGTATTTTCGATAGATTTATTTCCTGCCAGATATTTCAGATTCTACTTATTCAGCAATGATGAATTGCACAGAAAATTTGGACTCGCTATATTAAGGGGTATCTTCCGCTTGTTGCCTGAAAGACAAAAATGCCGAGAAAAGAAGCCCTAATCAAAATTGGTTGGAGGTTAAAGAATGTCAAAGTTTAGTCACTTTGTATTACATGTTTTTCGTTTTTTTGAGTTTATAGTTGAGAAAAGTAAACAGTAATTTGTTTATATTTTCATCAATATCAAATTATTGCTAGCAATATCCTTTTGTTTCATAACAAAAAGAACCAAAAAAACCATTCAATATATTGATAATTTGTTATTCTATTCAATTTCGAATAGTTTTGAATTTGAATGTTCAAAATATAATAAATGAAAAAACTGTATGAAAACGCTTGATAAAGCTATTTTTTTATAAATATGAAACAATATGAATTCAACTTATCAGGCACACAAATACAAATTTTAATATAACTATCAAATATATTGGTACAGGAGCATGAAAAAAATTTCCCTCAGTTATCGCAAAGGTGCAATTTTGTTCCATCCTTTTCATAAAAGAGGACGTAAGCTCTTGTATACGGGAACACTAAAACCTGTACTCCTGTACAACCATTATTACGTGAGATAGTGACCGAGAATACCGACCATTGGTGGTGGTGGTAGGTATTCTCTGGTAGATATTGTCGATTTGACATGTATGTGATATGGCAAGTGACACGAGTTCCATGTTTTGTTGTCAGTAATGTTATTATTATAATATTTTTAGGATATATAGATAATTTTATTTTAAGTTTTAATTTATTTTTATCATTCAAATGTCGAAAATCTCTAAACCTGTTCTCAATTTAAAACAAGTGTGTATTTATGTATTTCCTCATTTATATTGCATTCACATAAATTATTTCAGTTTATATTAAAACAAGAGGTAAAAACTCTCTACAGGAGAATATTTAGAGCTGTAAGGAAAGTACCTGATCATCATTATCGCAGCGAATTGAAAGACTGGGCTAGAAGAGATTTCAGAAATAATGCTCACCACAAAGATGAAACTACCATCAAGATGTGTATCAAATATGGGGAGAGATGCTTGAGGGAATTAGAAACAAGTTTAAGTTTGGCAAAATAATTTATTAGTATTCACAATAAGTATGAATGAGCATTACAAAATGTCTGAATTTAAAACTATTTGAATCATTACTGATTACCTACAACACCCAATTTTTTTTAATCAATTTGAAAATTGTCACATTTAAAGGTAAGACATAATCACATCTGTGCAGGACGATTTAAATAGTAATTTCTACTAAATAATACAGAAAATCAACTCTAGCCATTCTGATTTCAGATATATACAAGAAAAAGTCAGTTCTGTAACTTTTTTTTAATTTTATAGTATATATTAAATGAACTTTTTGCTATTGAGTGTTTTCAATAGAACACATCTCATAGAGGATGATAAATCAGATTGCTGTGAAACTTTGAAATTTATTTCCTATTGCAATGTACTTTGCTGTTCATCTTTAAATAACTCATATGGATTCCTAATGGTTATTTTTTTCAAATACATATACACTCAGAAAAAGAGTGAACTCTTTCCTTCATATGTGACTTAGCCCAATTCATCCTTTATTTTGTATATTACCGGTTTTGAGATCCCCATGCAGAAACTTTGATTCAACAATGGATAGTATTGGTTTTTCTTCATATATGCAGGAACAAATTGGATCTTAGGAACACTGGAGTTCCAGCATATATGATTTAAAATATTCTGCATATCAGGATAACAGTAAAAATTTCCAATGATCCTGTTTATAAATTTATAATTTTGGATGCAGAATATAAGCAGTGACTAACCAAAAGGAATGTTAAAAACCAGGTAACGATTGATATTACTGCTCTAGTCATATTTTTTCCATATTTTTCTTCGAAAAACCAACAACCAACTATTTCCATTATGTATTGACCATCCATATACATAAAAGGTATTATGTTCAGAATAGCCAAGCCTAAAGAGAAAACTATAAGGTACTTGATAAATTTCAGTACAGCATCTGGTATTGTTGGACTGGTGAAGATGTATTTAGGGATGAATGATGAAACCATTATTGTTCTGTGAATATCACTGGGATGTCCCAAATATATAACATCTCGATGATTACTATTCAATTTGAATAAATGAGTAGAATTTTCCAAGATTGGTTTAAAGCAAAACTGATTATCAGGACAAATATGAGGTGATAGATCACAAAAATGTTCAGACTGTTCCATAACTTTTCTAGCTGGCAGACAAGCATGCATAGGCAATTCTAAAACTCCATTACTTTTATCCAAATATTCAAAACAGATATTTTCAGCTTGATTTTCACTGCAACATTCCAAGTTACCATTCTCCAAATGCCTTAATGCTATACTTTCATCCAAATTTCGAATTAAATCAGCATCAATGCAAAATGCTATTCTGCGTTTATATGTCTCTGAAAGACAGTTATACCAACTGTCTTCATTAAAAACCTTACAATCATTCACCTGAAAAACCACATCTCCGGAGCTCAAACCTTTTGTGCCCAATAGTGGAGAGTTTTTGGCAATTTCAGATATGACAATGCCTTTATCAATATGAAAAAATGGTGAAAATAAAAATGGTATAGACATGTACATCAAAAGGGCTACTAAAGTTAGAACTATATTGTGCCAAACACCGGCACACAGTACCTTGAGAGACTTCAGACCTGATGATGTCAATTTCTCAGTAGAAATATTCACAAATGCTACGGGTAAAACAAAAAATATATTAGCCCCAACTTCTATCAAGTTGACATCTTCTTTCACTGCAGCTAAAGCATGTCCCAATTCATGAACAATACTACAAACTATAAGGGTGAGGCTGTAATAACCAAGTTCTGAGGCAGGTAAATTAACACCAGGGATGATTGGCTCAATAACAAATGCTTCACTTGTATTCATAGGTGTCCAATTTTTCAATACAGAATACAGGAGAAGAAGCACTGAAAATGGCAATATCAAGAGACTTGTGCCTACCCCTATGGTGAACCAGATATTCCAGAATCGCGGTCTACTAGCACCCCATCTGATAAGTATGCGGTTGAATGCTTTCGTTTTCCATCTGATCCAGAAGAAACCTACGTGAAATCCAGTTCCTTCCAAAAATTTTATATATGGATAATGAGCACAAGTCTGAAATATTATTAGCTTATGAAAATTAATCTAAATAGTTCATTGTAATACCTTAAAAAAATTATCAAAAAACAGTAAAACACCGTAAACGACTCCTATAATAAACAATACTATAATCATATCCATCTTTCATTGTTTACTTTTCAAAACTTTTGTATTATAGGATAGGTTGTATTATAGGTTATAAGGTTATTGTTCTTCGTTTAATGACAGGTTTAATAAAACAAGATATGTACCCAACTACTATCTACTAATATTAGGTTATGTTTCTTTGTGGTAACACAGATAATAAAAATATTGGAACAGATACTCAAGACACAGAAGAGGAAGAGACATCTATTTGTTGCGGCACTTTGATGTTGTGATATCAAGATTTTGTGAGCTAAATTTTGTGTTGGAGGTGAACATACAATTTATCTAGTCTCTGACTGAGAGAGAGAGACATGTTTATATACAGTGTCACACATCAAATGGGATTTTTTTTTGTTCATCTCTTCAAGCAACTTTTGATATCTCCATTAGGTTGTGCTTCAAAAATGATGCCAAATGACATGCATATGACCGATCAAGTGATTTTTCTTCCCTGTCCAATTTGACATTTTTTCCAAAAAATGTTCAGAAAAGCAGTTATTGCTCGAAATTCGAAAATCGGTAAAGAGAAAAGATGATTGTTTTTTCATTTTTTACCCATATACCAATTTTTAGCTCTCTAGTACAAATTTAGTTTTTTTACAGTTTTTCGAAAATTTGACATTTGCCGATTTCTCAAATCTAGCCAAACCTCAACAAAGTTAGTGCTTTATGCCTAACTTATCTTTCCAACGCATTTTTATTACCAATTGCAATTCTAAATACAACTTATTTCGCAAAAATTTACAACACCAGGAAAAATTATGCCAAAAATGATGCAAAGTTGATACAGTTTTTAAAAACAGATAAATATTTCACTTTATTTCTACTTTTTGCGAAATAGCTTGATACATAAGCATATTTAAAAAACAATAATTTATTCTTTACTGCACTTTTCAAACAGTTGAACTTTGATTTACTAATTACGAAAAATTACAACGCAATTAAACTAAGGGAAGGAACTATACGAAAGTAATTTCACATTTACTAAATATCTTTTATGAGGTATGAATGAACAAAATTACTTCAGAAATCAATTTAGATTTTGTTGCCTAGAAAACTAAACCGTAAAAAATTCTAACAAACATCTGTTAAAATAAAAAAAACTTGGATTATGTTTTAACACGAATCGAAAAATATTGTTATCAAGAACTATGAAGTGTTTCATTTGAATTTCAAATATACTAACCCGTTACATGGTGAAAATTAATAATACATTTCTTGATAATAATCATAGATTTTCACAATATAGACATTATTTTCAATGGTACTCAATACTAATTTATTATACAACTTATTCAAATTATCGACAGATAGTTATAAGCACAGTTATCCAGCACGTATGTAGGAAATTTTACATGAAAATGAATTCAAGGGTGGTGGGAGATTAAATTCTTGTTGGTCGTTCAATAAGAAATTTGATTTTTCACGTTTATTAATTTCCTGGGATTCTACCAGGTTTAATTTTTGTGTTTAATTTTATGTATGTAGTTCGTCGTAGTTTACGTCGAAGTAATGGTTTTTTTCTAACAGATGGCTTGCATCACGTTGAATAAAGACAATTCATCATTATATTCGTTGAGTTGAATGATTCCAGATTCTAATAGTGTATTTTTCTCTATGTTAATGGCTTTTGGCGCATTAAACCAACTCTATTAGTGACTTCGGCGGTGAAAACCTGTTCTGAATTTTAGTTCTGTGGTTTTCAAAGATTTGAAATTTGAAGTGTGAAGCCAGTTTCACATAGCTATCTAAAGAGAGATTTTTGTTTTTTGGATTCCTGTCATATTTTAGTTCTGTTGGTTCGTTCTTGTTGTCGTTTAAGTGTTTAAAAATAAAATTGAGTACTCTGTTTAAATATTTTAGTCATTTGAAGAATGGAGATAGAAACAAACTCTGAATTGGGGGACAAGAAATCCTATGCTGGAATTCCTGAAGCAGAATTTGTAGTAAGTGACGTTCTAAAAATATAATTACCATTTTTTTTAACCTAATTTGAACCATATGATTTTTCAAATTCAAGGAAGATGTAGATACCTACATGAAAAGATCAGACAATAATGGGAATGTGGATGAAGTTTTGAAAAAATTAGATAGTCAACACGCAAAATACAAATTCATGGAATATAACTTGCTGTCCAAAAAGAAACGTCTTCAGACTCAAGTTCCTGAACTGAAACGTTCTCTGACTATGATTGAAAAGCTTGAAGATGAAAAGGAAGAATTCGAAACTCAATTTTTACTCAGCGAACAGGTTTTCGCAAAAGCCAAAGTTCCTGCTACAGAAACAGTATATTTGTGGTTAGGTGCTAATGTGATGTTAGAATACAGTTTGGAAGATGCAAAAAAACTCTTGACGCAAAACATTACAGCGGCAACAAGAAATTTGGGATATGTTGAACATGATTTAGATTTTTTAAGGTGAATTTTTAAATTTTTTTGAGCATAGGTATCTTGAGTTTGATATTTTTCAAACAGGGTTATATGATTTTTTCTTGTAACATGTAATTTTGTCTGTTGACCACAACTAACTGAAAGTCAAAGTTTGACAATCATCTAGTTTTGAGAATATTATTTTTGATTATATTTTTAAAATGACACTTTTTTATAGAGGCTTGCTATGGATATTAATTTATTTTTCACTTAAGTTTTTGTATCTTTGTCAATTACTACATTTCGTTACCATACATATTTATCGTGGGACTATAGATAAAATTTTACATAAGGTTTTCTTTGGTTTTGTTAGCAGAATCATACTTTTAAGCAAGAAGCGAATGCCCACACAAATTTATATCACGACTGAACATTATATTTCTCTTATGAGAATTTTTTTTGAGTAGAACAAATGAAATCATCAGCAAAGGGTTCACATAAAAAAATAAATGTAATCAAAGAATAATGTTGAAGAAAGTTGTTATATTCTGCATCAAAACAACTAACTGCTTTTTAGGGGCACTTTAATGAAATGAATGAAAACACTAGTCTAATTACCACTAGTTGATTTTATCTATACGACCGGGTTCGGGTTTGACCCCATTATCAAGTAGAGGAAAAACTATCATTCAGTTTGTACACCAACCATTAATAATCGAATAGAAACAGATATTCTACAGGACATTTGAAAGTATTGATATGAATTTTCACTTAAAAGAAAAGCTTTCTATCTATAGCAGGACTACCAGAAATTTTTTGTGAAAACACTGGTTTTCAACTCCTTATCTGCACCTATTTAAAAAAATTTAAAGACAATTCACCTAATGCTGAAACTTTTGACTGACACTGCAAAAAATTATTCGTACAACTTGTTACTTGATCCCACCCATAATAATTTTATTTATTGAAGCAGGAATATTTTTAGAAGAGATCAGTAGAGTTTTTGGAAAAAGGTTTTTTTTTCTGTTTCTCCATCAAAATCCTAAAAATCCTTTTTTCAGTACACGAAGTACTTTCCACTGAACTACCAACATTAACAAAGGAATGCAATTTTGATTTAGAATGCATTCATCAATATTTTGTTGTAAGGACTGAAAAAATCGTAAGGATATTATTTTTTGTAACATTACTTTTATTGAAATTTTCTGGTAGAAATGACGTGGAACAACTGCATAACTAAGATTAATTCTCAAAACTTTTTCTAGACTTTCAATAGTGATAGTGTCAAAAGTAATAACCAAAACGTCAATGACAATATTTTAAAGTGGTTTTTATTAACAAAGTCTGAAATAAAACTCTATTTCAACGAATAATCTGCTGAAAAGGAATTCAAATGGAATCAGCATTATACTGAGTTCTTAAATGGGAAAGAAATGGTTTGGCTTTCTAAATACTTCTCCATGTGTGAATATTACAAAGAAAGGAAGAAAGCAAAACTGTATACAGAGGTGTGTGATCATGCAAAGAAGTAACTTTCAGACACAAACTGGAAGAAAAAGCCCTCTGTAGTTGTGTCAAAAGTATTTTTCTTTCCTGTAATTTAATGTTTGTATGAAAGTAGCAGTTTCGAGACGGCTTTTTATTCCAGTTTGTGTTTGAAAGTTACTTCTTTGCATGATCTACACATCTTCGTATAGAGTTAATTTTTGAAATTGATTGCGTTCTTCCTTTCTTTGAAAAACGGAGGAGTAGACGGCCAAAACCTTTCTTTCAAAAAAAATCAATCTCTCCTAAAAATATACCCCTTTCAGTTCTTAGATATATTGTCGTTTCTGTTTAATAGCATTTGGCAGTTCAGAACATGATAAACAACTGAAATTGAACAATTTAGTATGTTCATTAGTTTAATATTTTTTCGAAGTGCTTTCTGCAGACATAAGATGTATATTGCTGAAAATATATATGATAAGTGAATGAAAATCCAAAGTATGCAAACTCAAAAGGGGGAGGTAATTTTCCAACTTTATTTTTGTGTTGTCGAATAAAGCCATTATTTAATAAGTATTCCACGTTTTCAAAGAAACTAGGCTTGATAATATGCATTTTTTTAATTTCAGGGATCAATTTACTACAACTGAAGTGAATATGGCAAGAGTCTTTAACTGGGATGTTAAAAGAAGACAAGCATTGAAAGCAGCAACAAAATGAATCTATTTAATTGTTGGTCTCATATAAAACAATTATTTGCTTGAAATTCATTAACAACTTGGATAATAACATGATTTTACTTTGAGTTGTCAATTGGTACCGAAAATGTAGTATTATTTGATAACTGGATCTTCAAAAGTAATAAATATATTAACTTTCTCTTCAGATGATATCTTTGACTATATTTTTAGCCCTGTTGAACACATTTGATTGAAATACATTTCAGGCAGAGACTGATCACCTCTGAAATACAGTTTCATAGCACAATAATCAGTTTATATGTCCTTGGGAGGTACAAATAATGGTAATAAATTATTTATAATGGAAAATAGCGATTTATGATGTCAGTAACAATAAAAAGGCAGGATTAGCTTGACTATACCAGAGCACAAAAAAAATGAATTTGTGATCTTACACAAGACCACATTGTTTCGACCCACCAAAGTGTCATCTGTGGTGCTAGACTGAACCACGAATGCATGTCCTCAAAAGACAGCCTAAAAACGTTAAAGTGATGACAACTTTCCTTATGAAGAAATCATCGATTCACAAATATCAAAGATAAACAAGGCTTTCTAAGATGAATTGTTGCAAAGTGAAGCTTCGACATTGGCCAACAAATAAGATTTATTTTCTCTGCAGCTCGAATAAATGAAACCAGAGCCCTTATCCATTTCTCATCTAAAACATTCAGCTATGGCCAATAACTGGTTGAAGGGTTGACTGTGAAGTAGACTAATTTTTTGAAATGAGGAAACTCACTTGAAGTGAGTCCTAATGCTTTGCAAATCAAATAAGTAACGACTTGGAACAGTTATGGATCTCGGTTAAAATGAGTAAAACCTTTATATTTGGAATCTTACATCGTCCTCCAAGTGGTAACATTCCTGAATGCTTAAATGAACTTGACCAAACTATTTCTAATTTACTGTCCATATGTGATTCTTTTCTGGTATCTGGAGATTTGAATATAGATCTCTTGAAGAATGATAGGCGTTCTTCACTATTGAAAAATGTTATTGAGTCATATAATTTGAAGCATGAACCCACACGCATAACTGATTATTCTCAAATTCCTTTAAATGTTCTTATTGCAACGGATGAAAAAAATATAGCATCAGTAAATGTGTTTGACGCTGGTATATCAGATCATTTAGCTGTAAATTATTTTAATTGAAATTACTCGTGTATTTGTGGATCTCTTTTGCCTCCTATACCAGTCGGCTGTGGTATCCCTGGTTGAATGCAATGTTTGAACTCTTCTTCCTTAGCAAGGACAATGCTAAAAATCATCTAGGACATAAACAAAAATTCAAAAATAACGTGGGTCTCAGCGGCGTTCAAATACAGTTCAAATACAAAACATCGACCGCAAGAATGAGAAATTTCTTTCTCTCTGCAGCTTTCACTTCAAAAGATTATAGTAAACAAGATCATGAATGCAACATGTAATGTTTGACATTTTTTCTGTGATTTTTCTTGTTTTAACTTTGTTAAAAGACTCCGGGACAGAAGAATAGAATTTAATCATCTGTAAAAGCAGAACATAATATGTTGCAAAATAATTTGGTACACAAATGTTACTACTTCATTAGACTAGTCAACTAAAATCAGAATATATACCTATTTATAAGACTATTCTACATACACAACCTACTTTCAACGCTAAAATTTGTTAAAAAAGGTCATATTCAGTCATTTAAAAATTCCTTCACAGAATATAATGCTTTTCTCAGCAAGAACTTACTTAAAAGAGATTTAAAAGTTTTTAAAATCATTGAAATTTTTTTTCACTGCCATATTTGTTCTTGAAATAATTATAAAATACGATGCCTTTGTATATGTGAGAGCATTGACCAATGGCAAGTCTCGAAAACGGCTGCTGCAAATTCCTTGCACTTCGTGTATTATAGTTATGGTGAGCACTATTTGTTGGTAGTACTTCCAATTGTTTTTTTTACGTTTAAAATAGTTTGAAATATGTACAATGATGGAACAGTTAGAATAGATAATTCAGTAAATATTTATTTGCATGATATTCTTTGATGCACTCCTTTTATGCATCTAATAATTTTCTTTTGCTGTAGAAATACTTCTTCTATTGTTGAGCCTCCCCAAAATATCAACCCGTAGGATATATTTGATTGTATCAAACCATAGTAAACCAACAGCAGCACGTCCATTGACACTGTATTCTTCAATTGCCTTAGTACAAAGCAGTTTTTACTCAGTTTATTACATAAGCTGTTAATATGGTTTTCCCAGCTTAGTTTATGGTCCAAGGTAATACCTAGAAACTTCGTTGATGTGACCTGTTCAATACTTTTGCCATCAATTCTAATCAGGGAACAGAATGTATTATTGATGTTTTTTGGAATGAATGAGATAAAATTTGATTTTTCTCTGTTCACACACAAGCCCGTACTGGTACACCATGTGTGAAATTGGTTTTCAACGGTGTTGGCAGTTTCTACTGTTTTTGCTAAGTTGTTTTCTCTCACTATCATAGTTGTGTCGTCTGCATACATTATTTTGTGCGCTTGTTTGCATGTTGAGGTGATATCATTGACAAAAATAGTGAACAGTACTGGACCCAGTAGCGATCCTTGCGGTACCCCTACATTTACAGTTTTCTCTTCCGATTTTGTACTACCCAGTATCAATACTTCTTTTCGATTTTCGAGATACGATGTGAACCAATTCAGTGGCGTCCCTCTAACACCAATGTGTTAGAGTTTCTCAACTAAGACATTGTGATCGACCGTATCAAATGCTTTACTCAGATCAAAGAAGAGTACAATAGAGCTGTTTTTTGAGTTCAAAGCATCATATAGTTGCAAACATAATTCTGCCATAGCAGAACTGGTAGACTTGTTTTGTCGAAAACCATGTTGAAATGAACCTAAGAGATTTCGAGATTCAAGGAAACTTGTTAATCTCGTGTTGAAGGCCATGTCTATGATTTTTGCAATCTGACTCTGTAAGCAGATATTTCTATAATTATTCATGTCATCTCTCGACCCTTTATTTTTATAGATAGGTATTGATTTAGAGATTTTCAAGGAATCAATGTACTTTCCAGAGGTGAACTATTCATTAATTATATGTGCTAATGGTTTGCTTATTTGCACTTTCACAAAACGAATTAATTTGCCATCTATTTCGTCGATACCAACTGACGGTTTCGATGTAGTTTTTGTGATAATTGATTTCACTTCATAGGGTGTTATTGGTGTTAGAAAGAATGAGTCCTCATACATTGGTGACATCGTTAGCCCACTACGGTCTGGGATAGAACCTGATGTGTTAGTGAAATAATCACTCAAAATGTTGCAGATTTGGGTTGGGTCAGATACTGTGTTATTGTCTATAATTAATTGGTTGATTGTGTTACTATTTGATACACCTCTTTTTTCATTCACTATTTTCTAGCTCTCTTTTGTTATATTCGATGAATTCTCCAGTCTATTATTATTGAATGTGTATCTTGCTTGCCTCACTTTCCCTATATAAATTAATTTCAGTTGTTTGTATCTTTCTTTAATGATGCTATTAGTTGATGTTTTAGCAATATTACTCATTTCGCATAACATTTTGTTCCGCCTCCTACCCCTAAATCCGGCCCTGGGAATGATGTTTTTGATATTTTCATTAGTCTCATTTATACATTCAATTTTAAAAATATGTGATGGAATTGGCCGATACTTGATGACAATCCATAATGTATTTAAGTAACACCTTATTGGTAGATTTTCACTGAATAGTTCACAAAACGGCAAAACGTGTTTCACTATACGATAGCATCTTCAGGTGTATGAACATGCCCGAGGAAGCTATTTGTATAGTGAAACATTATGACTTAGTAAACTGGTCAGTAAAATCTTATTAAAAAAAAAAGAAATGATACTTCTTACATTTTATTCAAGGCAGATATAAGTACAAAAAAGTCACTAACCAACTTGACGGATTATAAATGCTTATTTTTCCCTGTAACAGGAGAAATTAAATTGCACATCAAACGTTATAATCATTATTGCACATTTTGGGTGAAAAACATAATCATTTTGTAAATCTACCTACAAAAATATTTCACATCATACATGATGCTAATAACACACTAAGGTACAATAGCAATTACCTGAAGAAACAAGTTTTTTGTATTAACCCAGCATTAAAGAATCGAGTTTCTCAACATAACGTAGAAATGCAAAAACCCTTATTCAAAATCCAATCCACTATTTTGAACTATAACGCTCAAAAGCAATGGAATGTCAGTCAAAAATTCTGTTTTTTTTGTGATCACTTTAATCAAACTCAATAATAAACTTCATATAATATTAACATAACAAAAAATCAATGTCAATGCCATATTTCTATTCATGACATTTTACACGTGAAATAAAAAATCTACTCTGAAGTGAGGAACATAAACATCACTCTGTAAAACAAAAACATATAGCACCCAGTAAGAATAATGCCCCAACACAGTACTGCAAAAATAAAATTCTCTATCAACGCAAAATCAAGGTGTAAATAGTTCAAAAAGAGCAATTAGTGTAACCTATACTTTTACTAGGTTTACCCATTTAATTCAGATACCTTAAGTATTTTTTACCAATTGACTTGAAATTCATACATTTTTGAATTGCAAAGTTATTCTTGCTGGAGTGCAAAACATCAAGCTTACACGCTTGGGTGGTTTTCGTAACAACTTATCAAGTATCATTATTTTCAAAAAATCTTCAAAGTTTATAAATATGAACGAAGGAAATGATATCTAAAGGAATGTAGATAACTATTCAATTTCATTAGGTTGACCATGTCCGTCATCCGGGTCTGGCACATTTTCCCCTTCTTTTGTTTCCAACCCTCCATCCATAGCTTCAGTTAAATGTTCGCTGTGTTCAAGTTTCAATTGTTCCAACTGTTCTTCGAGGCTTTTAACCTGGTTGTTGGCATTTTCAAGTTTTGAAATTAGCTGCTTTTGTGTATCCAAACCTGCTTGGATGGAAAGTTTATCAATGATATATCTGTTTCTAAGTTAAGGAAAATAATTGAAACTAATTGAATACATAAAATGAAAAGTACTTTTACAAACGTAAAGCACAAGAAATCAGAATTTGTAAAAAACAGCCGATATGACTTTCAAATAGTAAATAAACTATCAAGGACGGAAATAACGGTTTCAAATCTATTTTCTGGGATTATTGGCCATGGTCTATATATTATATTGCCTTCTAGTGAAGTGTTTAAATAATCCTTATTTGTTTCCTTGTGGTCCATATTTTTTGTTTTAATATTTCCCATTTATTATTAGAGATGTAGAAAAAACGTTATTTTTTCAAAAATCAATTTTCCCAAAACTTTTTTCAGGACTGTCAAGATGTACTTTGATATACAGGCACATATGGTCAGTAAAATACCCCATTATGTTAATTATTATTGAAAAGGATACTGCAAGGCGTCCTCTGGTTTATCTACCTCTTCATAGAGATTTACCAAAACCTTGGTTAAGGCATCCATTATTCCATTTTTTTCTAAATACTTACGAAATTCTTCTCTCTTTCCCTCGGACGGCTACAAAAAATACTTACTCAAAAATAAAAGATCAATAATGATTAACGTACCTTGAATGTTTGATTTGTAGTCATATTTCTAATTTATTAAAAAATAGACTAATAAACGTTAATAAATGTTTCTAAAAAGTATTTTATTCGGAATGAATGCGTTGAATGACAGAACGCAATGATTGTCAACGACAATTTGTCATTCACTTTTTAAAAAAACTAGAACCATAGACATAATATGATGGAGTCACTACCACGTGACTTTCCCAAAGTGATTTAGATTAAAGAAGGAAGAACTGTGAAGGATAAATTGAAAACAAGAATTTACATGCACATCAAAGGAAGGCTACCGTTTACTTGAAAACTTTACCAGAAACTTTAACAAGTATGATCTCTAGAGAAAAAATATGGAGTTGCCTTTCCTTTTTCATGCTTCAAGTTTTGTAGAAAACCGAAGTTACACCGTTACAACTTTTCTTGTTGAAACATAATAACTATATTTCTGCGCTACCGGTCATAGTTACAGAGTAAAGTTTTGGTTTTTGTTTCTGAAATTTTTGTGAGTTTTCCATTGACATGACAATATAGACTGACTGTTTGTTACTTTTGAATGCATTCTACTGCGTTTCACAGTTTTGTGAATGACGTCACTGCCTACTTGGTAGTCGTTGATATGAACCCAATTAAACAATACCGAAATGAAGCACAATAAATTATTTCAGTCTTATTTGCCATAATTTTTTGTTATCATCACGTTATTCGTGACTATAACAAAGAATGAACATTTTTACAATAAAAGTATGGAATACGTAAAATATCATGACGTCAAATCTGACGTTTCAGTTTAAGAGTGACGTAATGCCAAAACGTGGATTTTTCAACTTTTTTAGATGTTGGAGTCAGTGTTCTGTCTTCAATGGTCGGTCCATACTATGACATCACTGGAGTTTTGCCTCTTCTGCGAACTGCAGGGTTCCCAACTTAGGGATTTCCCCCTCCAAATTTTGGGAGAAAGTGGGATTGGATTATTACGGGTGTTAGGTATTTTTGGGGATTTTTATTATGGTTCTATTCACAGAATGGTGCACAACATTTCAACTATCTGCAATAATGTTAAAATTAATCAATGTTAACATGTATGACTCTAAAGAGTCAGAATCTGAAGAAAATGATTCGTTACTTGAAGTTTTAAATAATTTATGAATAGTCAATATTGCAATGAAGTTTCATTTGAATAAGTTATGGTTATTGAAAAATGTTGCTGAATGATATTTTTTTTTGATTTTTTTGAATGAACTATTAGTTGATATGTTATAATTCAATAATTATTTTCAATGTATTATTTATCTAAACATTAATAATTATTCATTTCATAAATAATACATTTTTTAGGGTAAATTCTTAGTAATTATAGGGATTTTAGGAGTTTTTGATTAGGGATTTAGGGAGATACATTTCTGAGAGTTGGGAACACTGACGTACTGGAATTTGAAAACTGACATTATATGTAATGAAATGTTTCGGTAAAGTATGGTGGGGATCGGACCCTAGAATAATGATGCTAATGTATAAGGGGCTAGTACAATCACATTTAGATCATAGATCCATTTTGCTCAAACCCACAACAACAAAAAATAAAAATAATCTAGATAAAATACATAATCAAGGATTAAGATTGATAACAGGAACAATGAAATCTACACATATTAATGCATTATTAGGAGAAACCGGGGAAACTAAATTAGAAATCCGTCGTCAATGTTCAGCAATTAAATTCCTGATCAAAAGATTATCAATTAAATCTCCACTAATTCAACTTACCACTACACTTAAAGTTATTTGTTATGAGAAACTAGGGTACTGGAAAAATAGAGAAAAATCTTATATGGTAACCGCTTTAGAAATCCTGCAACCACATAAAACATGGATATATACCAATGAGATTCTTCCATGCTTTAGTTCTAACTTCAACTCATATATACACGAAATGGAAATAATAGATTTAAATATGAAAAAGTCAAATGTTAATAATAATAAAATATTTCATTTAGCCACCGAAGACTTAAAAGAACAATATACTTTCGTATACACAGACGCTTCAAAAAGAGAAGGAAAAACGGATATAGGAACTAATATCCCAGAAATAGATTTCTCCTTTTCGGCCAGAGTAAATGACATGGAAAATATCTGTGACGCAGAGCTAATAGCCATTCATGAAAGTATGGTAGTATGCTTAAGAAAAAACTTGAAAAAGAATCTAATATTTACAGATTCCAGAAGTGCAATAGAAAAAATTTTACCAAAAGAAATAACAGCTAAAAATGATCATATGAGTTTATCCATCAGAGACATGGCATATCAGGCTTCATTAAATAACACCTTGTTTAAATTTGGATGCCAGGTCATGCTGATATTAAAGGAAATGAAACGGCAAATACTTTAGCAAAAATAGGAACCAACTTAAATATTCCGTTAAATATTAAATTAAACAGTCAATCAAATTATTTTAATATAAAACACACAATTATAAATAATTTTAAATTACAATGGGAAATCAAAAAAGCAGGAAAAACCTGTAATAAAATTTATGAAAAATACCCTAATAAAACAAAATGCATGAATGCGGTCAAATAGAAGATTTAAACCATATATTTTTGGAATGCCCTATCAACAGTCTCCCAAATAAAGATATATATTTTGAATTCAATAATAAAGGGGTTAAAACTCCCTTCAACATATTCCAAGTTCTCAGTAATTTGAACCTACAAATCATAAAATTTATTATCCAATTTTTAGACTATAATAAAATCAGAATATAATTGTTATCCCGAAGAATCTATCTCCCATATATTTATAACCTTTATCAAGTAACCTAGAACCTATTGTTTGTATATCTTTATCAATCTACTAACCTTTAAAGCACATGAAGAAAAAAACACACAATACTAAGAAGTGGATAAATTGAATAGAAGAACTGAACAAATTTAATGGGTTGTTCATGGGCTTAGCTCAGATAAAGACAACCCCAGGTCACAGTATTTTGTATACAGAAATACTGTGCCCAGGTATTGAGCTGGACCCAATTGTGCCTGAATAGGAAGCAGCGGCCAATAAAGAAAGAAGAAGAAGATAATTCAAAACAGAAGTCTTGGATTACAGCTGATTACAGCATGATTCACAATCAGACCAAGCTGTAACCATCCGAATCGAGCTGGCTAAATGCGCCTATTGGCACTATCGGGAAGCAAAGGCCAAGAACTTTGAGTGTAGTGAAGTGAAATATTCAACAAATTTGAAACAAATCAACCGAAAATGGATATTTTGAAAGCAGAAATTGCCAAGAAGAGAAAGCTGTTGGAAGAAAAATCACTTCTGGTATGCAACTCTTGTGGGGGTTTAATTTATTAGTAGATTTTTTATATTAAATGACTAACTTTTATTTTAGAACACAGAAAAAAAGTATTTCAAAAGAGGTGAACTGATAGAGAAGGAACAGGAAGAGTATCGCAAAAAATATCATAAACAAAGTGAAGTTGATGTGAATGCAGCTACAGTTCCTAAGGGTGAGAAAAATGGGTTACCCTTTTGGATCTTTGTCATTGCCAGGAGCAATAATGTATTAAAGACAGGGGCATTGCTTAGTTCAGGTCCCGACGCACTTTTGTTAATGAACTTATAATATAAATAAAAATGTTTAATAGATATATTAATGACCCTTTTTCGTGAAGTACGAAAAATCACTCACTAGCAGCACTAGTAGTTCGGTAGGGACAAACACTGCCTAATCCTCATATAAACATATGGTAAAGTACAATTGAAAAAGAATGTTTTTAACAGAAGGAGATGTTCCTGGAGCAAAACTAAAATTTGCAACTGTAAAGGATAACAATGTTGTAACATTTAAACGTTGGCTTGCATGCCCTAATTTAAAAATAACTGGAAAAAAAGTGAATTAATAGTCAGGTTAGTATATAGACTCTAGTAAAAGAGTAGCGGTAGAATCAAACTGTAATAAAAGAAATTTAAAATAATTATGAATTTCAGATTTATTTCCGAGTGAAATATGAATCAAATGTAGATGGTAATGAAATAAAATTAATTAAATATAATAAATGAATATAATTTAACAAACGATAGAGGTTATATCTCATTCTAATCAATGGTAATTATTAACTATGAAAAATGTACTATTCAATTCATGTTTAGAGCATACATATGAATATTCATTCATTTTTGCACTGTTTAATCCACTCTTCTCGAAGCATGTATCCATTTCTTACATCTAACCTCATTATTATGGGATTTTATAAATGGAATGAAAAACACGTTTTCTTCCAGATATCGATTATCCGACGTACAATTCACAAAACAGCAATGCTTTGTTGGTATTATACTAGCACAAAATAATTTGTTATATCAGATTTATATTTTTAAATAATAAATTAATATTACGTAAATAACACTGTTTTACATGTGAATTGTTTATTGTTTGTCCCTACTGCCTCTCGTGACACGTTTGCTGTACTATTCTCAGGAAAAAGGCTCATTTAATATTAGTACTGGTAATTAAATTAGGTTATTCTGGTTATATTTTAATTGTGCTATTGAACATTCTTATTTATGTTATAGGTTCATTAACAAAAGTGTGCCGGGATCTGAACTAGGCAATGCCCAAGGCGGGTTTATAAAAAAGAATGATAAAGTAAGAAATAAAATGGAGTGAAGCAGGAAATGAAATAGAGTGAAAAAAATAAAAAAGTCAAAAATGCACCTTCTAGACAGAGTATTTATGAAAGGAATAAGCCAAAATAAGGAATTAAAAAAAAATCTGTTTTAAAATCTGTTTTTCTGTTAACCAGCTGTCGCACCCCTACGAACAAAAACCCTCAGAAGTCGAAACTTGTGCAAGCTAAGGATTAACGAGGTCTTACTTTTTAATGTGTGATTCCTAACTTTAAACATTTTGGTTTATATTTAGTCCATACATTTCTCTGAGCATGTCTCAATATGTCACAGTAGTCAGGAGACTACTCATTAATCATTAATATTTTTTTTTCAATCTCGAAAAAATAACCTACACACCTACTTATTTTCGAGAATCGTGTTGTCTTCTATGATATGATTTGTCGATAGTTACTTCTTGTTTTCCTTCTTTTTTTATAAATGGATACATTGAGAGTAGGTTCAATTGTGGGAAAGTTAGCTATTTTCGAGTACTATTGAACAATACTAAAAAATCGCTTGTAGCTATTTCAGTTGAGAAGATCTATGGAAAAATCAAAAATCAAATTGAGTTTTTTTGATGTATCTACTTTGTTAACAGAAATTTGTTCAAACTTTTTCACAAAAAATTTCAGTTAGCTTCCAGAATATATGTAATCCTGTATAAAAAAATCAAAGGTTGAATGGCACATTATCAATCCAAATCTGAATATAAAAAGTGCTAAAATACATCTACATAATTGCTTAATATGGTGAAAAATTTGAACAGGAAAAGTGATAGAAAGTATCAAGGACACAACTTCAGAACTAAATACTCTTTGAAGATACCTACTACTCTTTGATGATGGATTGCATAAAACTTCTTGATATTATACTAATTTTTAGCTGTAAATTCTTTCATATATGTTGAAATGAAAGTTGAATGTTTGTTTGAAAATTTTGAAAGTTAAGTGAATATATCTGCCATTTTCTTTGACTCTGTACAAGTCTCCGATACTATTTATCAATCACTACTTCTGATGCACTGTTTGGAACCTATGATGCAGTAATGAATATTACTGGAGTTTTTTCCCAACACCAAATCGTTACTTTTAACACCTCGACACGTGTTTCGATTACCAAGTGATCATCTTCAACAGGAAGATTAAACCTCTTGAAGATGATCACTTGGTGATCGAAACACGTGTTGAGGTGTTGAAAATAACGATTTGGTGTCAGCTGGAGTCATTTGGTATACAAGGACCAACCTTGTTATGGATAAAGACCTATTTAACAGAAAGAATACAACTAGTTTGGGTAGTATAAATTCGTATGAAAATTAATTTACGAGATGTTTTGAGCTTGACTTCCCCCGTGATTCTCATAATTCTTTTTTGGATTCTGAATATCTGATTTAGGTAATTTGAAATTATCAGAATAATATTCGATATGAATACAAGAGATTCCTGCAGAGGAGCCTTTAAGATCAACAAACTACTTACTGTGTCAGCAATCTATATCTGAATCAATAAAATTTATCATCAATCATCCAGGCCATTTTGACATACATCGCAAAACGCATATTTATGAAACAAGACGAAAACAGACTTCTCATATTTCATCCATATGCAATCCCTTATGAACTTTTTGGTATGAAGGTCAAAGACTCATGTAGAGGAATCTTTAAAATGAACAAATTATTAACAGTACCAGCGATATACATTTTTGAGTCATTAACATTTTTAGTAAATCAACCAAGCTACTTTGAAAAGCATCATAAAACACATAAGTAAGGAACAATATTTAGGAATGATTTTTTATATCCGATACCTAAAAAATCTCTATATGAAAGAAGTACTGTCTACAGTGTGATTAAATTTTTTAATTCTCTCCCACAGGATATAAGAGACATTGGGATGGCCAGCGATTTTCTGAAGTCTGTGAAAGAATTTTTATGCAATGTAGAGCCTTATACTATAGATGAATATTTTAACAGTTTATTTTAAATTTTATTTTATCAACTCTATACTTATATGTGTATGTGACGTGTTTTGTTCAAATTTTGTATCTTATTACCCTTTTGTAATTTTATTCACTAATATATTTCTCGGACAAAGTATTTCTTTCAACTTTTATAGAAGATTTACATATATTCTGTAGAAATAAATGAATATCTATCTATCTTTCTATCTATGCTTTATCCGAATTTACCAGTAGTACACCAGTATTATTAATACACCACTTCACATTTTTAATGTAATCTTTATTTCTTAATTTGAAGTGTCATTCATATAACTTACCATTTCAGGTGAAGAAATTGAATCGAGTTTACAGCACAGTATTTTATCAAGACATGAAGTTATATCACGGTTAAGAGATAGAGGTGAACCTATTCTGATGTTTGGGGAAACGGAATTAGATGCATTCAAAAGATTAAGGAAGTGTGAATTATTAGAACCAGAAGTGAATAAAGTAAGCATTTGCAAACGTATTGTGGAAAATTGAATAGTGTACACAGATGATGTTTTCTTCATCTGAAGAAGCCAACTTTGTTGGTGAAAGAATATCAGGAAGAGTATTGCACTTGTTTTAAAGATCTAAGCGTACGTAGGGAAGTGACTTTGTTTTATACTATGTAGTGATTATTCTGAAATAAAACTGCGACATATCTTCAGTTATTATACTGAATTCACCTGTGAAGCACATGTTGGGGTTTTATGAACTGTTGAGTGAAAATCTCACAATGTAGTTACCATGAATTTTTCTCCGTATTGGTCAGTTCTGTCGCGTATCTTATGAAAATTTTTATGTATTTTCTGAGGACAATCACATTTAAAATATATATTTTAAGGGATTCCGAAATGATTTTCAAGAAGCAATGGAACAAGTTGACCAGGCATACATAGACGAACTATTGAATGCCCCCGATAATAATAGAGATGTTAAAAAATCTGAGAACAATGATGAGGAATCTGTTAAGTCACATGAAGAAATCAGAGAAATGGCTAAATCAATGGGAAGAGGCAACAGAGAACATGATATGACAGTTATTGTACATTTCATTCAGGTGAGATTTGTTGAAAGTTGTTACTTTGAAAAAATCCACATTATTGCCAAAATGTCTTGTGATTCATTTGGTACTCTTCCTCCTCAATTGCTCATGCTATCCAAAAGGTAAAAAATCCCATGTGAGGAGAATCATCAGTACCAAACTATAGATACCTTGTATTAAACATCAATTTCTTCAACCCCACAAATGTTATTTGTGGAGATGCATAAGTTATTTCTGGTATATTTGATATTTTTTTACTCCCCTGGCATCAAAAAACTTATTTTTTATTTATTTATTTTTGGTAAACCCATTTCACAAATTGCACTCTATATCATTGTAGAAAGATAATTAGACTTGATTTAAAAATATATAATTTAAACAAATTCATACCAGCGATATCACTGTATGATCGTTCTAATTTAAGCAATGGATTTAAAAAATATTGTAATGTTACAAAAATGTATATATCTGAGTGATATACAGTGCATTTAATGTCCCCCCGTTTTATTTTTTGAACTGGTCAACTCAAAAAATTTTAATAATTGTCTGAATACATTGACATTTAACTACATAATATGAGATAATAAGCTTGAGCTCTGTTCAGAAGATACTCGAAATGGTTGCCTTGAACTTCTTGACATATGAACACCCTATCAGATATTTCACGCCTAACATTTTCGAACACAGAAATGTCAATATCTCTACAAATATTCATTATTCTCTGCCGTATATCCAATATTAAAGCAGGTTCTGTTTCGTACACCTTTTGCTTCAAATAGACCCATAAAAAAGGTCCAAAGGTGTCAAATCTGGCGAGTGGGCTGGCCATTTTGTAGGACCTCGACGACCAATTCAACGACCGGTAAAAGTAGTATCCAAATAATTTCTTACTTGTCTGGAGTAATGTGGTGGTGCTCCATCTCTTTGGAGTACAATATCCATATCGAATTCATTAGGATTCGCTTCGACGATTTCAGTGATAGAGGGTCAACTGTAGTTTTCAGCATATTCAAATATAGTTCCCCTGTTGAATTTTAATCAATAAATAGAGGTGGTACCTTTGTAGTAGAAAAACCGAAAACTAAATGAGAATATTCTAACTGAACAAAGATGTTCATTGTCGTACTGACATTTTTTGTCGTTTTTATAAAGTAAAAATAACTTAACAAACCTTATCGGGCTGTAGGAATTGCCATATGGCAGATAAAAAGGAATATTTCTAGAAATATCGATATTAATGTGTTTATCTTCAGGAAATTATTAAAGGTTCCGCCATTTTGTAGTAGGTGAAGATATTGACTTCATATTCTAGGGTTGTGAAGTATTCGTCAGGAGCTTCAAAATGATGTGTTATAAGACCCCTCTTTCCATTTAATTTTTTTCCCATATGGCGCCCAGTCGCCATCTTGTAAGTTTCATCTGTCAATTTCGTTTCAAAATAAAGTATTAATGAATTAATTTCATTATCCCAAATTTAAATTTTTTGAGTAGACCTGTTCAAAAAATAAAAGAGGTGGGATATTAAAGAAATGCACCATATATTTGCAAGTCTTGGTATTCTTTCGTGAGCTGTGCGAAAAATATATACATTTCTAGTTCTTTTCACAACTCTTCTGATAGTTCAGAACAATTGATTTGACCTGAAAAAATGTGCAGTGGTCAAAGACGAGTCTTCTTTTTTTATGTGATTAAAGATTTAGTTGTGACAATTTTTTTACATATAACGATGAGTAGTAAACATTAGGGTTTTTAAAAACCAATAAACATGATAAATTTATTGTAAACCATTTTGATGTTCTCAATCTCATAACAACAAGATGACCAAACTATGTGGATATATTCAAGAAGAGATCTAACAAGAAAGAGTTCAGTACAGAAGTTCGATTGTGTTGGTGGAAAATTCCATTGAGGAATGTTTCTGAAAAAATCTATCTGAAACAACTACATTTCGCTATGAACAATGAAATTGCTTTTTCTTTCTAAATTTGTACACCAAATATTTGTAACATTTTTCCAGTCTAATACAGGACAATTATTTGTATTAAATATATTTTTATCAGTTGATTCTCAAGAAATGGACTGAACAGCTACAAAACAGATCTAAGGAAGAGAAAGCAGGTACGAAAGGAAAATTGATGGGTGCAACGTATACTCAAACGCAAGAATATTTGAAACCATTACTGAGAAAATTGAAAACATTTACTCTTCCCGAGGATATATCAGATAGCCTAACAGAAATTGTGGTTCACTTACTCAACAGAAACTATTTGAAGGTATGTATTCAATGAATTAGATGCTAAAAATTATTGTCCCCATATATTATTAAACCATATGGCAGCAATCATATTTTTTCCATTACCTAAGATATCAAATCCTATAAGTAAGTTCTTGGAGAGGTTAATCTTTAGTCAAACTATTAGGTTGTTTTAGATTAATAGAATTCTTTCTGATAGTCTTGTAAGATTAGGATGTATCCTATAATAATAAAGATTATAATAATAAAGATTACATAGTCAATCAGGGTTCAGAAAAAATATCAGTACCTTAACAGCGCTAACAAAAAACTTACCAGAGTATAGCTACAGTTCTAGTATTATTGCATTATAGTAAAGCTTATGACACTTTTGAGTCACGAGTTTCTTCTAGCACAACTTCTGACAAGAAATTAATATTGCTTGTCAGAAAATATAATTAAAATGATCAAAAGCTATTTATTGAGTCATTGTCAAAGAGTTGTAGTTAAGAAAAGTACATCAGACTTGATACTCATTAAGCAAGGAATTTCCCAAAACTCCATATTAGGACCACTACTTTTCTTTATATACAGTGTGAACTTGAATTGCCCTCCCCCCCTTAACAAAGTATCAAGAACACAATTTAGGTAAAAAGAAATTTTTTTTATGGAAATCAAATCAGCACTTCTTAAGTTATAAGTAGTTTCAAATGCATTTCAAGAACCTGCAAACAAACAATTATTAATATATGTGTGATTAATGACTTGTTTACTTTATGGTAATTCATGATCACTTAGATGAAATGAATAAAAACACTTTTTTCTAAATACCACTAGATTTTATTTATACGACTGGTTTTGGGTTTGACCTCATTATCAAGTATAAGTTTTATACTTGATAATAGGGTAAAATCCCAAAACCGGTCGTATAAATAAAATCTATCAGTGGTATTTAGACAAAAGTGTTTTTTATTCCTTTCATTTAAATTATTAATATCATAACTACAATGAAAAATATTATGCATTACCCAATAAAATATTGTCCATTTCTCTAGTGTTTTTAATGTCTAATTTTTTTTGGTCTCTATAGCTATATAACAATCTGTTTCTGAAAAATTTTTGTTTAATGTCAATAAGTTCAGAAGGAATGTTTAGGAATTGAGTAAATTACTCCTTTTACTTATCAAAGACTCGGAAGTTTCAATTCATTTTTTATTATTTTCTCTTACTGTTGATTAATTAACAATGCTTCAAGTTTCTGATGCTTTATCATCAGTCTTATTCAATATGTTATCAAAAGCATGACAAGGAAGAGCTATGGGAAATTAAATTTATTGCTTGTAATATCTCATGTTTAATTCTCAACATCAAATAGAGATTTGTAAAAAATATGTCAAGAGTAGACATGTTCTGCGTACATTGAAAAAACAAGTTGATATACAAAGTACCATGGTTCAGTACAAGTTCTTCAATGTGACGCCACAAGATCTAGAACACTTCATGTGGATAATGTGCATAGAACCACCCTTTTTATTGGGTACACAATTTCAAATAGTTTAGATGTCTATTGAAACTTCACCTATAATTTAATTATTTTGAAGTTCTGAAATCAATACTTTTTGACAAAAAATGTTACACAATTGATGAATTTGTGTCCTAATTCCATTTATTTACGATTATGTGGATTTAACATTGTGATAAACAGTTTTTAGGTATGTTTTATGATACTTGTCATTTGAAGTGGGTTCTCATGTGTTTTCTTATTCATTTTCGAGAATCAAAACTTACAAATTTTTACAAATGCTGTGTTTCTAGACTGATTTTGATGTTTTTGTCAGTTACTTCACATATGAATTTATAAATTTCTGCTTTTCAATTGTTTTATAATTACCTAGTGTCGTAGTATAACTAATCCTATTCCAAATTTGTGTACTTCATTGTCTCGATACAAAATATTCATCGTTATTGTATATTACATTTATTTTATTCAGGCCAGCGACGGTTACCTTCAGATGGCGATTGGCAATGCTCCTTGGCCTATTGGAGTAACCATGGTGGGTATTCATGCAAGAACAGGCAGAGAAAAAATCTTCTCAAAAAATGTGGCCCACGTAATGAATGACGAGACCCAAAGGAAATATATACAGGCTCTGAAAAGGCTGATGACGAAATGTCAAGAATACTTTCCAACTGATCCGTCCCGGTGCGTCGAATACCAGGCATTCGGAAAGCCAGAATGATGGAAAGTTACTTGGTGTAATGAAAGATGTAAATATTGTATAGAAATGTATATAGAGAATAACAATTCAATTCAAAAACTCGATCATGAACTATTGAAGACCACCTTTGTAGCAAATGGTTTCAACTTTGTTATTTTTTCTTTGTTGATCACAAAAATATTTTCGACAATACAAATTTTCATTCTGAATATGAATGAGTAACTGACAGTAGATTGTCGTTTTCACTACAGATTCGTTTTAAATATGCAAAAAATAATTCATATTTTTAGGTTTTTAATCTTCCACAATCTTAGAAATGAATAAATCTAGGTAACATGAAAATTTTCTCAAGTACAATAAAGGACAAACAGAATCCATGGTAGCAGACCAGTAGTGAACAATTCTGGTTTGAGAGAAGTGTTTCTATTATATACGTTAATCTGAAGAAAGTTTGATGTTGAATATCACTGTACATGGACTGTATTTCCTGTGATATGAATTTGTATGTTGTCCTTTTGCATTATTTTGGTAAATAGTGAGTGCATATTATTTCAAATTTAATAAAGCAAGTGTTGCATTTATGTAAAACTGTTTAGTGAAAATCTCATAATAAAATTTTTGAATAAGTTATGGATTTTCATCAAGTATTGGCCGATTCCGTCACAGAACTGGACTGTCCTTACCTTGAGAATTTCAGTGACTTGTTTCGAATAATGTAAATTTTCCAAATTTCACATTTTGGTGGGCGATAATGTTTCTCTCAAGACATTTCACAATAACACCCTCTCATGCATCATTTGAGCCGCTTCCCGAGTTTTTGAGCGCCTGGTTCCTTCTGTCACACTCCCGACCATTTTTGACGAAATATAGTGCGCGATATAGTTACTAATGGAATCAGGCACGATAATATGGCAGTCTGGATAATCGAATTCAAAGAAAAATGCTTTCAGAAAACACCAGCGTGAGAAAAATAAAAATTGTAAATTGAAACTAAATTTAGGAGAGAGGTGAATGAAACAGATGTAAATATTATAGATCTATCTGATAATATTGAAGCCTCATGTTCTAAATATTTAGAGTGGTTTACATAAAATAAAGTGAATTATGAACCTAATAATTAGTTTTGGCTTATCAAATATTCTGTGAAAAAGTCACGAAAGTTGGTCCATATCGTCAGTTTTTACTGATTTGGATAATTTGAAGCCAAACCTATGGAGACATCCTTTTTTCTGAATGTAAAGCTTTTGCACCGCACCATCTTTTAATTTTGGATAATTTTCAAACATTGTATTTCAGATTTTGAAGAAAAATTTGTATAAAATCAAAATAAAAAGTTTAATGTTATATTTGTAAATTTTCAATCACAGTTCACATACCTATAATCAATACTGATATTTTACCGTATGGTAGGTAGAGAGTCATTGATTCTGATAAAAATTACTCTGTGCTTTGCTTTCCAAGTTCGGCAGCTTTCAAAGCGGCTGCTTCTACAGCATCCATTAAGGCTCCCCTAAAAAATAAATGGTGCCTTCTGCATTAAGTTACAACAGAGCAAATGAATGTTCCTAAGTTACTAAGTCATTTACCATTTTCATTAAACTTTGGAGTTAGTCTTATTTCAATGTCTTTCATTTTCGAGATACAAATCTTTCAAAATTTGATGCTGCGACATGCAATTATCATCGCGGGATTTACCTAATGACAAACCTTTAAAAAAGGTTTTTATACCTACATGATAATATGATTAATACTGCAGTATAGAATGGCGAAACCTAGCCATATAATTATCGAAATGCTAATTATTGAAGTACAAATATTTCAATTTTTTATCGACCTTTTTTTGGTATTTTCCACAATATGAAAAATATGAAAATTACAATGGAAAACTTTATACCAGTGTATAAGACGGAGGTAGATTTTAGCCTCCGAAATGTTAAATTTTTTTTGATAGACAAAATTGTTAAATACGACAATTTACTGATAAATATAACATTTTTCTTTGTGAAAAATACTTTGATTTTACGCAAATTAATATTTGCAATCGAACAGATATCAGACAGAAGGCTGTACAATTATTACAATCTAAATTTCAGCTTGTGAGATGGTGTTACATATGTGTTTTAAGCTCTTTTTTGCTTAAATTATTGCTCTTGATTCTACAGAAAAAAACACTTTCAGTCTAATATGAGTACAATGACTATATTTTTGAATAAATCTTTTTATTATAAGAGATTTTTATACAGTGAGGCCCAGTAACGGATACATTCATTTTCTATGTAATTATGAATGTAGGTTGATTTTTTTTTTATGTGAAAATACACTTTCTCAATAAAATTACTCTCTTCAACCACTTAGGGGTAATTACCCTGTAAAAGTTTTTAATGAAAAGGAGTAGCGTGTGATACCGCGTTCAAACGGGTTTTCAATTATCTATTCAGTAGTATAGTACTTTTTGATTTTTGGATTTGGATTCTCAAAAAAACAAATTAGGTTCTAGCCGCAATCTAAATAAAAATTAATTTAATTTTCATGAGAAATGAAACTATATTTTTTACCACTTTCATTTGTAACTAACGTTACTGCAGTTTTGTCCTATAAGGACATTTTCAAACTTATACATTAAACTAAAATTGATTGATTACATTAGCCCGTATATAACACCACTGTAGGAAATAACAGAGCTACTTAATTTAATTGAGTACCTGAATTTTGTTTACTTGTGACAATGTGGGTACGCTAACTTGAAAACCGGAGAGTAAACTGATCGATTTGATCATTTAACAGGTTGCACCCGCAATACTTGTGCTTATGAATTTCCAAGGATTCCGAATAATTGAGTTGACAATACTTCCTTGCATAGTGCAAAATTTCTGTATCGTTTAGATTCGGAAACTTGTGGTTGCATCCCAAGGAATGGTTTGAAAACATTGAATCATTTTTACCTAGTCTGAAGGACTTTCCATTCACGTTGTCCCACATAAACACTATTACACTCCAGAAACTTGAGCTTATAAACTCCAGATTTCTCCAACTTGTCCACTTTATCTTTGGCATTGAAAAGAAAATCAGATAACCTGGCATGTGGTCTGAATGCCACTTCCACATTGTTTTTTCTGATTTCTTGATTTCTAATTGTTTGATCTGGGGGTATATTAATCTGTAAATGAATTTATGGCTTTGTTTTCTGAAAACAAAACCATAAATTATGTTCAGTACCTCTGTTATTACCTACAGTGGTGTTATATAAGGGCTAATGTAATCAATCATTTTTAGTTCAATGTGTAAGTTTGAAAATGTCCTTATAGGACGAAAATGCAGTAAGTTAGTTACAAATAAAAGTGGTACAAAACAGAAAGTTTCATTTTTCATGATAATTTCCTACCACGTAGTAACAGCTACATCCATCAATTTATTATTTAATTTTGGTTTGATGTTATAAGAAATAGTGAATTCGTCATGAAACTGGTTTCACATAAAATTTGTTTCATGGTAAATCATGGTATATTTACCTAACCGCACATCTTTCCATAGCATGAATCCCAGCGATGGTTTGTCCTCCAGCAGAACAAACTTCATCCTTCAGAGTACCCATGTGCTTGTTTGTCTCCAAAACCATTTTTGCAGCTCCCATAACTGTTTGGGCTGCAAATTTGGTTGCCATATCTCTGTGAAGACCCATCCTCACTCCACCATCCGAAAGAGCTTCGATAAAAATATATACCTTGAAACAAACAAATGTTATTATTCAAGGTAAGCAGTGAAATACAGTACCTCTTTAGGTACTTGTCAAAATGTTCTATTTTTTGTGATTAGTGAAGAGGTACAAATAATAATATATATAATAATAAATATGTTTTATTGTCAAAAGATTAACTTGTTGACAAAACTACAAAACATGACCAACATAATCCAAAGTTCAAGTTAATAATAAAAATAAATAATCAAAGATTTGATAACTTTTGGTCTAAAAACACAATACAAGTAAACATTCCCATAATATATGCAGACAGAAAAGTAGATTGAAGACATTGTATCCCACACTTGATGAAGAAGGACTATTGATATGCGGCTTCTCTTACAACGCTATCATGAAAAATTTCGACATCAGGGAATAGAATACAGCCTTAATAGCAATATGAAGAATGATGAATCGAAGAGGAAAACAAGCAAAAATATCTACAGGGATCTGTATAGGAACTTAAAAAAGCACTTCAAGATATGAATTCCTCAGCAATTGATGATATAGTGACTATTGAATGCATACAATTCAAATTTATACCACCACTAAGTCCAAATATGGGAGGAGCTTGGGAACGACTCATCGGATCAGTGGAAAGAATAATTGGAAAAGCTTTGTTCACACAATTCCTGAAAGATGAAACCTTCCTGACCTTGTCTGCAGAAGTTGAAAATATTGTAAATTCTCTACCGCTGACTCACGTGTCCATAGATCCAAGTGACCTTGAACCCCTAACACCTAACCAATTCCTCCATGGCTTTATGAACCCAAACGAAGCAGCATGCATATCTGATCCAAACTATAGAAATATTTGAAAAGAATGGCAAAAATCTCAAATGCTTGATGACGTTTTCTAGAAGAGATGGACGAAGGAATACTCACCTAGGCAAACAAAACACGCAAAATGGACAAACGATAGCCGAGACGCGAAAATAGATGAAGATGAACTAGTCGTCATCTTGGAAGACAATATTCCAAGAAGAAAATGGAAGATTGGTAAAATTGAGGCTATTTATCCAGGGCCAGACGGGCGGGTACGAGTCATTGATGTGTGAACTAAAACAACTCTCTTATTTCGACCAGATAGCAGTTGTGGTTTTCTCACTGAGGAAAGAATGTTGCATCTCACCCAGTACAAGAATATAGAAAAGAAACATGATCTAATAGTTTTCAGTCTGATAGTTGTTGTCATATTTTGATAAGAAGGAAAGATATATATGTCCATTGAAATTTTCCTGATTAAACAAGATAAAAAGTGGTTCAAAGTTTTTATACGAAATATAGTCCTTGGAAATTTAAAGAACTACAAGTGATATATGCTTCATATATACATTAGGAGTTCTCAGAATTAATTATACTTTTTAGATAATGTTTTATGCAAGTACGAATGTATGACAAACACTCACCAACTGAGAAAAGCAAATTATATTTTTGTGTTTTTAAGGGCTCTTTGTTGAGGTTTAAAGAATATCAGTTTTGTCTATTCCATAATAGAATTGTTATTAGTTCATAAGTTATTTATATCGATTAGTTAAATAGTTACAGTTGCTATAATGGGGTTACTCCTGTAAATTGAAAAAAGATTACTTACAAACGCAGGTCCACTAGCTGAAACAGCCCCTACTGCATTTATCATACGTTCAGGTAACAGCTGGCACATTCCAGTAACTTCCAAAATATTTTTGACAATAGTCAAGTCACTATCTGTTACAGTGGTTCCAGGACAATATACTGTGCAACCTTCTCCAATTAACATGGGGGTATTCGGCATTGCTCTCACCACTCTTGAACCTCTGAATTTGCTCAACAACTACAAAGTGGAGTGAATTGTTATGTAATAGTTCGTTACAGGATTTTTTCTGATACATTAGCAAAGTAAAAGAAAGAAATAAGTAATATCTTATCTCATACATAAGGGGATCCACATTGAAGCTATGAACTTACAGATATGTGTATTTTCATTATCAAGAAAATCTGGAAAAAGGATTAAATTTAAAGTGCACATTGACTTTTTTAAAGAAAAATAGTATCAATTTGTAAAAAAATTACTATATATTTGTGTATTGTGAACTCACAAATAGCTATACAAATTATCTTATGAGTAAAAATCAAAAAAGACAATCAGAGCAATTGCAGAAAAGTACATTAGTTCATAAATCGAAAGGAGTATATTTCTAGAAGATATATTTTTGGGAAAGAAAAGTTTTGGATGTAGAAGTAGAAAGCGAAACCTTTCTCTGAAAATAGTTAATGTTAAAAGTTGTGAAATGTGATGACTTAGCTGTCACAACCCCAAGCTCCTATGAAAAAACAATTTGAAAAAATAAACACATTATTTTGTGCAGTCAATAGAAAAATATAAGTTTCTAAAACTTGAACAAATCAATAAAGTTCTGCAGAGAACTGGTCTCAAACATTTCAGGTATATACATGTAGGGTTCGTAAATAGGGGGGTTTGTGAAATAGAGCAGACTTTTGACAATGGGGTACTTGGGATAAGGGGAATCCGTGGATTCATTTAGATGAGTTAAATTTATCAGAAAATGGCAATTTTCATTATGAATTCCACTATAGAGTCATTGCTCTTGATCGATAACTCCTTCGAATGTCTACATTTTTACTAGATAACTCAAAAACGATTTTCCAAGCTGTTATAGAAGAGCTAACAGAATTAAAAAATTTATTTTAAAAGTACCTAGTATTTTAACCGATCTCAATAATTCAAAATGTTTTTGTTTTTCCGATTTATAAAAAGCCTCTAGGCCATGTCAAATTATTTTCAACTCATGGAGATTCAGCTTTTTACATGAGATTTTTACTTTATCATGACCCATTTATTGGTTTTCACACAGTTTTTTAACACCTTTGCATTTTGGAAACGTTATTAGCTGAACTGATCAGGCTGAGCTGGACTCAACTGCCCTTCAACGACAAGCCTGAGCTTGTCATCTATGGGATCGACAGAGAACTCAATCTGTTTAGAGCCCAAACACAACGCATTTATGATTCAACACAAGACAGCGCTGTTTTGACCCGACATGAGTCTCATCAGTGGTGCTAGGCTGAACCACAAATGCATTGCTAGACTCAACTGCCCTTAAAAGGACAAGCCTGAGTAAGTAAGGGCGATGAATCACTATTATTATATTGAGGTTTAAAACATTTTAAAATTTCCTCATCTAATTCATATGAGATTCCACAAATTTCAATGTCTTATCCTGTACAATGTTCTTTCAACTTGAAAGATTTTACTTTCAGGGAATTATTTGTTAGAATAACTGGCACTACACCTTCCTTCTTCTCTTTTCGGCAGTAGGAGCTATGAACAAGAAAATTATTGGGTAAAACGATTGTATGAACTCCTCCCTGCACCAAGTTTCCGTTACACAAATACTATCTATATCAACGTTCAAATCAAAAACTTTAAAAAAATGTATTATCGAATTCGACCGAGTTGAGGCTTTGAATATTCAGTAGGAACAACTTTTACAGGCACACACACTTTTGTTTGAGTGAATTTTATTGAAGGTCATTATGTTTATTTACAAACGAATGAGACACTATGAAAAAATGTAGGCATATATCCTCTGCTACCTGTGCGAAGCAGGGTCGGCTAGCTGGTTTGAAATAAAATTGTTATACAATATTCTATTATGTAATATTACATTGAAACGAACTCACTTTTTCAAGATCTTTTATAGTGACTCCTGCCAGGATGGAAATGAACAGTTTGTTTCTAATTTCCGCAGCATTTGGACTATTTGCTATATTTTCTATGGCCCCACTTAGAATATGAGGTTTCACAGCAAGGAAAACTATGTCAGCCTCTTTTGCTACAATTGAGTTATCTGTGGATACATTTGCTCCAAGTTCTTTCCAACTGTCCAAATTTTCTATATATGGGCTTGAAACATATACTTGGGAATACTGAATGAGACCTGAAATAATAGATTTACCTATATAAATTTAATCAAACACTTTTTGATTTATTAGGTACTTTGCTTTTCATAAATAATGAGAGGAAGAGTAGAATGGAAGTTGAAAATTTCATTGTGGTGATGCTCAAAGTTTCATGCAAAAAGTTACTTGAACTTCTGAATACCTTTCTTCTTGATACTTCGGCAAATTGCTTTAGCCATGCTTCCGTCTCCTATGAAACCAATCTTTTGGGAGAGTTGGGCGATTGATGGTGGCGATGTACAAAAATACCTCCCATGACATTGAGGAACGTTCTTGAAATATCTAAAAATGATGAATAAAACGCAATATAAATTATGAGAACATACAATTATTTGTTTGAAGGTGGTTGACAATGTTTCATGGGGAATTTCATTAGTTCAAATTTCCATTGTCTAATATGATATAATATGATTTGAAATTCCTGAAAGAACAAATAAAATTGAAAATTAAAATGAATAGCTGAAAATAACAATTATATTAAGCAGAAAATTGAACAATTAAAATGAATTAAAAATTAAAAGATTTCAAGCCAAGTTACTTCACGACGTTTCGATTGTTGGTATCCTCAATCGTCTTCGGGTGATGACTGAACTAATGAAATTCAACATACAACTACTTGATTCAATCCCAGCCATAAGAGTTTTGTTCAATTGAAGAGAGAATATTTTTTCAGGTGAAATTAGTTGTATGAATGTTTATATGACAAGAATAGATTGGTCTCTTCCATTGACAAGGACGTAAAGTTTTTGCAATGATTTACTGAAACAATCGTCTTTCTATGTCACCCAAAAAGGTATTGATGTGGAGTAGAAAATTATTATGTTCACCCGAAACTTAGGAATGTAGTAATAATACTAGTAGTAATGTGAAAAGTATTTCCGGGTTTTTTGGCCGTAGCCTGCAGGTTTTATGCATGACATTTCGTCTACTACTGCGGTAGACATTATCAAAGGCGATATTGTAACGGTCGCAGTGCCGAAGTTGGTGCTCGAGTTGTTGTTCCCGTTGTTCGGAACGCCGTAACTATGATGCTGGTATTTGGTTTTATATTATTACTAGCTTTTACCCGAGTCTTCGCTCGCGGGTGACAGAAGAAAATAACATAAATATAGAAAAATTCCAAACAGCTGAAACTATAGTCAATTGGATTGAATATTGTCGTGACTGTAAATGATACAGTGCGACGGTATTATGGTACAAAGGGTTGGAACTTCATTACTGGAATGCTAGATGACGTTAAAGTAGCTAGATTTTGAGATTTTTTGACAATTTTTTTAATCATACATAAAAAATAATTGTTTTTGTAAAAAAAGTATCCTACGTTACTTCTAATACCTCCAAGAACATGTGTACAAAATTTCATGATGATCGGTTGAGTGGTTTTCGCGTGAAACCGTAACAAACAAACACATTCGCATTTATAATATTAGTTTTGATTAGTAGGCGTGACTTAGTTTCTCTTAATTGGATTACCTGACCTTTGTGTATCTTGGTTGTCCTTAGCTGAGGACCTCCGGTATACCCCTGGTATTGCTAAAGGTTCTCTATGGACCTCAGCTAAGAACCCCAAAGAACCTGTAGCAACACCCTGGGCATACCAGGGCTGCGGTTCGGTCTACATTGAAATCATGAGAAGAAGTGCGTATGTATGCATCTCTCTAAACGCAAGAGAAATTATCGACTTGGACAAACATACAAATCAGCAATGAACATCAATGAAATATGGCTACTTGTCCTTGAAGGTATACAAACAAGATTAGGTAATCTAATTAAGAGAAACCATGCCACGCCTACTACTAATAATATAAAACCAGAGTCAAATACCATTATCGTTCGGAACAACGGGATCAACAACTCGAACACTAATCACTGCGACCGTTACCACATTGCTTTTGATTTATTTGATTGATTATTTTTAAAAGGCTTTTACAGCTTGTAGTTCTTGAGACTCCTGCTATACATCTAATAGTCTTTTTCTGGGCTGCAAAAACATCTTTACATGAGGTGAATGCTCTGCAGAAAGTAATTCCATACTGAAGATTGGATTCGACTTGAGCATGATAAGAATAATTAGCTGTTTCTGGTCTAGAATATAACGAAGGTCTCTATAAAGTAATTCATGGAATTAAGTTTTGATGACTGTTCCACAATGAGTTTTCCAGCTGAGAGGTTCATCCAAGTATACACCTAAAAAATTCACCGTAGAGCGCGGAGGAATTTCATCTTTTGAAATTGGCTATTTCTTTTTGTCTAGCATGAAATCTTATCAAGTGTGTTTTTGATTGTTTAAATATAGGAAACTTTTTTTAATCCGAATGTTCAAATTTTGCAGGATAAAATTACCTTTGGTTTGTAGATTTTGATCTATTTTATCTGAAATTAGTGATATTAAATTGATGGGTGTAGCCGTTAGTTACTACGTGGTAGGAGATCATTATTTAAATGAGAAATGAAACTTTCTGGTTTTTTCACCACTTTTATTTGTAACAAAAGTTACTGCAGTATCGTTTTATAAGGATATTTCCTTGTAGAACGAAACTGCAGTAACGTTGGTTACAAATAAAAGTGGTAAAAAAACCACATAAAAAGTTCCATTTCTCAGTTTTCAAATGTGATATTGCCATTTTTATCAATATTTATACAGGCTGATTCACGGTGGATGGCACATTAGACGTTTCTGATGAACCAGACAACGGATCACTTTGAAAATTTAATGGAGGGCATATTCGGACATTCTCTAGCCAACTAAAATATTTTCGACAATGCGGTGTTGCCGCTTCTATTAGAAAGCAGTAGCAACTTTGATTTTTCAAATGGAACACTCTGTATATAATATTATTTTTGGAATCTCCAACAATTGCCCGACAACTTTTCTTGATATTTCCCTATACCTATCTGTTAGCGTTCTCTGGTTGATTTAGACTCTGATTTACCAAGTAAATGTTTGTTTTCATAAAATGTTGCAGAATGAAATCATCAAAACCCAACGCTATCATTGCCATATATCACTAGACTTAATTTTCAGGCTTTAAATTGAGCTGTATGATTTTACCAATCATTTTAGTCTCTGATGACCCAAAACATAGGCTGAAGTTGATACAGATCTTTGAAACAAGGACTGTGATGTCTGATTTGGCCCTAATAATTAGATTCCCCTGTCGCCTGTTTTGGTGAATGCGAACGTTAATATCCTCAAACCTTCACCATAACTTCAGGAATAAAAAGACAAGGAAACGTTGCGTTGAAAACGATAAAGTACAATGAAATCCATACCATTAAAAAATAAATAAATAAAAATTAATTTCAATTTTTTTCTTCGAAAATCATGACTTCTAAAAATGCCGATATCTTTTAGTTAAGAAGTACTATGATATCGAAATTTGGTTTGGAGTTAGGTGATACTTGGACACTTCCCACACGTCAGCCTAATCTCCGTTACTTCAATACAGGGTGGTAAAAAAATACAGTTTTTTCGTTTGCTTGAAAAAGTTGCTGAAATTTGATTATTTTAAATGGAACACCCTGTATATTATTGAAAATTCGGAAAGCTGCTGAAATTTGCTTTCTTTCTATGTATATCATACCTATACCTAACTAGTCAAGTTTCGGACTTATGAACATTTATTTGTTTAAATGTCCCTTCAGAATGGTATTTCCATTCGGTATTTGGTAAGCAGGCCATGATTACTATTTGACAGTAGCGTTGTGACATTCTCCTAATAATATCGACATTTTTGTCACTTCAGAAGTTGCAAATACCTTCAAAACGATGGAACAAAACTATTCAAACGAAGTTCTTATGAATTTGTTTATTATTTTTGGGCAGTGTGACAAAATTATCAGCAGAACATGTAGAAAGTTCAATGAAATGTATCCGAATCTACCGCCAATGAACCTCAAGAAATTTATACGAATTCAGAACAATTTCAATGCATTGAATGCAAATTTCGATATCATAGTACTTCTCGACTAAAAGATATCGGCATTTTTAGAAGTCATGATTTTCGAAGAAAAAAATTGAAATTAATTTTTATTTCGAAAACGGTAACAGATAGGTATAGGGAAATATCAAGAAAAGTTGTCGGGCAATTGTTGGAGATTCCAAAAATAATATTATATACAGAGTGTTCCATTTGAAAAATCAAAGTTGCTACTGCTTTCTAATAGAAGCGGCAACACCGCATTGTCGAAAATATTTTAGTTGGCTAGAGAATGTCCGAATATGCCCTCCATTAAATTTTCAAAGTGATCCGTTGTCTGGTTCACCAGAAACGTCTAATGTGCCATCCACCGTGAATCAGCCTGTATTGTTCCTGATTCACTTTCCTTTATTGCGAGATCCACATATTATTATAATTTTGACTCAATGACTTTCTCCCAACGTTTTTTATTTATTGTGAATTCTGCTTAGTGTTTTTGATGATTTCTATTCTTGTAATACCTCAGGAAATAAAGTATGATTGAGAACAGTTACAGTTTTTGGGTTTGTATTGAGAACTCCAACCATATGACATCAATAAATAGAGTTTAAATGCATTTTCATCATTAAAACAGAACTGAAAATGAAATATGCTATATTTGAATTGAAATAGTTTCATAAAATTAATCAATGAGTATAGTGTTGTCATCATCTTCCTGAATAGTGGGAATATATTTCCATTATCAGTCAAAGATGAAAATGTTAAATATCTAGAAATGAAACGATCGTTATTGAAAAATGTATATTCCAACATTTAAAAATATAAAAACTGTATATTTGATCATTGAAAATTATTTTAAACTACCTAATACAAATCCACTATTTGTTGAATAGTTAGATTCATCTACTTACAATTACTTTTTGGTTGATACAAGGGTAAGGTGTAAATAATAATAAATTATACTTGATCACAATCACATTTTCTTAATGAAACTAATGGCTAATACTAATTTGAAATCAAAACCCATTTGACAAAACTTCTCTTAGCTATACTATAAAAATTCAACATTATTTCAACTTTAGCATTATCAAAATAATTGAGAAGCAAAAACTAACAGTGAAAGTTCCATTGTGCCAAGATTGGCATTATTATCATAGTATTAATAAAAAGGGTGACAGATCAACTAACAATATATTGTAATAAAGACTAGAATCATTTCTTTAACAGAAACACAAAAAGCCGTTACAAGATGAAAAATTCATAGAAATATACAAAAAAAAAGTAATTGAAAATTTTGAATGACCTTTCGACAAATTTTGAAACTCTTCTTTTCTGTTGTATTTATAACAGGGAAACTGATATTCATCCCCAATAGTTTTTGGTTCATTAATATATCAGATCTCCTTTGAAATATTTACATAGTTTTGTCAAATAAGAGAAGTGTATAGTAAAAAATTCAATTGTTATAAACAATTTTGGCAGTACATAAAATTAATTTTCATTCCCTACTTTTGAGCAAGACTTTGAGATTCCAAGTAGTTTGTGAAAAAATACAGAAGTTTTGGAATTTAATTACTCAGTAAAATATTTTTTAATGATCATGACCTAACAAATCTTCAACATAACATTTAATATGCATGTTAGAAAAAATTATCAAAAGTCACGGAAAAATGAAAATAATTTTTCAACAGTTACAAATTACACAATATAAAGAAAACGTACATTGCAAAGTAAAAAGGCAATTTTCATTCTGTCTAAATTTGAAAGTCGCACAAAATTATTTCAGTCTGACTAGATAAAAAAGCTACCTCATTTTACTTAATTTATGTGAACAAACATTTCAGGCAACTTTCTTGTACTTTCACATTATTTGCAAACAGTACCTCAAAGTATTCAACAGCTAAAGCTGCCAGTCTAATATTGAATTATAACATACAGCAGGTGAAGCAAGAATTAAAATATTCTAGTCAAGAGACAAATGAAGAAACAATTTAAAAAAGCAGACCAAATTTCAATGTTTTAGTTGTAGGTTGTAGTTTACATCTGTCTCTTGATCAAATTCTTCCCATAAAAAATATTGAACATGATATACACTATCGAGCTCTAAAAAACAGCTTGTAGTGAAGTATTAATATAGACATAAACATACAATCACATTCTGTTTATCTAGAAGGAATGATACTAATGGAGTCACAAATGGGTACAAAGCACAGGGAATTTAATTGAAAAAAAGATGTAAAATATTTGAATTAAGTAGTTGCGAGTAAACTTTATTGAAGTGAAAATTGAGAAAACTCAATATTTGTGAAAGAATAATCACATAACCACTTCTTGTTGTCCTGTCTTGTCAGATGCACCATGTCAGAAGAAATTCATACTATATAATGGATTTTATCCACTTAAAAAACTTCTATAACAATATGATAAGAGAATATTTTCATAAACAGCTTATTGAAGAATGGTTTAATCTTCTTGTTTGATGGGCCGTTTTATGCTGATTATGCCAAATGCCATTTAGGTGTACCTACTGTTTAGCACGTACGATAGAATGGCCGTCAAAATTCCTAGCTATATGTTTCTGATAATTCCTAATATTTAGTTTTTTTATGTGTCATTGGTATAAACTACTATGGTTATTAACCTCGTGTTCTGGGTAGGTTAATAACTCCCCAAGCATCATGGCTATTTACAGTTCTGTCAGCCAAGTAACGTATCAGAATCAAGTTATTAACATAACCCATTCAGAACACGAGGCTAATGTCCATAATTGTCAACTCCGCCAACACTGAAAAGGGAAAAATTGGTTTTGTTTCACCATACTGGTGCAATAACTTTTCTCATTTCTTTAAAAACTGGCGTTCAATAAAACACTTTGATTTTAGTATTTTTTTTTTAGAATCATAAAGATATCCTGTACAGTCAGCTACCAAGTGGCCATATTATTTTTCTGCCACCTCAACCGACAGTGAACAAGAGAAGAGCAAGTAGAAAAATTAAACGCCTGCGGTTTGTATTACATGCAATTTCTCATATCTAGGTGTTGTTCGACGTACAAGTGAACGTGTCTACCATCGGTTTAACAATCAAAATATGCAAAGGTGAAAAATATGGATCAAAAAATTAAAGTTAGGGCATATTTATTTTTGTGCTTCAGGTGTGTTGAAAATAAAAAAATACAGTGTCCCATTTAAAGAAGAGAATTGATGCCATTTCTGGTAGAACGAAAACTAACAAAAAACTTGCACCTTAATTGATGAATTGTTTCCTCATTACTATATATTTTTAATTCCAGTAACAATTTTTGTTTTTACGAAAATGTATGTATTTGATTGGAAAACATTCGTTGAAAATATTTATAAAGTTATTGTTTATGGCTTCTTCGCAGATTGAGTTTACATGTAATCATTTGGGCTGTATGATCTGAAGCATGAGTCTCAAGTACTTTTGTAATGTAAGTACCCCTATAATTTGTAAAGATATTATCAATGCAACTTTTGGAATTTTTTGTTATGCGTGTATATTACTATATATTTTTATACACATCAAATTTGAAAAAATCGCTTTGCTGACGATGGGTAAAAATTACTAGATACAACTATTAAAATAATAGGTAAAATGGTAAATATTTGTTTCAACGCCTCAGTTTATGACAAACATTTCTTAGACTTACGTATATTTCTATGCTGAACTTGGTGTTCCCGTCTACTTTCGGAGATATGAATATTCAAAAATAAAATCTACTCACTTCTGGTAATAAAAACTCGAAAAATTACCAAGTTTCTTGTGAATTTGTTTTTAGTTTCATGAACAATTATGATATAGTTTGTTGGAAAAGTAACAATACCGAAAATGAGTTCCTAAAATACAGGACTTTTTAGCACTATCCAAAAAAATATTTATCAGTAAAATAATACCAATAAAAAAGTGCTTGTAAAAGTATTGAACACTTAATGGTTGACAAAATTATTTTCAATCTAAAATATTTTCAAAACGTACAAAACAAGATAATGATGTTCGCGTGAAACCGGTGAAGGATTCCTCTTTTAATTTGCGAAGATTGCAAGTATTGAATAACCTCAAATTGATGATCAAATGGGAACAATTCGAAAACAACTAGACAAGGTAAGTGAATGCATTTGGGTCATTCTCTCAGTGAACCATTTCATATTTCACAAGGATTTCCAAGTATTTAGAATACTTGGGAATAATTGTTTCGTTATCCAGACTGAAGTTATACTGTATGCATAGTTGTCACAAAATGAAAATTTTCAAATTGAAATACCTTTTCTTACATTCAGAAAATCAATCCAAGTTATTATTGGAGTATGGGTTAAATTCTAAATGTAATAATAAGATTAGTTTGTACCACATGAGTAACTTTGAGTCATTTTTGACAGAAAAATTATTTTCTTTGGACCCACTGTGCAAAATATTAAAATGAATGTGAAACAAAAATCCCCTAACAGCTAATGAGCTATGGAAGAAAGCATATTCACTCTAATATCGGTAAGAGTCTGAAAAATGGAATGAAAACTGGGTCTATTTACTGGTTTTTGGCCCCAGCAATGCTTCATAACTTCATATACTGGTGAAGGGCATCCGTCAGGACAACACAACAAGTTACCTTCCTTCAAATATTTTATCACCTCTTCATGTGTCATTCCATAGTATGGTTGGAGTGCAAATGAAAATATTTCCCAAAGACACACCCCAAATGCCCACACATCAGACTCTGGGGTATATTTATTGTACAGAATACTCTCCAAAGGCATCCACCGGACTGGTATTGCATCTCTATCACTACCCTTGTAGTAATCCTGCAAATATATTTTTTGTGATAGTCCAAAATCAGCTATCTTGACCACCATGTTATCACTTATCAGACAGTTTCTCGTTGCCAAGTCCCTGTGAACAAATTTTCTATCGGACAGATACACCATACCTGAAGCAATTTGTAGCGCAATATCAATTTTATCCAAATGGGACAGTTGGTTGTCCTTATAAATTTCCTTGTTTGTAAATTCACCATCTATAACACTACGTACTACATAGTTGCTGGGAGAACACTGTCGTAAAAATTCATTCAAGTCCCCCTTGCCCATAAACTCGAAGAGTAAGCACATTGGTCTACCTATGGCACAAACCCCCAACAATTTCACTATATTAGGATGGTCAAACTCTGACAAAAGACATGCTTCCTTTTCAAAATCATCTTGCATATCGTCGGAAGCGTCGTCCTTGAGCATTTTCACTGCCACAATAGTGAAGTCCTCTCCTGGTATTAAACCTGGAGCCTTTGCCTGGAAAACACTTCCAAAAGCACCTTGGCCCAGGTCTTTAATGTAAATTATGTCATTCCTGTTGAATTCTAGTTTCTCCAATTTAGGGTTCAAAGTTGCACCATGTCTGTGATATGCCACATTACTAGGAAGTTTATCCAAATCTATATTAATCTCTGCTGTCTCTGGCGCATTATATCCCAAAAGATGTCTTTTATGTAAACGATGACAGAGCAATATCAACAATAAACAGACGAGAATGAGTAAGAGGCCGACACTAGACATTATTATCAAAAATGTAGGAGATAAAAACTGATCCATAGCTATGTTTTTAGTATCGGTATCATCTACTGTGGAATTCAGACAGCGAGGAATATCGCAATGCTGCCACCTTATTTCAGGGTTCATAGTGAAACACCAAGGCCTCCTTTCTTCGCTTCCGGCATTTCTGCAATAATTTTCGGCACCGTCGAGTTCAGGAAATATTTCAGGGGGCGAATCGTGAGTGTGAGGAGTTTGCGATCTCCAATGTTGACAAGGGATACCCGATTTAGTGACATTAACTTTACCTTGATAAAATCTACCTCGGCCTTTCACGCAGTCGTAGGTAATTTCATCTGCTTTCATTTCTGTTAGACCAGCATATGAACAAACTGTTGAATTTTTCACATAACGAGGCAAAATTGAGCAGTCAGGTAAGCGAAAGTGGCCTCTGGATTCAATGTAAACGCCTTGCATTTTTTTATCTTCGATCAAAGCCCACTCCTTATAACAAAATAAGTTTTTTACAGCCACACAGTCTTCGTAACAAAGAGGAAGTGGTTTGGATACATTACATTCCGGGAAAGAGTACACACACAAAAGTTTTTCGGCAGCAGATCGACAGGGTTCTTCCAAAGTAACTATTAGTTCTTCCCATAATCCTTTCGTGATTAACTCGTTTTCCTGACCACCACTATTGTTATACCATACTAGTTTTGTATTGAAAACGTAACTTTTACATATATCTCCATGATAAAAACCACAATAACCTTCTGGAGAAGATTTGATCATATCAATTAAAAATATAAAAATTATGTAAAACATCTTGGTATTATATATCATTTAGCTTTTCTTCAGGAAAGTGCATAATATACATTTATTAATTTCTAACGATAAAAACATATCAATCAACAAACTCTAGCATTCACGAATTTGACAAGAATCAGGAATGACAAGTTTTTTTTACACAACTGACAACTGAGCCACAACATGTCAGTCGTCATCAGCGTTGTTGTCAGACCATTAACATTTAATAAAGATAGCCGACTTATAGGGGACCTTTAAAAATCAACAAGTACGTTACTCTCAATAAAACTGGAATTCTGTTCAAATCTGCTTGAAACCTGTTCAGAATCTGTTTTTCCGTTAACCAGCTGTCGTACCCCTACGAACGACAACTCTCAAAAGTCAAAACTTGTGCGAGATAAGGACTAAGGAGGTCTTACCTTCTAACATGTGATTCTTAGCACGAGTTGGACGATAGGAAGTGAAAATCAATCGTCTGGCCTTGCGGTTCGAATCACCGGTAAAACTTTTGATTTGCTTAAATACATACCTAATTGAAAATGCCAAATTTTCAGACCTACCAATAAAGACGTATTCATGGCGGTATTTAGTGGACAGATAGAACAATACTTACCTCAGGTAAAATTTCTCACAGAGAGGATTATTCAGTTGTCAAAAAATTCAAGTATTTATTATTTTGTTTATATAATATCCATATCTATTGCATGTGAAGTTGATATTATTCGTCTTTTGTTCATCCTAAAATCAACGCATTGATAGTTGACATTACAAATTATACTGTAATATAGACAAAGAATAGTGAATTAAGATTTCACATATTTCCTTTATCATAGGATGAACAGTATCAACTTTACCTGCACTGGATATATGACCAAAATGTCAAATCATGCATTTTATACCCGAATAGAAATAGTGACACTGAAAACCTTGGCCGCGAAAGCCTCAACCATTTTATCATTTCTCTCACTGTTTGATGTATCAGAATACTAAATCAAATTTGACAAATAAAAACCATTGTTGTCAAATGAAACCCACATAAATATACAGTTTAAAAGAACCAAGAAAGTAGAGTATTCAGAATATGAGTCAAATATTAATGTATACAGGTTAGACTTATATTTCTCCTTTGAGAAAATTATATCGACTTCTGTGAAGGTTGGATTGCATGAATTTTAAGCGGTTATGATGATCAATATTCACTTAGTGAAAATCATTCTTATATATCATGATGATATATCGCAGCTTAGATAAAAACAAGAACAGGAAAAAATTCACTTCATTAAAGAAATATTATTCGATGTATTTAAAACCGGATTCCATTAGAACTTCTGATTTTATCATAACTTACAAATTGTTCAGTAAATGTATCGATCAGCTATTTGTGAAGTGATCGTGTTTAGTTGCTTAATAATTATTAAAAATAATGTACTGTAAGACATCGCGCCAAGTGTAGGTGTTAGCTGTGGATGCTAATTGTCGGGTTTTCAATTTTTGCTGCATCTACCTATGAAACTATTGTAAATTATAATACGTTTGCAATAAACAAACACACCAGGTTTTTACCTATATAAAGTAAATTACATTGGGTCAACTGGCAAGCTGCTAGTTTAGCGGGCCCGCCCCAGATAGAAAGCTGTCTCTAGACAGGTATTTAGGTAGGTATTTATGACGTGTACTACTCAAGGTTTTTTTTGGATTCGGAATTCGGTCTCTCAGTTTTCTAAAAACGAATCCTCTGAAAAATATTCATGCAGAAATACTAACCTGTGGATTCCACACAGGCGAAAGAGACGAGTTAAGACCATTTTGGTAAACTAGCGCCAACGCCGAACTAAAAATACCACTAGAAAACTGAAACCCCTCTTGTAAAACGATACCATTTGTAAGTCAGAATTCTACGGGGTGCGTGAAACTATTTGTCTTGATTTTGCCGAAAGCAATTACGTGAAAGTTGAAAACGCATGCACTTATATTCCAATACATCTTTTTAGAATACGAACAGTACGTGCTTAAGTAACTGAAATTTTCAAAAATGTATGGAATCTCCAATCTGCTTAATGCATTCCGAATAAAAATAACAAGCACTGTGATTTTATATCATAAAGGATTATCCTAATCTCCATCTCAAAATTTCATATGACCTGAATTTTCGGTTATTACCTTTTTTATTATCTGACAAAAAACATATTTCGCATCCCCCATATATTCATATGTTTTATTGACCCAGTGTTGCCGATGTGTCACAGGTACTCTTCTACTTTCTTTTGTGTTTCTTGGCGTTGGCTACAAGAGCCATGTAGAAATGAGCGGTGTAAATAAAGTGTCAATTAGCTGCATAACTTCTATACCATAGATGATGTTTTCGGTGTCCACTGGCATTAGTATAATAACTAGAATTAGTTAGGAGTACAAAAAACAACAAAAATAACAATAGCTGCATTACTCCAACAGTAACTACTGGAGGAGGAATAAAAAAATGAAAGCAACAGGAACGATTATTTCGGTTTCGGAAACGTAGGTACAAAAATCTTAGGTGATATGTGGTATTCACGTAAAGGTGTGGTTCAACCAGAGTTAATATATTAGTAACCTTGCGTTCGACAATCATTGGATGAATTATATGAAAGGGTAATTCACTCAAAACGGGAAATTCCTTAAAACGAATACATATTACTTTCATTAGGCAACACCGCAGATACTAACCTTACTTTTAAGTCACATAAATTCAAATTTGAATTTAAAAAATTATATACATGAGTTATAAAATTACAATGAAATTTTGAAACAAGTCAAGTAGAAGAAAACATTCAGTGCAGTGTCTTCACTTTTAATGAAATGTTGTTTTGTGCGGAAATAACGGACATTCGAATAATTTATAATGTTCTCAGGTCCATCACAATTAAAGATGTAAGTTTGTCAATAATTTCATGAATATTAAGTTTGAATCTACCTTTTCAGTATGTTATTTTAAGGCCATTGGCGGAAGGTCTGAAATTAACATTGGATGAGATGAAATGTGTTGAAACTTCAACATATATACCTTGTGATATGTTTTCTTTTTATCATGTGGACAGCACTGAGGACATAATTTTCAAAATAAATTTCAAAACATTGGTGGATATTCTGAATATTTTCGGGGATGATGGAAACCCTAACGTAAAGCTGTCCTATAAGTCAGTAGGATCACCACTATGTATAGTGTAAGAACTTTTGGGCTCAAAGTTGTATTACTGAATGATACATTACCTTTTTTATTGGCCTTTTCCCTTCCACATTCTAAATGGATAAAAACAGTAATAGAGAATTTTTCAGGTGTAGAAAAGGAAAATTTCTAGCTCGTTCCAATAAGTTTGTACATAAATTCGATATATTTTTCATCATCGACAAATTACAGTTGAAAATTATATAAATTAAAGAGTTTTTCAAAAATATTCATGATAAGTAATATTTACATAGCTATTTTTATTAATGATTTTCGTAACAAATTTCAAATTAGCCAGCAGTTAAACGAAAAGTAGCATTTATGTCTCAAGTAAGAAATGACTGAACTTCTAAACTTCTTGAAGACTGTGATATTTTTAAGTTCCTTCAGTAGTATTCAATAAATTTATATGGGTTTGCCAACTGAGGGTTGCATCCATCGTGACACCTAAGAATTTAGTGTGATCCGATATTAGAATAGACCTATTTTGGAGTTTTACATATAGAGATTCCTCGCTGTTTATTGATTTGTTAAAAATTACTAGTCCAGTTTTGGTAATATTTAATTTTAGCATATTTGTCTCTGACCATTTGACTATACTATTTGACATGGCTGAAGCTTTGGTTGAGAGTTCTAATGCATTTGTATACACTACCAAGATTCAAGGCTTTGGGTAAGTCGTTCACATATAGAAGGAAGAGTATTGGTCCAAGGATAGAGCCCTGAGGTACACCCTGCCTAATCATAATTCTACTAGATATATAATGGTTCTCTGCGTTCATTATGCTAACAACTTGGGATCTATTTGATAGGTATGATCTAATGAGTTCATAACCCACACCCCTTATACCATACTTTTCCAGCTTATTTAGGAGTTTTTCGTGGTTTACCATATCAAAGGCCTTTGAGAGGTCATAGTACAAACCGACCGAGGTTTTTTTGCTATCAGCATTCTCTGTTATTTATTTTACCGCATTAAATATCGCCAGTTCGGTGGACATTCCTTGTCTGAAACCAAATTGGTGGGAGTTCAGAATATTATTCGAGTTTATAAATGAGATGAGCCTATTATAAATTACGCGTTCAAATATCTTACCAGGTGATGGAAGTAATGATATTGGTCGGTAGTTATTAATGTTGTTCTTGCAACCTTTCTTGTAGACTGGAACTATTTTAGCTATTTTAAGATCATCTGGATAAGTACCAGTTGATAGGCTTTCATTGATTATGTTTGCCAAGGGTTCACATATGTACTCTGAAATTTTTTTCAATATTGCTTGTGGTATGCTATCCACACCGCATGAGTATTTCGGTTGCATATCATTTAATATATTGACTATTTCTGGACAATCCATAGTCTGAGAAATATTGTAGTTTTGTTTTATGCTATGTTATCATTTTCTACCTTATATTCATTGCTGAACTGAGTGAAAAATCTATTGAAATGATCTGCTGTTTCCCTAGGATTTGTAACGTACTGATCATTTTCATCTTTCAAGACTACAGTTGTATGTTTTGTTTTTGGTTTGATTGAAAATACTCCGTAGTGTTTTAGATTTGTTTTTCGAGGCAGAAATTTTACTATCATTTACCGCTTTTTTGTGATTTGATAAATATTTTCTGTATGCCTTCTTTTCCTGTTTATATCTAATAAGTAATGCTTGACATTTCGTTTCTTTATATAAGCTATGCAGATCACCAATATATTTGGAGTATCTTTTTATTTCAGACGTAGCCCAGTTAGTAACATTTGTTTTGATTTTAATTTGTTTTTCAGGAAAAGCAAGGTCAAATTTGTAGTAGAGAATATCATAAAAGTTTTTATATTTACAATTCACCTCTAATGAGCCATACACCATTTCCCAGGTTTCTGAGTTTAATGAATTTACAAACTGTTCAATATTACTTTCACTATAGAACCGTTTCTTCGCAATGTGATTTTGAGGCTCAACGTCATATTCTATATCTAATATTTGACTGTAGTGATCTGAGACAGTTGATTGATTTACAACAATTTAAACAAAAATCAGGTAAGTTACTGAAAATATTGTCAATTTGCATACCCTCTGATGCACTATTTGGTCTTGTTGTATCATATATATGAGGATTTAGACAATAGGTAGAAAATACCTGCAAGAGTGTTAATGTGTCCCCAGTTGGTTTTCCAAAATTCATATTGAAATCTCCTCATAATATCATATATTTCCCTCGGCTTCTATAAAAGTTTAAAAGTTCAGTCTTATTTTTTTTATAGAGAAAATTATCAAATACATTTTTTTTGAGAAAAATATTTTGAATTTACATGTTGGAGTGAATTAGAAGTTTGTCTTTGCTTCATAAAGTTCCCCATTGCAATTATTTTTCCGAGACCAGTAAAAAATCTCGTATTTCCTTCACAAAATGACTTTTTCAAGATTTAATAAGTTACTATTTCAGAATGAACCATAATGAAGAAAATATAACTGTGGATTGTGAAATAAAAACAATGAATATTGATGATATCAATGATGTAAGTCTGGCAGATGAATGCAATTTGAATAAAATTGTTTTGAATGCGAGTATATGTGTTGAATTACTCAATAGATTAGATAATTCTGCTGATGAATTGAAAATAATCCTAAGTCCAGATCCACCTTTTATTACCTTTGCAACAACAGGAATAGCAGTAAGTTACATTCATATAATTATCACTTCCTTTCCAAAGTTGGGTATGAATGTACTTAACATAAAATTTTGGAACTAGATAATAAGATAAATGCTCTACAATGAGTTTAACGATTGATGTACAAAAATTGATTATTAGTCAACAACAAAAAACTGTCTATATGCAACATTCAATACTGATTGGAAACTTTACACATATCCATAAAAATAACAGTGAAAAATTGGAACCAATTGACTCAACAAAATTTTTGTCTATATTTGTTGATTATATTTATTCATTTTGTTTATTATTCATATAAACCTTGCAGTTTAATTACATGAATAAATAAGTAATTACATTATCGGAGATAATAAATTACATAGTAAAATGAAATTCTCAAAATTTACAATATTTAGAAAATGTAGACACCTAAAAATAGTTATACATACCTACATATAACTATATTCTACAATATGTGTACCTATTGTATGAGGACTGACACACCTTTGTACCTTTGTAAGTTTTTTATATATTATATAGAGATGAGATTGAATGACTTAAAATTGTTTCGCAGAAAACTGATAGAAACTGTCCATTCTTGATCCATCAGTATATTGAGTTGATTTGCAAGTCGAAACATGTTTACCGTAGCTGATCTTGCAATGTTAAATGATGGAGGAATATTAAACATCGGAACCGGGCACAATCTTCTAGGTGGCACATTAAATCTAATTATTGACAAAAGTTTGGGGGAGTTTATTCTATTATTGATAATACTATATAAAAATATCAAAACTGAGTATTGTCGTCTATTTTCAAGAGATAATATCTTAAATTAATTCCTAAGAGTTGTGGATCTTGTAGTTAGGATTTACGTGATGTTATTTAAAGTATAGTAGTCTTTAAAATGTATTTTGAATTTTTTCTAATCTATTCAAATTGCTTTGAGATTCCGTGAACCAAATCAAAGAGCCAAACTCTAACCTGCTCCTAACCAAGCTATAGTATAGAAGTTTGAGATTGTTGATATTATTAAAAGTATACGATTGTGTTATAACAAAAGCTAGCATTTTATTGGCCGACTTCACTATGTTCACAATGTGTTTGTCAAATGAGAATGTGCCATTATAGGTGATACTTAAATCTTTGATTTCAGTGCAGCATTTTAAGCTTTGACCCCTCAATAAACAATTGAAAATACATGGTTGCTTGATACGTGTTATAGTTAAAACAGAACATTTACTTAAATTGAAATACAATTTATTCTTATAACTCCATTCAAGTACTCTATCAATGTCCTTCTGTAACATAACACAAATCTCTAACTGTTTCTATCTTTTTTGATATTCTGAAGTCATCTGCGAATATAAGACCTTCTGATGATATTAGTAATATATGCAGTCGTTAATGAAGAGTACAAAAGAAACGGCCCAAGGTTGGAACCTTGAGGTACTCCAGAATTTGCTTCAAAATTTCCCGATGTGTTTCCATTATATTCAGTCATTATGTATCTGTTTTCTAAGCAACATTTAAATAGGCAAATTAGGTTATATTATAATCCAAAACTACTCAATTTCTCTAGTAATAATACGTGATCAACTCTATTGAATGCCTTGCTGAAATCAGTATATATAACATCAAGTTGAGATTTACACTTCATTGACTCAAATACATGTTTACTAAATAGAAACAGATTGGTTTTAGATGATTTTTTTGACACAAATCCATGTTGATGAGGTACTATATTATTTTCCACATGTTTAAAAATTCACAATATAATATTTGTTCAAAGAGTTTGGCGGGGGCACACATATTTGATATAGGCCTATAGTTTTCGATATTCATTTTATCACCGGACTTGAATATGGGACATACCAATCCTGTTTCCAGACTGATTGGAATATACTAGTTGTCAAAATAAAGTTATAAATATGTATTAGAGGCTGTCATACATATTCACCGCAGGCCTTCAATACATTAAGGTGGTATTTCATCAGTCCCCTCTGACTTTTTTGGGTTTTAGCTTTTTTAGTGCTACATCAAAGTCTAACTCATTAACCAAACTCAGTACTAGTGTATTATTTATTACGTCCAAGTTAGAATCAAAAAGTGAATTATTAGAGGCTTTTTTTGTCCGCATTCACTGACGAGAAAAATTTTGCAAATGATTCTGCAGTTTTTTCCTCTGTTACCTCTACTCTGTTATATATAAATTTATCACTATTAGAATTTTTCCTATTATTTTTTATGTGTAATTCTAAAAATTGTTTATACCAGAGGTTATTTCCCGCTCTAATTTATTAATTTTTTTTTTCTCAACTCTGATAAGTTTAGTTGTTACCTCACGTTGATATTCCATTCATTGCTATTTAAAATTTTTGTTGACTTGATTAGTAAGAAGGTGAATGGCGGACTTTTAGCTATTTTGTAATTTAATAAGAATCAGCTATTGAATATATATTACTTTCTGATATACCCTCATCAAAACTATAACATATTAATATGACTAAACGCTCCTTTAGCTCAGCGGTTACTAATATCACAAAACAGAGTAACCTGTCTATATTTGAAATCAAACGCACTCACTCGTGCAAAAAGTACTTCATGAGATGCATCTTGTTCATAAAAACAAAACTGAATAATTTCACTATGAAATGTATTCAAGAGCAAAGTGAGAAACCTTCATGTCAGTGAATGCTATTATAACATAGAATGTTCTATGAATTTTTTGTCTTAATCCTAGGAATGTTATGGGTCTTATTTTAACGACTGAGACACAAATAATGTTAATGTGTTAGATATATCTTATTACTAATTCATTTAAGTTATATTTTGATTATTTTCAACCTGACTTATACAATGTCATGTAGCAGTGACCATAATGGAATTTATTATTATTACAACTCTTTTTACTTTTCAGGGAGAATCAGAAGTGCATATATCTAAAAATTCTGATTCTGTGACAGTGTATCAATGTACACAAACAACTACCTCAGTCTACAGCTTTTCCTATATCAGGCAGATATTGAAGGTAATGAATTATGCTGATAAAGTCATGATTTCTATGGGCGAATCAGGCTTACTAGGATTGCAATTAGTCATCAATTCAGAAGAAAGGTTGATGTATGTAGAGTATTATGTTACTTCTCAGTATTTGACAGATTAAATGTTGGTTCTGACCAACTGAAGACTATGTTCTCATTAAGGCTTAAGAAATGGTTGTGAATTAGTAAGATGTGCCTATAAAAACGAATGTATATGTACTCAAAATATTATTAATTATTTAGGTATTTTACTGTAACTTCACATTTCTTATAATTTTTTATTTAAACAAAACTTAACCTCTTGGGGTTATGTGTCACATCTATGATATAATTGTTATATTTCATGTAGCATTATAATGTTTCAAAAAATGTCTTCAAAGTGGGGTTGATATGGCTGAAGTAAGAAAAGTATTTGGCAGAGGAAGTTGTAAACTGGATAGGTAGCGGATATATCTTTTATAGGAAAATTAACTCTTTTCTTCATAGCAAAAGTTGTTTTGAACATAACACCATAACAACGTTAGGTAGCGGATATATCTTTTATAGGAAAATTAACTCTTTTCTTCATAGCAAAAGTTGTTTTGAACATAACACCATAACAACGTTATGGTGAACTGGATTTTCTGGGTTTGAGCAGGCCACATATTTGAGTGTCAGGAGTTGTCTTCTGGAATATAATGATGGTTTACCTACAGGTTGGATATCGTTGCAAAAGAGATGTAATTTAGGAAGGTTTCTTCTGTAGTTTCATCTGATAGAAAGTAACAGTTTCAAAATATGGCTGGTTAGATTCTCACCACTTTGATTTGTCATCAAAATTAAAGGAACAGAGCCACTGGAACTTCATCTTTATTAGACATCAGTTTTGGATCAAATTTTATAATAAGTGTGAGGATTTTATAAAAATTGCTGTTACCTCTGGCTGTTGGCTTCAGAAATGCACATACTCTCTGTTATTACATGGGACGGTAACCTGTTGGGTTGGCATGAGAGTTTTATTCTACTCATTCAATCGATCGCTATGTGTAACCGTGGTTCAAGCACTAAGGCCGGACGATCCATTTTTGCTGCTTATTGTCTAACCAGTGCTAGGAATCGCACGTTGAAAGATAAGACGTCATTAATTCTTAGCTCCCACAAGTTACGACTTTTGAGGATTGTCGTTAGTAGGACAGCAGGAGCTGGTTAACGGGAAAACATTTTAACAGAAAAGATTAACTTTTCCATAACAAATAAGGTATTTGCTTCAGAGATCTTCTTTGAGATTAATATTTTTTATACATACATATTTTACAAAAAATATTGAAAAACAGGACACTTTAAGAACTAAATCTTCCAAAAATATGAAAACCCATCCACAAAAGAAGTATAGAATGATGTTAGCCACAATAAACCCTTGCGGGTTGCAGTGGAGGGTTGAATATATCCACTCACTTTGTCCTGATGATGCAAATAACTTTTTGTGAAATATAGATGAATTTGAAAAATTGGTATTAATATTTTATTGGGAAATGGCAGATGAGAGCAAGAAGCAAACTAGGACCTCAAATAATATTTATTTCATTAATACTTCAATTTATTGCATAAACTCATAAATTCAGATCCTATGGATTTCCTGTCCAATGGATTATTCTTGAGCAAGAGCCTCTGTTTGTTCTGGTATGCAAAGCTTTGGTTCACATATGTTGAATCCTAAATTTTTTCACTCAAAAATTTTTGACATACTGCTTTGAGCTAATAATCTATTCAAATGAATTTAGTCTCTTCTTAATTCAATTCACAATAATCATCTCTCACATCATTGCCAACTGATTTGCACATTCACATTCTTTTTCTACTTAATTTATTTATATTATTTTCCTACTTTCATATTTTATATCTATATTCTCTTAAGGTAATGTAAGTTCAATCATGCCGGTTCAAACAGAATATATGTTCATACCAAAAAATCATTGTTTGCTCACAGACTTTGTAGATAATGTAATGCAAAAAATAAATTGAACGATTTCTAAATTGTAACAAAAAATTATAAATTATATAAAATATATCAGCAATTCTTGAATTTTACTGTCACACTGTATTGATTCATTTAGTACATATACAAGTTCTTGTTCAATGTCTTTTTTCTGACATTTCAATGGACTTCTTTGTAGCACACTCAATGGCATCCATGAAAGCAGCCCTGAAAATAAGAAGGATGAACAGTTCATTCGAATGAATGTTTTGGGAATACTTTTTGTCTTGAAAAAACATTTTTTTTATTTGTCACAGTTCAAGATATTTCCGTTACTTTTGTTTTAAACGGATGTGAAATGGTGTTTTTAGATAATATTGAGTACTTGGTAATGTTTATCATGTAAATTTGAACTTTGTCTTTCTTATTGAAAAGATCTGCTATTGATCTACTAACCTAACTCCACCCCTTTCTAAAGCATGTATACCCGTTATAGTTGTACCTCCTGGTGAACAGACTTCATCTTTCAGCTGTCCTGTGTGTTTTCCACTCTCTTTCACCATCTTGGCAGCCCCAAGAACTGTCTGTGCAGCAAATTCTATAGCCAATTGTCGAGAAATGCCCATTTTAACACCACCATCTGCTAGGGCTTCTATCATCAAATAAACCTAGAAATGTTCAAGTCACCAATCATTTTCGAATTCAAGACAAAGAGCTTACAAATGCAGGTCCGCTACCTGAAAGAGCCCCGACAGCATTTATCAATGATTCGGGTACTTCCTTACACACTCCAGTTACGGAAAGGAGAGTTCTGACAAGTTCTATATCTCTGTCTGTTGCTCTTTGCCCCGGGCTGAATACGGTACAACCTTCCCCAACCATCATAGGAGTGTTCGGCATTACCCTTATTACTCTGCTACCATGAAGTTTCGACAAAACATTTTCCAATTTTTCGATGGGCGTTCCTGCTAATATGGAAATGAATAACTTTGAATTCAACGAATTTTCGTTTAAAGTATCGAACATGTTGGCTATTGCTGTGGGTAGAATGTGAGGTTTGACTGCTAAGAATATCACATCAGCATGTTCCACAACTTTTCCATTTTCTGTGAATATCTGAGCACCCTTTTCTTTCCAAACAGACAGGTTATTGAGATTCGGTCCAGATACATAAACTTGATCATATTTCAGGAGACCTAATAAATTCGTTATTAGATTTGTTTGCAATTTTTCGTTATCCAAGTTTGTGCTTAAAATTTACATAGATTTGACAGCTATCCAAGAATCTGAAGCCAAAATTTGTCACTGAAAAAACCAACTCATCTTTTACGACCATATGACATGAATATTTATTTCCTTGGCACAAACATTTGTTTCTTTTGCATTGTATTTACTCTCACTGATAATACTGTATGATAATTCAGAAACAACCACTCTGTATTATTAGTTTGACATGAGATAGTTTTTGGAAAAAAAAGTTTTGGCTTTCTACTTCTCCATCTTTAAAAAATCGTGGGAAACTTCCGAAGATAGGAAGGAAGTGAATAACTTTAAAATAAACTTTTCAAAGAATGCGTATATCATGCACATACATTTCATTCACTGAAAGAAGTAGTCCATACGAAACAACTACTTTCAGACATGAGAACGTTGAAATATAATATAATTTATAGGAATGCTTACACAACATAATATTTAAAATAGCATTGAATATTATATTGATACATGCCCACCCTGTATATGGATATTATTTTATGGGTAAGTATCTATAGCACTTCAAAGAATAAAAGAAAAGATTCAAAGACACAAATACTTACCCGGAAACACAATTTGAGCAAAACTAAGAAGTTTACATATCTAATGGATAAAATATAACAATAAAAATAAAATTTAACGTTTGTAGACAAAATAGTTTCTCTGACCCCTTTCAAAAAATGTAAAAAACATAAGTTCACATGTCATAGCAATAAAATAAGATATATCACAGTATAAAATATAATTTGAAGTATAAGTGAAGAATAGTTTCCTCTTGACTCGTAGGACACATTTATTTGTGCATGATCAATCAATTATTTGGTGACCTTATATGTGAATATTTATTTAATGAAAACTCATTATTTTCATCTACTTTACTTTATTGACTACCATTAGACATGTCTCATGTCACGTAAATGATCTGTGGAGAGTAAAAAACTATCTATCTATAAAAACTCACATGGAAATCAATCATTTATAAATTATACTTTTCAAAATTTGTTTTCAACTACTCATCAGCACCAATTTAAACATTTGAAGATGAAAATACATGAACTCTTCATACAAGATTTTGATTTTGTCACTGGAAGAGACAAATCTGCTATTGTCTCAATGACAGTACATTCATGCAGTTATTTAATCCCAGCAATTGGAATTTTGTTTGAATTGAAAAGTGCTTTTTCAATTTAAATTGTATCCTTGTTATGTAGAAACTTATACTAGAGCAGAAAGTCTTTCTTGGTTCATTTAAGACCTTAGATAATTTTAAATAATTTTCAATTTCGTGAAAAATATTTCTCTGCTGATAGCAGTTACCGGTAACATCAGAAGTATGCACAGAGCTACAGAAATATTAGTAAATCTAGCTAAACATTGAACTGTTTCCTAAATGAAGAGCATCTTGGGGTTTAGTGGATAGTCTAACACTTTCCATGTAGTACTATGAATGCCACAATTTCTTCATTTGAATTAGTCCCATCGATATGTATTATTTTAAATATCTCATCATTTTGTTCATCATTTTAATTACTGTCAATGTTTCAAAGCTGTAGCAGTTCATGGTTACCAATGATTGATGAAAAGTTAAGGAATTATACCTCTCATGATCTGTTGAAAAGAATATCAAGACTCACCAAAGATGTTTGTGCAGTTATTTCGTTTTAATTTTTCTAGGTTTGCAAGAACTATGTAATAATCAAACTCAATAGTACCTTTGTCAACTGTTAAAATCACTCTGGAATTAATGAATTTGAATTTTACTAAAGCAGGGGATTTACCCAAATTTAAAAAATATCATGTGGTTTATGGGACAAAAAATTTCTGATTACCTCTTTAGCAGATATTGGGATATAGTACATATTAATAAAAGATTTGTTTTTGGTGATAATGAAGATATGGGATTTTTGTGAATCAAGGTCTACAGCTTGCTAATGAAAAGTATTTCCCAATGAAGTGTGCATCATGAAGACAAAATTTGATTTCTTCAGATTAATGATAAGAAAAAAAAATGCACTCATGTTAAAACAAAAATTTTGAAAATTCGCTCAAGTAGGGATAACGAAAAATCATAATGTTATTTTCTTGAAATAATAATTTTACCTTTGTTTACTATCCCTTCGCAAATTGCCTTAGCCATATTTCCTCCTCCAATAAAGCCAATTTTTTCCGAAATGGATTTAGAGCTTATTTCTATTTTTTCCATGACTACAAGAAAATTATCACCCAATAGTAAGTAAAAGAATTTGGTTATTTGCAAATGATATATTCAATAACAAAAATTCAAACTTAATGTCTGTGAAATAAATATATACTCGAACCACAGTCCACAGATGATTACCAAGGTTAAATCTTTCAACAGAAGACAGACGTGCAGTGCAGTGTTGCCATTGACGTGACATAATAGTCGCAGCTTATGTCAAACATCTTCACGTTATAAGGAAATGTACCCCTATGTAATATTGCTTATGAAAAATTATGACTGAAAAAACATATGATTTCGTGTATATTTACAATATTTTCATTGGCTGTTTCACCGTACAGTATGAAGATATACCTTTCAATAAAACTGCACTTAATTGACAAAAAATCGAAGTTAATTCTCTTCAAATAGTGACGTCACTTTTGTATGAGAATTAGAAATACTCTGAAAACTATCAATGAATGACGACACTTCCACCCCTCCCAATTGAATACATGACGCCATTTTTTCCTAAACTGAATTTTGAACAGTTTTCAGATAAATATTTGTAATGGTCCATTGAAAAAGATGTTACTTTCTTGGCGTAGAACTAATTTCAACCGACCATCAGAAAATAGCGTATATTTTAAATTCCTACAGTTCAGGATAACTTCGATACTCATGGTTTTATATTTTATAAAATAATATTCTAAAAAAACTATTTCTCAAATCATTGCTTCACGAGTTCAAACAATAATAAGAAAGATCTGTATTTCATACTATCAATAAAAACAGGAATACGAGGTTACTAAACAAGTTGGGAACATATTAGCTGCAAGCAATCTATTGCACTTCGATCAATATAAATTAAAACACCAGTAAAAACAGATATAAATTTTATTTTGCAATATCACATGAGGAGAAATAAAGGACTAGAATTTTTGCAATGAAGTTTTTTGGAACACTGAAAAAATAAGTAGCGAAGTAAACTCAAGTGATCCACTAACGCCGGCGGCTTTCCTTTCATTACTTTCAAGATAGATAGGACACATCGTTATTCTCCAACCACTGGTCTTTCATCCAGATATAATACTGCTTCTTCGCGACTCATCCCATGAGTATCCATAAAAATTTTCAAACATAGTTCTGGGAGAAGTACTTGAAAAAAATAGTGAGTCTTATTATCCTTAGTATCAAATTCTTTGCCAAGTAAAGATAGCATATGCTCAATCTGTTTAAATGTAAAAACAATCATGCTTGTATTATATGAAAGATCTTTGGTTGTGAGAGTAAACACTTTGGTGTTGATATTGTTATACCTATCGTGACGTTCATTATAAACTCTACCATGAAAAATATCAGAAATATAACCAACATTAGATCTAAAACATTTAGTGACATCTTTTAAAGATAATCCCTTGCAATCCAGGACTAATGTATCAACAACTGGGCTTGTGTTTAGGTTTTTGACACAAAATGGTAACTCAAAACTTTTATCACACATTGGCTTAAAAGATTCAACTTGAGTTTTATAATTCTGTAAATCTTTTTGATCCTTCAAAATTTCGTCTATTGTAGGTATTGATACCCCATACTTAATGAATGATTCCTTATCTTTTTTGTTTATTTTGGATTTTTTCATTGGCTTAAATGTTGGTAGATCACAGCTATCTGAAGAATCTGTTCGATTCATTGTTTTTTTACTGTTACAAGATGACTTTCTCTGAATATTTGGCGTCTTGTTAAGATAAGAATCTAAACTTGTTTGGCTAGTAGAGGAATCACTTATGTATTTTAGTTTTTTCTTTGTTGAATTTTTCTTTATGGGCATACTTGAAGACATGCTTTTGTCTTTTTGTTTTGTCTTACTATCTGCTGAACATTTTTTTGGTACATTTTCAATATTTTGGATTTCAATATCTAAAGGTTTAAATTGCTTATTTGGTTTAGTCATTTCATTTTCTTTTTTTTTCAAAAACTCTTCTAGTTTGACATAGTTTAGACCATCTTGTTTTTGTTTGTGTTTTCTCAATCGCTTCGCAATAGGAGTTGTGCCATTTATTTTCGAATGTGTTTCACTAGGTTTTTTATTTTTTCTGGGAGTTGATTTCGACTGTTTAGTTAAGGCATTCAACATTTCGGTTAGCATATTCAATGACTTCTTATCACTGTGGTTCACTTTTTCGGGGATTTTTTCTCCTATTTCTAATGATGAGTTCCTTAAACAAAATACAAATAAATATAAAATTAAGATATCAAATTAAAATGCTTACATTCTTTAATGCGAATCTTTTTTCAATCTAATAGAAAGTGATCAAAATAAATAACACCAGATCATACTATAGGTAGTAATACTACAAATTACAACAGATGTATATAAAATTTCTTTTGTTGTTGGCGGTTAATTCAGGATGCGGGTTGTCAGTTGTCAGATTCTTCTTCTGAATATTTTTGATTTTCTGGCTTGTTACAGAATTCAAGGAAACCATTGAACAGTTACCAGAGGTTAAAGCTTCTTTACCGCTGAATCTGTTGGACAATAACCTCTGAATCCAGCTAATGTATAAAATTGAAACAATTTAAAAAGCGATTTTACGCTATATCAAGCACAGCGCTTTCCTATTTTCCGTCCTGGACCCAGCCATCACTGAAAGGAAGCGCTAACGTTAATATAAACTGAGGAAAAATAGCAATGAGTAAGACATTAGCTAATATTTCATGTACTTACATATGCATCAGTTCAGTTTACCATTCCTCAATTTTCAATTCTAGGGAAGTCTGTACATTTTCTGGAACATGATTGTCGCACATTGGCTCAAAGAACAATAGAAAAATAATTCCAGTGATAATAACCCTACTCTACTGAATGTGGAACAAAAGTTATATTTACGTGTTCCTTCCAGCTGTTTTCGTATGTTTTTGTGGTTTTTTGTACTTCCCATGAGTGAAAGTATTTTATTTTTATCTATTCATCAGTTTCTCATGTCTATAATAAACACACTAAAAGAACATTGCTCCAACAAATTCACGAATAAATAGTTCAAAACACGAAAAACTCCAAAAGAATAAACATAACCTATATTTAACATTCAGATTCAGACACATATTAGTTATTTATGTATCAAGGGAATTAGGAGGGCCTTAATTACCGATGGCAAAGTTTGCGTCCCGAGGGCCTCTGGCCCGAGGGACAGCAATTGCCTGAGGTTATTAAGGCTCATTAATTCCCGTGGTACATAGATAATTTTATTTCTGACCGATTTCAATATGTACATTTATTATTTGTAATGACGTGAATAAATAAAATATGATTCAGTTTTCATTTCTATTTATTTTTACTTGTGAAAGGTAGAGGGAATTATAAAATCTATAATGTCCCAAGGGAGTTATGACCCTCTTTATTGATAGCGTAACTATGACGATATAAGCTTATAATATCCTGGTCAGAAATAAGTTATTTCGCAATCATCGGTAGAAATTCTTCCCTTTTTGGTAATGACTCTCCAAGTGACAGCTATAGAACAATAGCGTCTACCATAGATGTATAGAAACTATGGTGTATGAAACTTATTTGTTATTGATTTGTCAAAAACTCGACGCGAGAAATGAGACTGACTCAAGTTTGTTCACATGTTGATAGATGGAGCAAAAATCGAAATCTGTCGCTCGTATTTAATTCAGACCGAGATACCGAGAATACCTACCACATTCTCGGATTCAGATCTGTAATTTATGTACCATAATGTAAACAAATCTTCCATTCAATATAAATTTGTTTCAAAATATTGGAATTTGAAATACCAATTTGACGTTATCAAGCAGTCATTGTTAAGTGTACTCAGCACGTGAATGTGAATGGGAGGCTGAAACTTATAGGATCTCTTTATTATTTCTCAATCAATAAAATTGCCTGCCGTAGGTCGAGAGTTTTTGACAAAATATATTACATGGGGAATGGGTCCAAGTGATTATACAAAGGATGTTTTATGAATTTTGTTCTTCCCTTTTATCCCTACATTCTCATCCTTCGGGGCGTGACAATGGCTTGAATAGTCACAGTCACAGTATATGAAGAAACTCCAGAAAAGCTCCAAATGGATTTTATTATTTGTTTTTTGGAAATTACGACTTTAATCTCGTAATTTCGAGTACAAAGTCGAAATTTTGAGATTAAAGTCGTAATTTCGGCTTCAATTTCGAGTTTGTAAGTCGTAATTTCCAAGAAACAAAGAAAGCTATTTTCCGGGTTTTCTGCAGGTTTTTATGCCTGACGTTTCGTCTACTGCTGCGGTAGACATTTTCGAAGGCGATGTGGTAACGGTCACAATACCCAAGCTCGTGCTTGGGTTCTTGTTGTATCCAATGCATTAACTACTATTTCATTACTGGGCACTCTATTTATATTGTTCTTAGTTGTATTACCTGTTCATGTACCTTCAAGGACAGGTAGCCAGCGTTTATTAATATTTATTATCTCTTTTTCTATTGAAATTATCCCTGTTTTTGAATCTCTATTGTCTCTCTTTATATTCTTAGGTAGTAATTTTGGGTACTGTCGAGTATTAATGTCTATTTGAATGAGATAATGTGGGTACCTCATTTGTTGAAAGAGTATTCCGCTTCAGCCCATTTATCGGTTTGTCCGAGGTGACAGTTTCTCTTGTGTTCGGAGAGACGGATACTTGGTTTCGACCGACCCGCACGTACATGGAATCCGGTGTACCCCTGGCGTTGCTAGAGGTTCTCTAGAGTCCTTCGCTGACCCGAGGCTTGGCCTGATGGGTTTTTGTTGGCCTAAATATTGGTTTCACGTTGTGTTTCACTAAGATTCTACCAATCCGGTCCAACATAGGGAAGGAAGGAAAGCTTTTCCCTTGACTGGCTTAGCTGGGTTTGCTTTGATGTTCTCTTTCCTGGGTCGTATGGCCTGCTCGCATTCTGTTTCGCTGTACTCATTACATTTGAATGCATTTTTCAGGTGATTTAGTTCCGAGGGTCTGCCTGCGTTGTATACAACAGGAACAAGAACCTGAGCACCAGCTCGGGTATTGCGATCGTTTCCACACCACCTTTTGAAAATGTCTACCTCAGCAGAAGACGAAACGTCAGGTATAAAAACCTGCAGACCACGGCCAGAAAACCCGCTAATTTGAAAACCAGCGAGTAGACCAGGTCGATTGGGTCATTTAGTAGGTAACATCCGCAATGCTTATGAATTTCCTAGTATTCCATATGATTGAGTTTCCAACCCTTGCCTGCATAGTGCAAAATTTCCGAATCGTTTCAGTCTGTGAGAATAAATCATTTGTGTGGGTTCGAAATGGAATTTGAAATAAAAGTTTCATTGATTTATTTTGTAGCGTTTGTATTTTTTTGAAATTTGGTACCTAAGATTCGCCAGAATATATGCATTGTAAACCAAGTATCTATTACTGAAATTCAAGTAACTGGAGCACCTATATACGCCACAATTATTTTTTATATGCTCACTCACGCTCTCACCAACAGCGACAAACTGGGATTTTTCCTTTAAAAATGTCTCAATGAGAGAACAAGTTTTGCCTCTCATATCCATGCGATATAGTTTGTTCAGAAGAACTGTATGGTCAACAACGTCAAATGCCTTTCTTAAATCAATGAACACTGTAGTAACCATTCTTTTTTTATCCAATCCCGATGTAATATTATGAATGAAATCTATTGTGGCGCTTAGAGTGCTGCTACCCTTGATAAAACCATACTGATACTCATCAAATCCAACATTACGATCAACAAAGTCCATTATTCTTGTCTTTATTATAGTTTCAATAATATTATAGAATGAGCACACAATTGTTTAAGGTCTATAATTTTCCAAGTTTTTGTTATCACCACCCTTAAATATTGGTATTACTTTTCCAGTCTTCAGTATCTCAGAAAATACCCCCGCTTTGAAAATATTATTTATAAAAATAAACAAATCAATTAATATTATTTCTTTAACGGATATGTTGTCGTGTCTTGCTGCAGTGTTTTTATAAAGTGCAACTATTACTTCAGATACCTCTTTAGCAATGGTTTCCTTTAGGAATAATGGGTTGCCGCACGATAGTTCCTCAAAATCTACATTTTCTATATTAATATCTATTTTGGACATAATTGATTGACCTATGCTAGTATGGATAAAATAAATAACTCAGTCGGTTCGACCTCAAGGGTTCAGGTAGGTACTCAAAATCTGTCTTCAAGATATTCTTCCAAGCTATAATATGCTTTCGTGAGTAAAATTTCCTTCATACGTTTTCAGAATGTTTTTGACTCTACTATACTTTTCATTTCAAATGGTAGATGATTGAATATCTTCCGACTCTCGAATATTATGGAATTTTTTGTTAATGTTAAGTTGGCTTTGGCAGAGGTATATTGGCATTTTACTGGGTGTTATATATTCTTTCGGAAGGAAAAGTATTTTTTCTCATTTGAATTAGACATACTGTTTCTAGAATGAAGATGCAGTAGATTGTTAGTATTCTACTCTTTATGAACAGTCGTCTACAGTGGGCCAAACGCTTGGCTCTACATATATATCTCTTCGCCCTTTTTTGTAGAACAAATACTGATTGCAGTAACGTTAGTTACAGTTACAAGTGGTATAAAAAAAATAGCAAGTTTTCTTATTTTTCATGATGATCTCATAACTCGTAGTAACAGATACATCCATCAATCTAATAAATAATACATATAAACCTCCATTTTGAATCATTCTATTCATTGCTAAAAACCATATGGAAATCTGTTTGGTAGTTTTTGAGTATTTTGCATTCAGATAAATAGACATGACGGCAGAACTTTGTTTTATAATACAGTATCCTTAATCAAACAATTATTTAATCAGTTTAAAAGTATTATATTCAGTAAAAAATAACACAGCCTATACTTAAATTCTACACTAATATCTGCAAACTACAATTTATAAGCAAAAACAAACTTAAAAAAAATTGTAGGAAGAAGAGAGCAACAATATTTGATTTGAAACATTTGTTCTTTTAGACAAGAGGATAGCTAGCCTGTGTAGCAATACCACATGAATTGGCCTGGTTTCTTGCCATCTTGATATATCCACCTTGTCCCCAACTAGTGCCCCAAGAATTCTTTACTATCCAATAGTCTTGTCCGTTGGGATCCGTGCCATATCCTACTACCAGTACTCCGTGATCCAACTCTTCCGAGCTACAATCTGGGTCTGAATAAATCCCTGAAATATAAAATGTATTGATGAAAATCAATTCCAAAATGAACAAATATTGAATTCTTATCTTAGAACTACTTTTTTTATGTCAAAGGCATTGAGTGCATGGCCATTGGTATCGTGTACTGGGTAGGCAATGTTAATAACTCCCCTAGCCAATTAGAGAGCATTACGACGATTAGCAGTCCGTCACCCATGTAACATTGCAGAATCATCTCAGTTCAAACTAGATGAATTATTCCGAGGAAAATCTCTGGTCGAGATTGGAATCGAACTCACAACCTTTTGATTGTAAGTCGGGCAAACTATCACTGCGCCAATTCACTGCTAGTACTACTTTTCAGTATTGTTTTTAATAGGACAATGTCTAGTATGAAATATCTAGTTTCAAGAAATACATAGATTGACAGATATATATGAAAGAATGAGAATGCTTCTTTCTTTGATGTCATTTACAATTTGGCCAGTGAGGAGAAAAATATCGATTTTTTTATATTTTCAACAAAACAGAAATATAATATTGGTAATAAATTACTGAAAAAAAAAAATAAACAACTCATTGATACAGCTAAGTACTTCTCTACTGACCAGGCTCGCCTCAAAGCTGTAGCAACTGAGAAATCTGAACCCACTTCCCGTTGTATTCTTGGGAACATAATCAGACATCAAAAGATTAAGAATGTCAAATAGAATTTGGGCCGTATGATCTGTTAGAAATGAATATCAATGTGATTCTATTGTTGATAAAAATCGTACACATGATCTCAGTTGTAAATTTAGTCACAGGTGCTTCTCTTGGCATTATGCCGTTAATGGAATTTACTAACAGCCGAAATCCCTTCTCTGCTAGAACCTCTGGGAATCAGGGCGACAGAATCGACATGACATGAGAATGTCTCTAATTCTTTGGAGACATATATTGATACTTCAGCTTGTTTTCAGTTTGACATGGCAAAGAGCCGATGCAGCTGCAAAATATACTAAAAAAATTGAACAACTGTGAAAATACAATTGCCTGAAGGATCTTCTCCACCAAAAATTTTGGCGGAGAAGTTAGCGGAGACAAATGGAAGTAGACTTCATCTCCTGAATATACTGACTTGGTTAGTGAAACGCACGTTGAGAAGAGTGTTGAATTTCTGGTGTTTGTGAGAAGAAGAAGAAGAAGAAATAGGGAAATACGATGGGTTGTTGAAATACTGTAACTTTGTTAGGTTTTTCTCATTTTTTTTTGCAAAAAATCAACTATTTTCTCCCTCAAAACTCATACTAGGAGGCAGTGTCTTAGGGACATACATTGAGGGAGATATTAGCATTTTTGTCGTTTTCAGGCAGGCAGCCTGGACTTTTGACATCTTCAACTTATTATGTCAAATGATGGATGATCATTGATTATATAATAAATTTAGTAGTTGTTGAAATTTTGTGAAGCTTTTAAAGGATGTTGGATTTTAACACTTCCGATGTACACTAAAACTATATTTTTGTGTTTCTCAAAAATTATCAATGCTGCAACTTTAAAAGCTTGGTTGATTTTCAATTTTCTGATTTGCGCTATATGGACTGTACTATAAAGGAACTGCCTAAAGAAAAACTGAATGAGTGCTTCAAAAGAATAAGAGAAGCCTATAAGGATACAGTGTTTTCAGGAGACTTGAAACAAACAGAAAAGTTTGAAGCCTCTAGCAACAAAAATTATATTGAATAAGAATTCATTATGAACTCTGTGTGAAGCCCTGGAACTGATATAACTTACCTTCGGAGTATAACTGGAAGGTTTCATGGCTGGCATCAATTGCTACAGAAACAGGGCCAACTGTGGCAACAGCAGCTTTGAGATCCAACTCATTACCAGATTCAATATCCACAAATCCTTTATCATCAGCTCCCTTATTTTTGGCATTGTAGTGACATTTTTCATCTTCAGCTCTGTACGGGTAGCTAGCCTCGGTGTCAATACCTTTGTTATCCTTTATGTATCGGAAGGCATTGTCCATAAGTCCTCCATCACATCCGTTGTTACCATATTTTGTGGAACAATCTATCAGATTTTGTTCAGAGAGAGAAACAAGTTTTCCTGTTTTACGGAAGTGTTGTCCTTCCAGAGATCCGGTCTGTATAAAATAGTTAAAATTTTACTCAAACTCTTTGTTAATTCAATACTAATCTATGTACAAGAAAAGAAAATTCATCATTGTGAATAGAACATTGAATTTAACCTGGTTGTTTGTATGGATCGTTCACTGTCAATGTTCAATCAACAATATTTACCAGATAGACATTCTAGGTGACAACAAAATCATTGTACTCACACCATTTAATTGTTTCTAAGGTAATAAATTTGAATTTCGGAATGAAGGTTTAGTTTATTGGAGCTGATGTAGTGAGAAACAAAAAACGAAGTTAGCTCAGTTTTCGAATGAAAATTCAAAATTTATAATACCGTTTTAAACACAAATTTTGAACGATTTTCGAATAAACATTGCCAAAATAGGGTACACAATAGCTGAATAAGTTGAAAAAATATTTTTGTATGCAATTGAAAATACAGAATAGGTTAGGTTAGAACTAAAGTGAGTGGGTATATTCGACCCTCCACCGCAAGGGTTTATTGTGGCCTACACCTATCCACACTCGGCCAAATAAACCCAGCTTCTTAACGAAGCCGATTAGTTTGTATGGTGAGTGGTCTTTCAGGTCAAATGGTAAGAGTACGGCTCTGCCGAACTCTGAACCTGATTCGGCCCCCAGCGAGGCAGGCACAAAGTCTTTGCTCTACTGTTTCATCATTTTCCGAACAGAACAACACACACTGTCTTCCGGCAGTCCAAGTCTCTGCATATGATGATTCAAATGACAGTGACCTGTAAGAAGGCCTGTTAGACATCGTAGTTCATCCCTACTATAGTCCAACAACTGTTTGGTATCAAGCTTCGAAAGTTGAATAAACTCCTTGGAGTGAGCCAATCATGAAAGATTCTGCCAGAAGTATATAAATCTTCTTGCCATCCAGATGTTCAATGTTTGCTTGACAAAGCCTAAAGCGATGCCAATGACAGGTTCTGGTCCAATTAAGCTGCTTGCAGCACCCTCCTTTGCAAGGGAGTCAGCATCTACATTGCCTTCCAAGCCAGTATGGCCAGGAATCCAGATCAGAGACAATCTGTTAAGTCTTCCTATCGAGGAGAGTCTTTTTTGGCAATTTGCTACCAATTTAGACGTTGCTCGGTAGGAGCCAAGAGCTACCATCGCTGCTTGACTGTTCAAGAATATTTTTATTGATTTGTGTGTGAGGTTGGCTTTATCCAATCTCTCCGCACACAATTCAATAGCGTAATTTTCGCTTGAAATACAGCCGCATACGTTCCTAGGCAGGTAGATATCTCTGTCCTGGGTCTGCGACTAAAAACACCTGCACCAGAACCGAAAGGTGTTTTTGATCCATGTGAAGTATATTTGATTGATTGATTGATAGGTGAGGATGATCTCGACAGACGAATTCAGAGTTGTGAAACGATATGAAATAAAAATGAATGAAATCCCGATTTGATGTTCTGATGACTAAACATTTTTTCAAACACACATATCAACAATTTGAAGTGTCATTACTGTGATGATGAAAATATTATAATATACTCAAAAATATAAGTTTGCCCTGGTATTCTAGAAGATAAACTTGTCACACCTTTGTTATTTAATCAAAACCCTTCGAATGATATTTTTCTGAGTTCCCTTGAAAACCCAATAGAGCAGTTTTTCAAATTTTGTAAGATTAAATAGATGGCAAACCAGAAAATGACTTGATCAACATTACCCTGAAAAATATATTGATCATAAAGGAGCAACTAAATAGCTAATACGATCACCACCGCCACATATTTGTTTTTATGGGCAACTTCAAATCAGTGTTTACATAATGAAGTATTTGCTCTACAAGACTTACAGCAAAGAATAACTGACCTTCATTAATCCATCACTCATGAGATATTTGAAAAAGTGAGACACTAAGTTGCATTTCGACTAAGTTTCTGATTAGAAAAAAATGGTGACTACTTTGATCAGTTATTTTAAATCTTTTTTAATACCATGTAGTTTTCAACATGCTATATTTTCTATATTTCATCACAAATATTCGTTTTATATGCAGTGCACAAAAACGTTCAAGTTGAGGTATCACATGATAGGGATAGCAATTCAAAATTATGGAGTTATTAGTAGTCATTCCAAAGTTTTGAAACCGACACATTGTATAAAACTGACAATATATTTTTTAAACTTACGGCACTGAAACTCCAACACGATCCGCACTGGCCTTGATCTTTGATAGCAGTTACTGCGCCGTGTTGCCTCCAATCAATCTCTTTGGGTAACTGGACATTTGCCGGACGTATGAAAGTAACAGATTCATCCATTTCCTGACCCTTCATTAAATTTTTCGTTCTATTAAATCCATTTACCGTCTTTACAAACTCGTGGTGCAACATATCAGCATATTTATTGATACCCAGTTTGTACGAAACAAGGCCCAAAGCATATAGTTTGTTGTGTTTAGCTACTTTGTGAGCATTTTCCATGAAGATTTTCATGCGGAAACGTTCCTCGGTTTCACTTTCATACTGTTTCTTATGTGTCAGCTAGAAAAAGAAAGAACAATCATGAAATTTGTAAGAATATTGACACATTTAATTTATATGCAGTATTCATTATAGATTTGAACTTCACAAACTTTAAAAAAGTAAAGATTGCGGAATGTAGTAATAACTAAACTAATGTATAATTCTGAGGTGAGTCAAATTTAGTAGGTTATTGGGATGATTAAATTCAAACAGAATTTATATTGATATATTGCTTATGCTGTTATGTATTCCAATGGAGTTGGATCTAAAAGCCAATTAATTCAATTTCATTTAACCAATAAAGTTCACAGAAAATTTCTAACTAATCATCTCAAAGTATCCTGACTATAAAAAATATCAAGTTTCTTGGATTTATTTGCATTTTTGAAATTATTTTATCTATATGTACTTATGAATAAGAGTCACTCACTTAACAGTCACTCATTCATCTCTGTTTCTCTGTACTGGTATTCCTAAAAAGCTAAAATTTGGTATATAGGTACTTTTTAGGTCTTAGATGTGCACCAAGAAACGATTTTCAAATATTACAACTGGGGAGGCCCCAATGGGGATAAAAGAGGCGCGTTTACATATGAAAATTACTTTTTCATCACTGTTTTGTGTAGGTTCATTTTATGTTGTAGATCCGCTGTAAGAAAGGATTTTTAATATTCCAACTGGGGGAAAAAGGAGCGTTCTTAAAATAAAGTTACCTTTTCATCACTGCTTCTCCATACCTCTATGTTTTCGGAGGCTAAAATTTTGTATTTAGGTTAGTTTCATATTGTGGATGTGCAGGAATCACATGTTAAAATGTAAGACCTCGTTAGTCCTTAGCTCACACAAGTTAAAACTTTTGAGAGTTGTTGTTCGAAGGGGGGCGAGGTTAACGGAAAAACATATTAAACAGAATAAGAAAGGATTTTTTAATATTTCAACTGGGGTGCCAGCCGCGGGGAAAAAAGGAGCGTCCATAAAAGAAAATTATCTTTTCATCACTGTTTTTTCCATGGCCTTAAATTTCCGGTGGGTGAATTTATATTTAGTATCAGCATTGCACCCGTGCGGTCCCGGGGCGGTTCGCTAGTATTTAGTATAATTTTAGATGTATCCAGTACTGGTGATGAAGAAATGACACTCTAACTTACCGCATCCACAAGATATCAAAGAAATTTTTTTTTTTCAGTTAATGCCTTTGTACACCTAATATCTTTCAACCTAACTGTTTACTGATTGGCTTGATAAAATAATTTAATTGTCCTTGCTTTTCAGGTCATCTGGTGTGGTAAAAATAGATTGGAACTAATTTAAAAATTCGTATCATGAAAAATTACTTCGTACACCTGTTGATCAATTGAAGCCTTTGAAAATGTCAACCGCAGCAGTAGACGAAACGTCAGGCACGGCCAGAAAATAGCCTTCATACAATTATTATCATTAAAAAATATTGAAAGTTACAAGATTGGTATATGTGATTTGAGTTTTTCAACCTGTCTGGGAAGGGTGGGAATGAGGGGAAAAATTAAAAAAACCGAATCACTAAAAGTTCAATTTGTGTATTTACCAGGTCAAGATATATCATTCGTGGCGATTAATTTAACATGAATAACTTCAACACTGAGTTTTCCAGGCCGTCAAAGGGATTGTATATGGGCGAGAATTAAAAGAATCATGTCTATGAAAATAAAGTTACCTACAAGAATCCATCTCATTTCCACTTCTTCAGACGGCTTGGAAAACTCATACGTGGAGAAATGGGGTGAAAATATATTTTATCATTAAAAGTTAAACTGATATACCTACAAAATACAATCTTTTGTATTGTTGTGTTAGACAATGCCCCCAGGGCCGTCGTAGGGAAAAGAAATACCAGGGGGGGGAGGGAATCCAAATTTTCCCAACACCACCAGCAAAATTTCCCAACTTTCGAAAAAATGAAAGCCGAGGGATTAGTTACTACTATAATATATTAATTTTCTTACTTAGCTATCCAAAGATTGGCTGAATGCTTATGCCCGTTAGGGTATGCACAAACAAAAATAAATTTTGGTAGTTATAAAAATAATAAGGGAAGTTTTTCTTCTTTGGACCAAGGTCCTTGGTCTTCCACCATATCAACCATGTATAGAAATATTCAATACAAATGAAAGGAAACAACACTTAAATAATATTGTGCTTATTGTTTTCTACTATTTTTTTTTTCTATCTTCACGGCCCGAAATTTCCCAACTTTTCTAAGTCTAAAACTTTTTTGAAGTTTTCAAACAATTCAGAATTTCAAAGTATGGGATCTCCAAGTTATACATGTTGAGAAATCCCAACCTTCTCCCGGTTCATTCTCTTTTCTTATTACCTCTCCCTTTATTTTCTCTAATTTTTATTTTTTCAAGTTTCATTCATTTTTTTACTATTATTTTTTTCTATCTTCACGGCCCAAAATTTCCCAACTTTTTCCCAAGTCGAAAGAGGAGGGGGGAGGCTCCCCCCATGGCGACGGCCCTGAATGTCCCGTATCATTCCAGGAAACTGGAAAAATTCCAACTACAATATCAAGGAAATCTGAAATTCATGACGACTGTATTCTAAAAGTACTCAATTTGAAGAAACATTACTTGAAGTGGATCTTTTAGCAATAGAAAATGAGTACAGAAAAAATATGTGATAAATATATTATTGATGAAACGACTAAAGCTCAAAATAAAATTGTTTCAAGGCTACCACCATATCACTGCAAACTTGAGTTGATTTGGGCTGACATAAAAACATAATACTACATTTAGATTTACTGTTCCTTCCATCACGTCACGAAAGTTGAAAAAATGCATTGATTACATGCAGCAAAAAGTTGAGCATGAATGTGGAAATTAGACAATATTATAAAGCAACAAATTGAACAGTTTGTAATAAATGTGAATATTATTGATGCACTTCAGACGAAATTATCACTTTTCAACCCAAGAAATTAAATGAAATCATAACGACCAACAACAAAAAACATTTATAAACATACTAAAAAAGTCCTGAGAAACGTCTTAATTTCAATTTTTTATTTTATACTATAAGATTAACTATTGGGAAAGAAAGTTTTTGGCTTTCTACTACTCCATCTTGATACAAAAAAAGGATGAGGGAATCTTCCATCCTACACAGTATGTTCTGGTGAAATTTAAGTAGAGGAACTAAGAGAGTACGGGGCAAATGGCAACACCGCCTTATGGGAAATACCATGTAAATTTCTGCCGGAAAACAACTACTTTACCAGCTAATACCATTTCTGTTGGTATTAAGGTATTGCAAATTTATATTTCTAAAATTCTTAATTTAAATACATCAAAACTATGTTGCAATAATATTTTGTCCTTAATACGGCCCTGGTAAAAATTACATTGGAGTGCAATATAGTTTAGCAGTTTTCTCTATGCTTTCTTTGTTGAGTATCATTCTGCTTATTCAACAAAATAAATATCCGGATATTATTCATCAAATTACAGTCATTATCATATTACTAAGTACATTGAGTAGATATGAATATTTGTTGAATTTCAAATTAGATATTTGTGTCTTAATAACCGATTGTAATGATGACTAACAAATATCATTTCAGTTTATAATAATCAGAATACTATTTGCCAGCTGGGCAGTTAAAACCACAATATCCAATAACATGATGTCTTTAATCTTATCGATTATATTGTCATGATACATAAATTTGTAAACAGTGGAAATTACTAATGAAATTGTTTATTGAAATTTATGTAGATATTATATTTCTAATCGCTGAGTGGTGTTAGAATTTACTGGAATTTCATGAACTAAATGCTGTTTATAAATGTATGGTATTCGATACGAAAAAAAAGGTTTCTATGAAACACAATACCAAAATAATGTTAGGGAAGTGGTTTCTCAGTTTAATTTGGCCTGTTTGGTCTCTATACATTTTCTTAAAGGGTTTTTACCGAGTGAGTTAATCCTTTCTTTGAAGTTTCTTCTTCATTACCATAATATGCTAACCCAAAATATACGGCGAGCAGTTCTATGGTAAAAACAAATTCACACCAAAAAACAACAACAACAACCCGGTTCTAATTCAAAACTGGAAAACAAGCATATGGATTAAATAGAAATATGCCAAAAAAATTGTCGGAATCTGTTTTTTCGTTAGCCGGCTGTCGCCTCTTACAAACCTCAGCAGGTTAAATTTGTGCCATCTAAGGATTAACAAGGTCTTTCCTTTCAACGGTCCATTGATAATTATGTAGAAGTAAAAGTAAACAGCTTACATTTCTAAACAAAAATTCGTTGAGGGGCCATGACAGGCTATTCACTGAGCTGTTCATCACATAGATAAGCAGGAAGATACATTTATGTATTATCCTGAATTGAAGAGTTTAGGAGAAGATTAGTGTACAAGGCGCTTCATTTTAAGAAAACGTAAATTAAATTTTTTAAGACTCATAGTAAATTGCACAATAAATCTACAATATTTTTTTCACATTATGTTGCAATGCACATATAACTCAACTTGTACAACCATCAAAAACAAAATAGTTTTTGAATATATTAATTTGAAACAACACAATAAAAAGTATTTTTGAGTTCAAAAAACATCTAAAATTAGAATTGGGCCCTAAAAATGTAGAATAACTGATATAATATATTAATAAAGCTTTTATTCCACATTAATACTCTATACATAAAACTAAAGAAATGTTCTAATATGTGTTATTTCTAACATAGCAGTTTATCTGCTGGATCAGTTGCCTGAATAATAATTATTCAGGCAAAATTAATTATTAATTTTGAAACATAACCAATAGACCTATCCAAAAATAAGAATAGGCTATACAAAAAGAGCCGAAACAGTGAACCATGGCCGCCAACTTACATGGACACTCATCTTTTTTGCCCCCATTCGCTGGTACCTTCATTTTTCTTCCCCAAACCAACAAAACTTTAAACTGCAAAACTTTGTACCCTCATTTTTTTTGCTTACAACGATTACGCTATAACATTCTATGCGTTATAATGTACAAAAAATAACCTCAACCTCAAAATCTAATAATAATGGACCTTCATCTTTTTTTCCCTGACCTTAATTATTAGGATATATCCATATTACTGGAGTTTTTTCCCAATACCAAATCGATATTTTTAACACTTCGACACGTGTTTCGATCACCAAGTAATCATCTTCAAAGAGGAAGATTAAAACTGTTTTAATCTTCCTCTTTGAAGATGATCACTTGGTGATCGAAACACCTGTCGAGGTGTTAAAAATATCGATTTGGTGTTGGGAAAAAACTCCAGTAATATTCATTACTACACCAAAGGTTCCAAACAGTGCATCATAAGGATTTATCCAAATTTAAAAGAATGGTATATCAATCACTCAATTTTTTCTTTAAGGTGAAAATCAAGAAAAGCTTTGTAACACCCTAAAACGAACTGAATAAACTCAATTTTTTTGATGGAATTGACCGGTACTTGATGAAAATCAAACCAGTTCAGTGAAAATCTCACAATATAGTGTTACTTGAAAACGCAATTTCTATGAAGAAATTATTGGAAAGGTACTTTTTTTGACAAAACATATAATAAGGGTGTGGAAAGTCTTTGAATTACATAATTTTGTGTTAATAGACACATAATAAATTGAAAGCGGTTCATTTATAGCTGAGATTAGTTTTTGAGGTTTCTACTTTTACATCTCTAAACAGGGGTAATCTTTGCCCCTGTTTACTAGGACATACACAAATATTTGTTTGAATATGCGTGTGAATTTGTTTTTCATCACTTAACGATTTTAACGTTGAAAATTATAAACTGAAGAGATCATGTGACAGCCTTCTTATCAATTACGATAACCTTTAGACCTACATTGAACTTGCGCTTGTTAACTATAAGCTGACAAGATAGGATATAAACTAAATGAGTACGGGAGGCCAAGTTGTGCTCATATCGTATATTTTTTTTACTAATAAGAATATTATATAGAGCATCTCTTGAATTTTAAGGTTGGAATGAAGATAAAAAGTATATTCAAAAAACACTTCATTGTGAGATTTTCACTACATAGTTTTACAAAAATGCAATACGTGTTTTGCTATACAATAGCTTCTTCAGGCGTATATTTTACTGGGAAAGTAAAAAACACGCCTGAAGAAGTTATTGTATAGCGAAACACGTGTTGCGTTTTTGTAAAATTATGTAGTGAAAATCTCACAATGTGTTTTTTGAATTGCATAAAAAATTAAACGGTTTGACTCGTAAACAAGATTTACCTAATAAAATCTTTGCATATATAAGAACACTGAAAAAATTCTGCAAATGTCGTGCTACTATATGAAATAAATATCCATTTTCTGAATGAGTACCTGACCCATTATCAAAGGCTATTGAAAGTCCCGCAAAATACACCAATTAAATGAATTGTATAATTTAAAAAAATAATAGCTCTCAGTAGCATACATATGATTTTCATTCATTTATCTTGCCATCAATAAGTTGAAGAAGCAAACTTTCGGTTCATTGAAAGGCAACTTTTTATTGTAGCCGAGTTATATTCAATCGAAGATTATCTATAATTATATAGATTTGATATTTTATTTACTTCATGTAGGTACGTAATGCTATTCTTATGGTTTGTTTTATTTGTTGAATAAATCTAGCTAAATGTGAAATATTAAAAAAAATTGATTTATTATTATTATTTGAAGCTCCTGCTTCCTTGATTATCAAATGATGTGAGAGTTGTTCTTGAGGTTGGGAGACATTATGAGAAAATTTTCAATAGTAATATTCATTTGTTTAGTAAAAACATTTAAAACATGATATTTTTGAAATTGTATTGGTTCTTAACACAAGTTTTGAATATTTTGTTTATTTCACTCATGTTAGGAATCACACGATAAAAGGTAAGACCTCGTTAATCCTTAGCTCACACAAGTTTCAACTTCTGAGGGTTCTCGTTCGTAGGGGTGCGACAGGTGGTTAACGGAAAAACAGATTTTTCAAACAAATTTTCCATTCAGTTATTTTGCTTTTGAAAAATAATCAATTTCAACAGAGTTTGAGACCTAAATAAATACATTGAAAGTACATTGAAAATGTTTTGTATGTTTTTAACAAAATGAAATTGCAGCAAACTATTGCATTATTGAAAGAAAATACTTGTGTTTATACCAAATATTTGGTCATCATTATGTTTATTGAATCATGAGATTGAAGAGTGTAAACAAAGTTTGAACTTTGGAGTTCAAATAATTGTTGATCCTATTTATTGGGAAATAACAATACACATAAATTATTGATTATTTGATTTTGAGAATTCATTTATCATATTCTATTGATTGAATACATTTGTTATTATTACAATTGAAAATGTTTATTTTTCTACCACAGAAAAGGTTTAATTTCATCTAGTGATATATTTAATATTCTTTTATCTTCAACAATGATCAAAGAAACAATGACCCCAATCTAAAAGCATTGAGTAGCTTACAAAAAATCCTCTTATAATTGCTTATTCATACACCAAACTTTTACTCTCTTAATAAGGATAAAGAATTGTTAAATTGGGTCATTTATACAGCATTATTGAAGAAAAAGTGGTGTATCGGAGGTAACTTAGGGATTTTTTGATTTAATCAAATTTTCATGATATTATTGACTTGGGACAAATTATTTAAACATATTCGAAATAATAAATGAATTTTTTTGGTGGTGATACTTATACTCCCACAATAAAAAATGCCAATATCAACAAATAATATTGACTTCTCAGTCTGTGTACTTTTTACTATAAGGAATCCTCGCCCATAGAATCTTTGTTATAGTAAAAGAAAAAGTAAGAGTGTGATGTATAACATATTATTTTGTGTGATTGAATCATTACCATTGGGTGACCTTTATTAGGAGTCAGAAAAATAATAGATCTTTCATAACTTCCTCATTTTGGACCCCCAATCAAAACATGTAAAGAGGAACTTTTTACAATAGAAAATCTCACCTTGAATGATCCCCATTCTTCTTGGACAAGGTCAAAGAAAGATACGGCTTGGCAGGCAGCAATGAAAACGAAAAGAAGAGCAAGGAACTTCATATTGTTCCTGAAAATAATAAAAAAAAGTCAGGTCCTTCAAATTTATATACCACATACAAACGTACATTATTATTTGAGTTACTCACCACAAATGACTAATAACTAATACTGATCAATAGAAGCTCAGTTCTTTGTGTTCAAGTTTAAAGTTTGACCATGTGACCCAAATCACTATAATTGTAAAAACACAACAAATAGCTAAATATATGGAATCTCCTACCACCTACCACTCTTTCCCCTCCCTTAACTGCTTTGTTTTGAGTTTCGAGAACTGTGATTCTGTCATGCAGTGTTGCCGTGTGCAAAGATATTTCTTTAGATTTGAGAAATTCGATTATAACTTACTTTTACTGCCGGAGATAACTGTATGAAGGATATTTTCCGGGTTTTATCGCCGTGGTCTGCAGGTTTTTATGCCTGAGGTTTCATCTACTGCTGCGGCATCCATTGCATTAACTAGTTAATGTGTTGGATACAACAAGAACAAGAATCAGAGCACCAGCTCGAATATTGCGACCGTTACCACATCGCCTTTGAACATGTCTACCGCAGCAGTAGACGAAACATCAGGCATAAAAACCTGCAGACCTCGGAAAATAGCCTTCATACAGTATAATTAGCATTCTTCCGAGTTCATTCAATTTTTATTTATTCTAAATATACAATGTTTAGCCAAATGCTTAGAGGAATAGAAATTGAAATCATATAGAAGATAAATTATATAAGAGTAAAATAACTGAATTTTATTTTGAATCATCAACAGATTCACCTATAGGTGAGTCATACACCATGATTCGTTGTTGTCTCATGTCTAATTTCAATTTTGTTTTATTTATAATCCATACTTGTGTTCTTATATTTTCAAGAGAAAAAATATGAAAATATAGCAGCATCATGAAACAAATTCTTCAGAAAGAGACGGCTTTAATAATAAATAATCAGCGACGATACTTTGAACTCCCGCCAACAAGTCACTCATGATTATTTTATGAACACTCAGAAAAAACCGACTGGAAACAAAGTAATGATCAATAATGATAGAACAGACTCTAGTCACAGTTAATAATATGGATAAATTATCACAATAATAAAAAATAATTCAAATCACTATCTTCCGTTCAAGTAATTATAAAAACAATCCTCAGAAAGCACAAAACAAATAATTTTGACGAGTTCTAATGGTTGAAGCCTGAACTAAGCCTGGCATTCACGACAGTAGCTTTTTTGTCGATTAAAATTATTTAGTTCGTATCAGTATTCAATCTCAATATTAACAAAAGATGAAGACACGAAATATGCATCTTTCATAAGCAGAAAATGCATAAACTCGAAGAGGGATCAAACGTAAAGCTTATAGTGAAGTTTCATAAGAAGCCAGTGTTGCCAAATGGATGAACTATAAAGTCGCCACACATGAAACTGAAGCAAATTTGCGCTACACTGCTTCATATTCCGTTACGCATGTGTATCTTGTGTATCTGACGCAAAACAGTTCGCGCATGCGCCCTATCCAAAATTAAATACCACAGAACTTTAATAGTTTGTGTACTGTTCAGATACACAAAACTGAAACTGTCAGGAATCAGGAACATGCTCACTCTCAACAGCGCAATTCATAGATGTTTAGGTTAGGTAAATGATTTTCAAAATTCACAGCAGTTGATTCGCGACAGGTTTAATCCACCCTTTCGAGTTAGAATCAAATAACCAATGTTGAGGAGAAGTTTGTTTTCGAGGCTTTTTGTATTTTTGTCCTGTTCCCGTCAATTTCAATTGCGGTAGCTCTTTCGCTTGAGCTACAATCAGAAGAACTATCTTCCATTTCCACTGTAATTTGTTCCATATAATTTACAATACTTGGAGACTTTCAATTTCAAATTATTGGAAGTTATATGAATGATAATATTCAAAAATATTCTCCTTTCTTTTGTCATGTAATGGCATCAGCTACTAAGACTATAACGTATTGATTGTGCATTCAATTGTCAGCTTCGAGTGCTGTCCACTGCCTCTTCTTGTTCCATATTTTTTCAATATTGATTATTTGTGGAAAATTCCGCTACTTTATGTTCACATCCGCTACCGTCGAGTAAATTTCGCTACGGTAGTTGAATTCCGCTACGGTTGACAATGCACAAAGAGTCCAAAAACTGGCCAAATGCGCCTAGTGGAAACAATGGCCATGAACACTTGAAGAGAAGGGTTAAAAAAATTGTCAGCTGTCATACTTTTCTTAATTTTTCAGTCTTTACTGGCTTTGACTATCACGATTGAGCAGTGAAACGATACGGATTACTTCATGTCATTGCTGAGATTTGAACTTGTACAACATTTTAGGATATTTTCAAAAAGAGTTGCAACACGTACAACACAGCATGAACCGTTACAATATGTTGTACGATTTTACAACATGGAGCAACATTGAAAGGGAAGTAACGATATTATTGTCCACCAGTTACCTTAGGTACGTTTTTTGGCAAATCTGAAAAATCGGTAGTTTCAATTATGTATTATAAAGAAATTGAAAGCTTAATTTGTAATTCCAAGCAGCTCTATCTGGGAGTATTGACATTGTTGAAATCAAAATATTTTCAAACTGAAGACATATGTATGTTTCCAATAAATTTAATATAATTAACACTTCCAAAATACAAATCATGAAATTATAAAACAACAATAAAAATTAATTGGCGCTCCGGGGTGATTTCATTGATTCCAGTGGCGCATTTGCTTGTTTAGCTGCAGGAAAACTCGGAAAAACCTGCAGCACCACATCATCTTAAGATCTTGATCTGCCAATGTCCTTTTTCCCATAAAACAAAATGTAGGGTGTCTCCAGAGGCTTCAATAAATTTAATACATTGCCAGAACACTTCGTGACACGACTATCGTCAAACTTATCAAACTTGACCAAGGCGTAATAATGACCAAATTCAACGCCAGAATCACAGTGAACAATGATTGCATGAATATTAAAATAGTGGTCTGCTAGACTGAAGTCTTCATCTATTTCAAACCTTTCTAAGAGTTTGGTGCTTACGTCAGAGGTTCAGTCATATTTCAGTGTTATTAGATTGACTGGTGCCTCAACTATACTTGTTTCCTTATAACAGTCAGTTAGTTTGGCAATACAGTCGATCATCACTTGCTAAAACTTCCATTTCAGATGATTCAACAATAAACTTTGCACGGACTGGTAATTATATTAGGAAACACTAGTTGAATTTCCAGAAATTCACTTTCGGTTTTGCTACCTCTCGAACATTTACTACAAAGTAAACAAGTGAGGATTTTCCAGCAAATGATTTACAAACACAAGACGATAGATAGACTGTACGGAATCATTCAATCCACAGCGGTCAGGAGTATTGATTCTGCTATCGTTTTGCTCAAGAATTCGAAACAATCCTCTTGTTGTCCTAACGAGTATCTAGTAAGTGTTTCCTAAATCCTCTAATCCAATTTTCTTCTCAAGGTTTTCAGGACAACTCTCTACTGATTCGTTGTCTATCAAACTGATGTCATATTCGTCTATGCCCTACATTTCGAAAAAAAAAACATCTAACAACACTGATGTAATGAAATATGATAGAAAAAACTCAATGTTGCCAGCTGTACTCCAAGAACTATAACTAGGTGAGTTAGGCTCCAGTAACTTCTTTATTCGGATTTGAAAAACGAAGTAGGAGAAGTGGAACTTGAGGCGTTCGATATTTCAGGAGTGGAGTGAAAAGAGGTACTCCTTTGGCCTTTGGTAACGACTCATGACTATGGACTTCTGGAGTGGACATACGAATTTACAATTATTTTGGTGTAATTTGAATTTCAACTCGTTTGCATTACCCCATTTGTGATTGGTGATAATATGATTGGGAATTATAAATATCTAATGGCAATAGGAAACGCAAGTGACAGTGACTATTTGTGGTTTCAGATTTTCAGGTTATAGTGACGTTTCGCTGGCGCAAGTGGCAGGCATCTTCAGATATCTGTATTATCGCTAAGGTTACAGGTATGTCCAACGTCAGAAAGGAATTTCAACAGACGACGGCCTTAAAAGTAAAAACATTCCAGTAACAGCAGTTTCATCATCAACTCCAAATTTTGAAAAGTAGTTTTAGTAAATGATACAAAATAAAATGGGTCTGAACTTTCAAACAAGTACTGAGCAAAAGTAACCACAGGCAAATAATAGTTTACTTTTCTCTTTATATCGAAAACAATTCGACTTGAACACAACCTAATTTTTTTTTCAATTACATACTCCACATCTTCGTTCGTTTACTGTTTCCTTTGAAACACCTGGGATGTTCGATAATGCACTCCAGCTTCACCTCAGTCCAGTATTATAACAAATACCCGAACCTAGCTATAACTCAGAGATAGGATGACGTTGACGTTTTTATAAGCAATTGAATTCTTGAATTCAACTACAAATATTGATTTCATTGGTGGTTAGCACTAACAGAACTAACCAGAAATTTAAGAACGTTATTAATGTCATAAAGAAACGATTCTGGTAAACTGATAAGGTCATCGTTGAATTCAAGAACTCATCTACTTGCTTTCACCACAAAACTTCATCTGGTCATCTTGGTGCGATATCTGCTGCATTTGTTTCACTGGTATTGAAAGCCTAGCTGTTGCACTGGTTACCATTAGTGTTCGGTAGGGTATCAACTCTAATATAGTTCAAGCTATGTGTGACAAATTTGACAATTGACACTGTTGGCGTTGGCAGTGACAGTTGCCAGAGACAGTTGCTGACACTGACAGTGCAAGTATTGAAATTTGTCGTTTTTGAAAATATATTCCATATTTTTTAGAAAATGTCACAGCAATATGATGTTGACGATGCTACTCGCAAGCTCCTTGAGGAAAAAGCAAAAAGGCGATTAGTGTTGCGCGAGCAATTTTTGAAAATGAAGAGCGATCCATTTCAACATGCCACTGGAGAAGGTGGTACAGTGGTAGGTATACATTTCAGATGTTATGTCATACTTAACCTCCAAAATATTCAAGTGAAATTTGTATCCTTCCAGTTTGATCCAGCAATGCAGAGATTTCAAGCTATGAAAGTTACTGGGTTTGAGCATTTCAAGCCTTCTCCCAAAAATGGTATTTATGGAGTATTGTTTGTGGTTGTGCCCATGGCAATAATGACTTATGCCATGCAAACATCTAGAGACAATAAGGAAGCCAGTTACCGAAGAGGAGAAGTAGCATATAAAGATCGCAGTTTTAAGTTTATTTAATGATTTGAAGTTGAATATTTGAATTATAAAAAGATATTGTTTGGGGGTTTGAGAGTTTTGCTCAGGTTTCAAGATTGAGATAGATTCTGATTAGATGTTGTCATTGAGCAATGTGATGACAAACTATTTTGTGCTTATGAGAAGCTTTTTTCAAGATTTGTTAAACTTGCTGACTCTTAGACCTTTGGATATGTATATGTAGTTGATAAATGATAGCCTAATATAAACGTGAAATTTTGTATCCAGTTTCATTCAGTGATTCTTCAAATCATTTAAAAAGTCGGGTAGTATTATTTGAGAAATGGGAAATTTATTCTCAGAACAGATCATGAGGTGGTAACGTAGAATTATCAAATTAACTCAATGTCATCAGATTCTGGCATAGAAGAATGATTTAACATATGCACTTTTTGATATAACTTCAATTCAGATTCTTTATAATCGTTTGATTCAGTGTTGAACACATTGTAAAGTTTTTAAAAAGAAAAAATATCTATTGATATCATCACCCTGATGTAATAAAATCATCAATGTGATATCCCATTTTTGAATTTGATTTACCTTTTCTATGTAAAATCACCTCTAATCATTTTCTATTCAGAAACTACAAAAAAGAATAATTAATTGAATAGAGTATTTAGAACTGAAGGATTCTATCTGAAATAATCCTTACAAGATTATCACATTTCAACAAATTAATTTTATAATGTGAAAGAAAGTTTTTTCACATGTAAAGTCTAAATTATTTAGCAAGGCAATTACGTTTGTTTGAAGGTGATTGACAATGTTTCATGATGAATTTCACTAGTTCGGACTTCTATTGTCTACTATATAAAATGATTTGAAATCCCTGAAACAAGTAAAAAAGAATAATTAAAAAGGATAGTTGAAAATAACAATTATATTAAGCAACAATAAACCTGAAATGAAATGATAGTGAAATAACCTACAAGTAAAAATATAATAATTGAATAAATAAAAATTAAACGAATGAAAAAAGAAAATAATAAAAAATAAAAAAGTGTAGAGATTCCTAGTCACGTTAGTTCACGACGTTTCGATTGTTGGTATCTACAATCGTCTTCGGGTGATTGGTGTTTCAGGGATTTCAAATCATTTTATATAGTAGACAATGGAAGTCCGAACAAGTGAAATTCAAGGCAATTACCTTTATTATTGGGGAATTGTATACAGTTCAAATACTTTTAAATTTTGCCAAGACTAACATTAAATTCAATTTGTGCATTCTTGAGTCCTGATGTTATTTTTGCAAGATAAAAAAATATTCTCTTGAAGTTTAATTGTTTTAAAATTAATTGAAGTCGACAAAAATTTTATAATATTTATTGAAACTCTCTAATATTAATGTTAATAGCCATTATTTTGTAGTAACTTCTGGCTACGAGAACTTTTATTCAGAAAGAAAACATATCTTCAAAATTTCAATTTAATAGGGCTTGATTATTCATAAGCTTCAAGTTTTTCCGGGTATTTCCGGGTATTCATCCGTTGTGTACTATTCGATAGTCGATTCGATGAACACCCGGAAAAACAATACATCATATTCTACCATCCGTGAAAACCTACATTGTAATATATATTTTAATAGTTCAATTTTTTGATTTTTGGTTGTTGCTTATATTTTATTTCATTGTAATTTCAGTTTTTTTACCTAATATAATTGATTTTTTTCAGCTAACTTTTTAATTGTTCATAGATTTTTCCAGGGATTTCAAATCAATTCACATCAAGGATATCAGGTTTAAATCTGTTTTTTCGTTAACCAGCTGTCGCACCCCTACGAACGACAACCCTCAGAAGTCGAAACTTATGCGAGCTAAGGATTAACTAGGTCTTACCTTTTAACGTGTGATTCCTAACACGGGTTGGACGATATCAAGTGAAAATCGATCGTTCAGACTAGAGCTTGAACCACCGACCAACACGGCAGTCAATTCGAGTAAGTGAACAAAGCACCCACGTCGAACTGCCTGCCTACCGACCGACAATATTAGACAATGAAAGTCCGATCTAATGAAATGCAGTTTCAAAGTTCTAGGCGTAAACTTAGAAAACAAAATTTCAGAATGAAATAAATTTGAGACAAATTATTAGATCTCTAGATCATCAACTCGTTTGGGAATATGAAAACAGGATATTATCAAAATGACGGTTCTCGAGACTCTTACTAACGTAAAAAATTTTAAAAATATTGAAAATCCTCATAGGAGATACAAAAGAGTTTACTTCGTCAACATCAATGACAGCGTTTATTTCAGAAAACAAGAAAAACATAAAAAGTGAAAAAAATAATCATCCGAAATCTTTGAGATGAATAACTTTGTCAATAAAATTGTGTTTGAAATTTGTTTTGTATGTTTTTGAGGAATGTTTTTGAATCGCTAGGTATGGACTCGTGCCACTCCTTATGTTCAGAAAGCA